AGTGACCTGGATCACGGCGAGGTGACGCACTATAACGACACTGACTACAACGCTGACCTTGAGACCACTCTGATAGGCCAGGAAGCACAGGCTCCCCATGGTGTTAGGGTTAGGGTTAAAACTCTGGAGTGAGGCCTCAAGAACCTTTTCCTAACCCTAATCCTAAGCTGCTCCAAACCAGCCTAATTCTGCTCCGAAACAGGCTAACCCTGCTTCGGACCCGTCCTGCCTTCCTCCGGATCTTATCCGTTGGCGCCCGAAGCCGTACATGATATAGCCATCCAACGTCGATAGAGGATCATCAGACCCAACCTGCAGGCCGTCATTTTCAATGTTCCGAAGGTCAGACGGCGTCCTAGAGGTGGAAGGCCGGAGTATCTGAAAGGCTACAAGTTGAATGACCCCGGTGCGATCTGATGTCTCTTTAACCCTTGTATCTATTAAAAGAAGATGTCTGCAAATGAATTTCTGGTTTGGGCGGACAATAGTATTATGGCTGTAAGAGGTGGTAGCCGAGTGATTTGCAGAGGCAAGAATGTGAAATGCGGAAGTTCCCCCACAGTAACGTTAGCCAGGTCGGCCGGGTGAAGAGCTGTATAAGAGCTGATTCTCAGTATGGTCTCAAGGTCGATGTCAGTTGGCAGAAGGTGCAAGGGTTATGTGTGGGTAGCAGACAAGACTGGTGTTGAGGCTGCCGCTGCCGACAGCAGGGAGGTAGTAATGGTGCTTTGGATTTTATAGGTGAATCAGCACCGTGAGTAATAGCAATGGCTGTGGATGGGCGTGCGAGTGAGGAGGTGAAGCAGTGAATAGTCAAGTAATGAAGGATGGGTGCATGAGGATGAAGGGATAATCCAAAGGACTTGGACTGGTTCGGCAGCAGCCCTTGTCCAACTTTATGGTTCCTATCGTTGCTGTTTCCGTGATGATGGTTGTAGATACCATACGGCTGTTCACACCGAACGATTCTGTCCCGCGACCCAACTTTACACAGCTCTACTCATTCGTCTAACGCAAACTTCAAGCGCCCTGTCAGTCTCTCTCGCGGCATTTTCCCCGCCACAGGCAACAAATCCCCCTGCGTCATCCTCTGGTTCATACTTTTCGGAAGACAATTGCATTCTACCCTCACACTTGAGCATCGCAAAGTCGAGCTGTGCAGTTGTGATTTGGCGTGACATTTGCGCAAAAGCACCAAATCTGCAGACCCTTGTAAAATAGAACACAGACGAGGATGCAACGTATGGAGGCCACATGAGCCAGCGACACCATCGACTTTATGTATCTGCAGAGAGTTCTTCGAAAATGAGCAACTCATTTGTGGTGTGCGATACACGAGATTGCCAGCAGACTTATCGACTGTGGAAGGAGTGCCTACGATTTGAATCGCAGGGATGTGCTCCGAGTGGCAGCCAGCTGTTTGCGAACATAATTGATTCGTCGAAGTGAGCCTAATCACAATGATCATCTCGTTGCTAAAGAGAGGTACTGACGTGCTGACCTACACCCATGGTGGTAGCCAGCACACTGGGTGTTTTGCTGCCCAATGTCCTAACGAAACTATCAACGCTATAGGCAGCAATGAGGTCATTCGCGTTGTCGATCCATAGCAGGTGATTGTCAAGGAACGAGGAAAGCAGGCGGAGCGAATGGTCGCCTGGTACTCCTTAGGTGCAGATGATGGAGAGCTGCTTGAGGCGAACACTGAGGTAATCGGCTAGCGTTCTTGTAGACTGATCCTGGCCTTTGAAAAACACGGTGATTGCTATTGAGATGATGAGTATTGGCCCTTGCTAAAGTTGCCCGCAGACAAAAATGGAGACCGATACTGGTTACCCAAAACGAGAGCGCAACGAGTTCGGGCATAAGCAGTTTACACATCCTAGGTATCATCATCATCCTTTATGTAAACATAGCATGCGCTTCTGTTGCGCTTTGCTGCTGGCCGAATTTGCGCATATGTGGGGAACATAGGGATAGGCGGTCACCGTCTTCAAGGCGGCCGAGAGTTCCACGCTTTTATGCGCCCAACGCTTCTCAAGCTCAGCACACGAACAGAGTTTGGAACCAAGATGCTAATCGCCGGCTACATCCGCATGTACATCTCTTGGCATATTCATCTCTCTCGTTGCCCATTCAATAATTTCGCTCGCGACGTTGAAGGATCCTTCTGGTGTCAGTAACAGCGGCTCCTCTACATTCTGAATGGCTAGCATCCTTTCTCAAATTCTGCCACCGCTTGAAGTGAAGCCGACCGGCCTGGAGCAATCAGAGGGATTGTGCATCAAGGTCGCACAATTGTGGGTGATTCTATTTTGCAAACCTTCAAGGTGTTCGTTGGTATCAGTTAAATTACAACGCCGTCCGTCCCCTCGTCTCGTACGGAAGGAATAGCATAAGGATCGATTAAATAATAAATAGTGCAGCTTAAACGAAGAGCGGGCTGCAATAGAGAGAGCAGCTGTGAACATGCCCACGAGGAAAAAGACGTCATTGTCAGCGACAGCTCTCCTAGGGGCCTGTTTTGCTCCGAAACGATAACAATCTTTGAGGTTAAGATACCCACGTCTTTGGTGCTTGGCTGGAAGCCAATACAAGCGGTGCGGTGACACCAAACACGCGCTGAATGCCCATCGAGAGACCGCCTCCCGTCCCTCGAAGTGGCGCAGGAAAGATCCCGTACGTCATCGCACAGAGCACCCAAACGATGGAAAGCAGAGTAAGTGTCCACCGCTTGGCGCTGGGAAGGAGCTCGATGAGCATTGCTACGTCAACGAGCAGATTTCCTCTGATGCCTAGCCCAGTACAGGTCAGCAGCGCACCCGCGCCGATGAAAGTAGGTGCGCCGGCTACGGCCATGGCAAAAACGGCGGAGAGTAAGAGCGTCGCATTCCAGCTGAAGAGCCGACGGATCACGTCACAGCCAAAGCCCCAGAAGACAGCGCCAATCCCGATCAGAAGGCCAATGTAAAGTGAGACCGTCATGAACTGCGCATGCGTCGACCTTAATTCATAGTCAATCTACGGCAGACTCATTGCAAGTGCTTCAGAGCAATGTTGTCCGCAGCTCAGCCGCCGCCGGAGAGGAAGAAGAGCCACCACTGGAAGTTGTCAAAGGCCGTCCTGACAATCTCGCGGGTTCACTAGTGCGACTTTGCGTTCGTATGGATCCGAGACAGACATCTCCACAGCCTGTTAGTGATCGATCGATAAGGAGGAGAGTGCCGTCAGGTCGTCCGCGTCGTCAGCAGCGACCGTGTGCACCTTGAACGGCGCCTCACTGGCCACTAGTGAGGAAGGAAGCGCCATTTTGCCGTCGTACATCGCGTCGGTGGTAGGTGCCGGCCGACGGGTAGCACCTGGGATGTCAGCAGCTCTCAACTTCTCTGCGACCAATTTCGCCGAGGTGCCGGCGGGACCCAGGTGGGCACCAATGCTTTCATCCCGCATCCGGGAAGGCACGGCCAAAAGGGATAAAGTTCTCCTTTGCCAAGGTGTGAGTGACAGCGAACTCCTGCTCCTCGAGTTCTCAAGCTTCGAGTGGATCCAGCGAGAGAGGAAGGTGGGGCTCGGGACTCGAGCGACGGAACGTATATCCTATCCGAATGGTAGGATTACACGCAATGACTGCCCCGAAGTCCCCACATCTATCACCCCCGTCACCGTCAACACCTCTAGAACTGGAGGGTCGAGCCACTCGATAACCGATATGATTCATCACTCATCGAAACACCTCTTCTTTGGTACTGCACGGTGGGAAGCCGCCGCAACCACAGGCGCGGCGGCTTAGATTGATGCAAGTTGAATGGACGGTTGGTTACAAGGGGGTGAGCTTCAGCAGGATCTTCACTGCAGCGCTCTGAGGATTTCTTGATAGCTACAAACGAGTGCATTGAGATGTCGTCCTTTGCCAAGTACAGCAAGAACTTCTGCTAGCAGCTCCCGCTTCTTGTAGCCTAGCACGTGTGGGTTCCACGATGGAGTGCTATCAGGCTTGCTAAGCACACAGAAAGAATGAAAGGAAAAAGATATCAGCCCGCGCCTGACTTGCAGCCGTCAGTGCCCATGCTCACTAATAAACCGGTCCCAACAAGCTCTTGATCAGGTCCTCTGCCAGGTTCTTCACCCCGTCTTCGGACAGCTTTTTCGCATACGCCAGCAGCGTCGCCTTGTACTCCAAAGCGCTATCTAACAGGATGGCAGCTTGCATCCTCCCTTCAAGATGCCTCAGCCCGCAGGAGGTCTTGAAGATGGCTGCGTGTCCAACATCCTTCGGCTCGCCGTATCTGAGCAGTCCCTCTTCAATCGGCCTCTTCATGACGAGCTGGTTGACGAGTGCTTCGATATTTCGCACCGGATCACGGCTCGACGCCAAACTTTCGCGGCTTGCCGAGTAGTCGCGACCGCGCAAGCGGGATTCCCAGAAAGGTGAACAATCTGCGAAAAAGCCGCTCGAGACACTGACCCAGCTCATGAGGGCCGTGTCCAGCACGAGCGCTTCTTCGCGTGTTCGACAGATGAGAACGGGTACGCCATTCGACTGTAGCCACAATTCTTCGATGTCGTCCGCGCTCTTGATGATGTTGTGAATTGTCATGGGTGGATGCAGTTCTTTGAGCTCTGGATAGCCGATCCGGCGAAGCAGACCATCGGCGGTGAGCATCATGAGCACATTTGAGCTGCTCTCCACCTGGACACAAGGCGACGGCAGTCGCAACAATCCGAGCCGTCGGCCACGGGAGGAGTGCACAACAACACTTGAGTCCTCAAGCGCGACGGCGGAAAATGCCTCATTGCACGTTCCCGTAGTGACTACCGATGGCGTCCAGTCGACCCAGCAGATCTTTCCATCTTGCAGCATTGCGATCTCACTTGGTTCAGCTGCAAGATGGAAGGTATAGCTTGTCAGAACCGAAAGGTTTGCACGACACATTCGAGCGCACTCACCCGATCGACTCGAATTCCGGCACTCGAGCGTGAGATTGCGCTGTTCACGGGTGAAGCATGTCATCGAAGGCGGAGAAGGCAGCCACTTGGCATATGGCGTATTTGCGCGCCAGTCGCTGCCTGAGGGATCCTCCGCCGGTCGAGCTTCGTCGTCATCAAATCTCCCAGAGGCAAGCTGTCTGCGAAGTGCACGTGCACGGTGCGCCAATTCACTACCCAGATTCTTGCCCGTGTCCTTTGAACGCTTGTTGCTGCGCATCAACGGCTCGAGGTCTTCTTCCAAGCTTGAAATGCGGCGTTTGGAGGGTGTCGCATCCGATGGTGATATTCCGAACATGCTCGCATCTCCACACTGGTTATTGCCATCCTTCTGAGATGGTATGACGATCCCACCGGCGCCGTAGTCGTGGTGCTCGTCACCATTCTCCTGCGCCGGCCTAATGCTCTTCTTTCCGTCGCTGCCGGCATTCTGTCCTGCACGCTCGCCAGCTTGTGATTGGTTCACGCCTTTGCCTTTGCGTACGGTCAGCAGATTCGGCTTGCCACTCGTGCCAGTCGGCATACTTTGTGAGCTGCTCGAAAGCATGGTGGCCTGCACCGCGGTTGGCCGATACCCCCAGTTGGCCTTGGCTCGCGCCAGCTCTGCAGGCGGCGCAGGTTCGCTGACCTCCTTGGCGTCAAAGACGAACGCGGCGACACTTCCATCGGCCGAGCAGGCGTACAGAGTAAGCCCGTTGGCGCTCCAACTGAGGTCCATGACTTGCCGCTCGAAAACATCCCGCGCGACGAGCAGGGGCTTGCTGAGGCCTGTGAGCCAAACACTGACGCTCTGATCAAGCGAGCCGAGGGCCATGAGTGATGCATGGGAAGAGCTACCGTCATCCGAGATGCCGCGGAAGAGATTCGGGGAAAAAGCTGCGACGGCGACACAGTTCTCATGCCCGACAAGCGAAATATCTGAGCTCCACGATTCGCGTTCGACCACGCTGCTGACAAAGACGGGCCCACTCATTGCATTTGCGCAAAGTATGTGTGCGCCGTCGGGGCTCCAACTCGGCCGACGGAAGAAAGTGCTAGACGGACTGCCCTCAAAGGGCGCGGTCACCGTCTTGTGGCACGTCCAGTCTGCAGTGCGCCAGACCTTCAAGCTCTTGTCATCCGAAGCGGTTGCCATGTACTGTCCTACCGGATCGAAGCAGACGCCCTTGATGAAACCTGCGTGACCATCGATTCTGCGTAGACGATCGAAAGTGCGGCCATTGTAAACAATGACGACAGAGTCTAGCGAAACAGTCGCCAAATAGAGATCGGAGGGAGCCCATGCGAGGTCAACCACATCTGATGTATGCCCCGCAAGACGGCGCACTGGTCGCCAATTCTCGATAGAGGGTCCGTCCAAGGAAGCAGCTGCGGCAGCAGCTGCGGCAGTACCTATGGAATTGCTTGGCGCAGTGGCGGGGAAGAACTGCTGGGTCGTGCGGTCCCATTCCCAAATGAGCGCAATGGTGTCGTCCGAGCCGGAAGCCAGATAACGTCCGGAGTTGGACCATCGCACTACTAAAACAGATCCTGTTGGATGAGACGATGGGGTATTAGAGCTTTGCGCCAAGATGCCTCTCACGCACATTATTACCCACCTGTATGTCGTGCAAGCGTGGCTAACAGCTTGTGCTTCTTTCTCTCCTCTTCGACAGGAACAGTGTTGATTGTTTCAGAGCTCTCTCTGGCAAGGTGGGACGTGGCGACAGCTTGTGCGTTGCGCTCCTCGTGCTTGCCCTTCTCCTCAGTCGCCACGTCTTCTTCCCAGTCTGGATTCAAGATTGGCTCCGTGTTCCAAATCTTGATCTTCATGTCCAGCCCGGCCGTCGCAAGGCGAGTTCCGTCTGGATGCACGTGAACAGAAAAGATAGTTCCTCGTTTCCTACGCCCTTCCTTCTCTTCGGTAGCTGTTGTGCCATCTTCTGGATTACCGGCTGATGCTGGGACGACAATCACGTTCGAGCTCCCGCCTCCTGTGGCGCTGACCATGTGAGAGATCCAACTGGGAAGAATGAGGCACGATTCTTGCTTCGATGACAGTTGCTGGGCACATTTGACGGCACTGGCCGCCGCCTCTGCTTCAGACTGCTCTTCTTGAGCTGCTAGAGCAACTGCTGCTGCCGCCGCCGTAGCTGAGCCTTTTCTGGTCCCGGCGGAATATGGAGCACGCTGCTTCCCTTTTCCGTTCGCTAGGGGCGCCTTCCCCTTGACTGGAAGCTGGTTTTCAGTTACTTCTCTGCTCTCGGTACCACCCATATTCGCTGCACAGGCTGACTGGCCTTCCAGCAGCTGTGATGATCTTTCAGGCGGAGGCGTCAGGGAGTTTCTGTCGCTGGATGCGCTAAGCATGGGGCTTGGCTGTTCGAACCCGTTAGATGGTCTGTCCACGGACAGAAGTGCTCCATTTCCTCGAGTCGGAATGGGAGGGCTGGAAGGACCCGCAACTGAGTCGTCGACGTTGATGACTTGGGGCTGCGTGCGTGGCTGGCTCGCCTGTCCTTGTCCTTTGCTCTGCGGCGCCCAACGCTCCATGATGGGCAGGTTCGATTCATCGGCTGGGTGATCGAGTGACTGCCGAGGTTTTCGAGAATCCATGTGCACACGATCTTCACAAGCTAGAGAATAAGAAGTAGAGAGGATGTCTGCGGCTGTACCCGGTGGTCCGGCTGGCATTCCGATTGTGTGGGTCTTGTGGCTCTGTAGTTCGCTGAACCCCTTGCTGAAATGCGAACGTGTCCCTTCCCGAAGACACAGGAGTCCTCTGCGTATAACGTAGCGAGAGAAGGGTGTATGCGCTGCAGGCAACCCGCCAGCCGGTAAAGGCACGAGAATGTGATCGCGTAATGAATGAAGGCGCAACACGGCTTGTTTTGCAACATGAAAAGTCTCGCACCGGATTAGCTCCTTGCTGCGAGCGATTCTTGCATGCTGCCCATAATGATCTGAGAAAGGTGATCTAGCAGAGAAGCGTTTCTCCTCCGATCAAACTGTGCATAGCCTTCTAACGGCTACCCGCTGAACAGGAATGAGTACTGAGCACTTTCGATGGTGTACCACTAATGGTGCGTTGGAGGTGATGAACGCGTCGCGTGGGGCGCATTTAACCCTATTCTTTGCGAAGCGCCCGAGTTTCGTAGTTTTCTAGCTCCACCATCAACCATCTTCGGCGCACTCGTTACTCGTATCGTATCCGCCTCTTCCAGGCGAACCTCCTCGTTCCGGTTGTGACGAAGACGCCGTCCAGGCATCAGTTCCCTACTCCAGGCCGCGAAGCACTTGACCGTTCTCTTCGAACCGTCCGGTGCTGCCCTCCGTGTCGCTGCTTCAGGGTTGCGTACTGCTGAGACTCACTCCTTCCTCATCGCCCAACAACCGAGCATTGTCGTTGAACACAATGTCGGAGGTGGAGGAAGCACTTAAGGCCCTCTCACTGGCACGGAAACACGACTTATCCGGTAACACGGAGGCAGCGCTGAAATGGGCGCGAAAGTCCTGCTCAATCAGCAAGACCAAAGAGGCTGCTGCGCTGCTCGCACGCCTCGAATCCCGAGGTGCAAGTGGCAAGGGTCCCAGTGAACACGCATCGTCCTCCGCCGCCACGAATGGCAGCGCAAACCCGGCAGCGCGCAGTCGTTCAGCTACAGGGGCGTCATCAGCTCCCGCTTTCACTTCTGTGGCTCCGGAAGAAAAGAAGGAGCGGGCATATACTAAGCAGCAATTAGAAATTGTACAGCGGATCCGGAAATCTGGGGGAGACTTTTACCAAGTCCTAGGCGTCGAAAAGACAGTCGATGACAATGGGATCAAGAAGGCCTATAGGAAGGTGCTTCCTACGTCCCTGATGAGTGTATTCAAGAAGAAATAGGCGCATACTGACAGACTTGTCACTTTGTCGCCTTTCAGCTCGCTCTCCAGCTGCATCCCGACAAAAATGGTGCACCAGGGGCAGACGAAGCCTTCAAGCTTGTCAGCAAAGCCTTCACCATCCTGTCTGATCCCGACAAGCGTGGCGCGTACGATCGCTTCGGCGGCGACCCAGAACAACGCTTCGCTGCGTCATCCTCCAACGCTGCCGGTGCCGCTGGAGGCCCCGGCATGCGCTTCAGAGGAGGTCCAGGAATGTTTGCAGAAGAGGTCGATCCGCAGGACCTTTTCAACATGTTCTTCGGCGGCGGAATGGGTTCGGGTTTTGGGCCCGGCGGTGCGACTTTCTCATTTGGCGGGCCAGGCATGGGTGGGCGGACATACTACGCCAGCAACGGGCGACGGGCTCGGCAAGCAGGAGCAAGGCAGCCGCAACAAACATCGCAGAACACCTCGATTCTACTCCAGCTTTTGCCTTTGCTCATTCTTGGCCTCTTCTCGCTTCTCTCGTATGCTCCCTCCCTCTTCACCACGGCCGACCCGTCATACACATTCACCCAGTCTGGCGTATACAGAGACCACCGTATCACACCAAAGAATGGCGTTTCGTACTTTGTCAACCGCGATTCGTTCTCGCGCCATCCGTTCACCGCTGGTGGAAGTGGGGCTACCAGCAATGGCGGCCTGAAGGGCTTTGAGGATCGAGTCGAGCGCGAGTGGCGGAATCGCCTATACGGGCAGTGCGAGAGGTATCGCGAACATCAGAGCCGGCGACTGCAAAATACGCAGGGATTCTTTGGTATCGGGGTGAGCGACAGCGACTGTAATACCCGCCTTTACTGTATGCTGACGTCCTTTTCCACCTTTCTGCAGGCGGATCCACAAGCGGCTGCGCAGATCCGCGCGGAAAAGTACGAGCCTTGCGAGCGGTTGCATGACTTTGGTATCTATATGTGATCGCCCTTAACCTTGTAACACAACCAGAGGAAGTCTCATTAAGTCGGTTACACTGAAGCCCTTTCCATATCAGGCATAGATTACAGTGGACCTGCGACGTAGGAAGCCGCGCGTGTGCGGCCATAAGAGGGCCGAGCGCGTTAGTCTACGAAAGAAGCGGTTGAAATGGAAGCGAATGGGTCTATCAACGGTGCGAGCGCGAAACCTTTTATCGATTATGATAGCCTGCAGATAAGCGGGGAGGGTGCGTCACCTAGGGCGATCGATGGAGCCCGTCCACAAACCTTTCTTCCGTTACAGTCAATGTTGATCAATTCTGGTTGTTCGGCATGGGAGCAACAGACTGGGGTAACATCATTGTTGGCATGCTCGCGCGACAAGTGCCAGCGAAGTGTGAGGTGACAGTGCGACCGTGAACAATGACGTATGGCGTGAACAGGCGGCTGACAAACGCAGAAGCACTGCTGGATATGAGCTCTAGAGGGACTTCCGCTTGCGGAGAAGGCCTGAGTAGCATCGGCGGAGGAGCAAAAGGCTCGTTAGACCAATTTGCAGCCGCTCTAAGAAGCGAAGCATTCCACTTTGGCGACCCGTCCATCGAGTTCTTCTGCGATCCTAAGCCGCTCTTCACCGAAGCTCGTCCCAATGGCTATGTCAAATCGGTACTATCTACAGCGATTGTATGCAAAACTGAGTCTTCAGCTAGCAGCTCTGTTTCATTTGACGTTGATGTAACAGCTGACGTCAGAGTCAGAGGCAGCTATGCAAACGGAGCTTTAAAGAAGGGCCGTTCATACGAGTGATACGGCGTCAGCTGCAGGGATAGAGGTAAATCAGGTGAGCATATACTTCAGCCTCAGACTTTGCTCATCTCCATCGACACCTGGCCGTCCATGTTTGGGCATGCCCTTAAGAATGACCCACAGCTTAATAGCGACCGCATCGCGCAGTCTTGTCCAAAAGACACAACCATAGCAGCAGCAACAGGGTCTAGGCCAGAGCACAACGTCCAGAATTGCTATCTGACAAATGAGCTGTGACAGCTACTGTGACGGAACCAAAAGACACATGTATGCGCGCACGGGATGTGTGCGTCGATGAATCGCCCTTGGCAATTTTCTCCGCTGAAGAGCCTTGGACTGCGCAAGAACGTCTGATTACGCGGAGGTTGCGGTGCTTCCCATTGCATCTGTTCTCTTCGCTAGATTTGCTAGCAGTTTTACCTGGGACGGCTGAATTCAAGCCTGCCGGCGATGAATCTGGAAAATTGGTGTAGAGTTCCTTCGATCGATCGCACTGGCATGGCGGGCTTGTGAGAATGATTAGTCTGTTAGGCGCGGAACCCAATTGCCCGAGACTGCCGAAGACGATGCTCGGTCGATCCATCCAGCCACACATAAAGCCCGCCATAGAAACACTGCTGAGTGGGAGCCATCCACCTCCCGCTTGCCCTGGTCCGTCTGAGAGATTATGTACAAGTAGAAAGGGGCATCAACGTGTCGCGTTGGGCAGTTCCCAGGACCACCACAACCATCCCATGCTCCGAATCTACCGGCTACACAGACAACTCCTTGGTCTCAGCCCATTTGTCACATCGATCAACCCAAACCTTGCGCTGCAATACTCACATCTGCGCAGTCGCACGATGGCATCTTCAAGCGTGCCCTCGACCATGAAGGCCCTCCAGATCCAAAAGCAGGGGGGACTGGAAGTGCTCGAAATTCACGACGTTCCGGTCCCTCAGCCTGGTCCCGGCCAGGTGCTTTTGAAGGTAGAGTGGGCAGGAGTCAACTTCATCGACACGTGAATGGAACGATGCTACTGCCAAGCTTTGGATGGCCCTCGGCTAACCATTTCATCTCACATCTAGCTATCTGCGCTCTGGCTTGTACAAGAAGGAGACCCCCTTCATTTTGGGTAACGAGTCGGCGGGTACTATCCATGCTGTAGGTCCAAACGTAAGCAACGTTAAGGTCGGAGACAAGGCATCAGGCTACCTTGCAACGGGCGGCGGCTACGCAGAGTTTGCTCTGCTGGAGGATAGCAAGATCGTCAAGCTGCCCAGCAACGTCGACACCAAGACCGGCGCAGGTCTCGTCTTGCAAGGCCTCACAGCCTGGACGCTTGTCAAGGAGGCGTACGAAGTCAAAAAGGGTGACTACGTGCTTGTCCATGCTGCTGCCGGTGGTGTTGGTCTCCTGCTTTGTCAGGCGAGTGTGGCAATGTAATGAACATCGATAGGTTCTGCGCTTATAACCTCTCCCTCACTACCCCTTACAGATGTGCAAATACCTCGGCGCCCACGTCATCGGCACCACGTCCACAACGGAGAAGGCCGAGCTGGCCAAGGCGAACGGCGCAGAATACGTCATTCTTTATGGGAAAGGCGAGAGCGTCGTCGACAAGACATTGGAAATTACGGGCAACAAGGGAGTTCAGGGCATCTTTGACGGTGTTGGAAAAGACACATGGGAAGGTGAGTGGCCGCAATAGCGGATGGAATTGGCAATCGCTACCAATTCGTCCTTCAACAGACGACTTTAAAGTCATCGCGCGCAAGGGCACGATTGTCACTTTCGGCAATGCAAGCGGTGCTGTCGAGCCATTCGCGCCGCTGAAGCTATCAGCCAAGAATATCAAGGGTAAGCAGAGCCAAAAAATCATTCTCGTGATATTCCTTTTCTACATTGGGCTGACAATGAGCCTGCAGTCGTCCGCCCCACACTCGGAAACTATGTTGTGACACGGGAGGAGCTTGATCGCTACAGCAATGAGCTGTGGGAGCTTCTTGCCAAAAGCGTCATCAAGTTGAGCGTGCACAAGGACTATTCGTTCAGCGCCGAGGGCATTAAGCAGAGCCAGATCGACATTACGAGCCGAGGAACGACGGGCAAGCTGCTGATCAAGATTTCGTGATGGCGCAGTACATATGGTATCACTGTACGTCCACGGATGAATGAAATATGAGAAGTAAGCAATGGCGATAATCTTCGGCTATAGACGCGACGCACCTTGGCATACCGGTCACTCTTTTTTTTCGCTCGCATCTCTAACAGTATTTCCGCCGATCTTGGTTTGTTTCCACCTCCCATTACCATGCCCCCTTGTGCTTGCATCGCAGCTGGATCGTATCTCTTCATGAGCCCGGAACTGCTCACCTCCATCTTGGCGCGCGCTTCTTGCCGTGCCTGGTGTCGGTACTTCCACTGCACCCGCACCTGCCACGCGCACTCTTCCGCGCGATCGGCGTCAGCGCGCAGCACCGTCTTGCCTCCCGCGACCGTTCCGAGGGTGAGGTATCGGCCATGCACGGCGCTCTTCACAGCCAAACCTCCTGCTCCACTGCGTATCGGCTCGATCTCCCACCCTTCTTGCGGACCACGTGCTTCGGATTCAGCATGTATTGCACCATGCTTGTCCGCCCCAATGAAGCGCCCTTCTGCACCGCTCTTGAAAGACCACGTAGTGCTGCCAGCGACGCGGTTGGCGACCCACACCTGGTGCACATGCGTGGGGCTCACTTCGATGGCAGCGATCATCGCTCCCGCTTCCTCGCCGCCCTCCTCTCCGGTGAGCAGTATTTGCTGATTACCCAAATCCGGCGGGGCTATCGAGATCGGGACGATGGACTGCAATGTTGAGTTAAATTGCAATGTGTAAGGAATTGGCTTCGAGGAGGAAGGGTCTTGCAGCTCCTGGAAGAGAAAGCAAGGGCCATTGACGTCGATTGCGGATTCTGCCGGAACCCAAGCTTAGCAGTGCAGGGTGGCCAATAGCGTGGCATTAGATGGCCGCTTGGGAAATAGGTACCACAAAACGGAAACATACCTTGTTCATCGCCACCATACTCTTCAGCGTCGCTCTCGGGGCTTCTCTTGCGCTTTCCATCCGCTTTTGATGATGGACCACCCGAAGACGACGTCGATCTGGGCTTGTGCTTCTTTTTTGCCTCGCCTTTGAAGCTCAGGCGCATGGACTTCTTCTTGCTAGAGTCCGGCATGGTCTGAGCGGTGGCTCTCTTGAGCTTACGTCTCCCAGTAGTCGTACAATTTCAGCCGTCAAAAGATATTCAGCACTGCGATGCTCTTCGCGGAAAGCTTGAAAGCATTAAAAACTGTACCCCTGTTCTCTACACGACACGGCTCCGTTGCACGCCTTGTCGGATCAGAAATGGCATCTATCTGCCTTCTGCACCCGGGAGCAAGTCTTGGTTCCAATGGGTTACGTCCTTGCCTTTTCGAAAGCAGCCAGTCAGCTGGTTGACTCTCTCTTGCTCCTTCCCGCAACTTGGAGAGGTCGAAAGAGCGGAGCTGGTGTTACGTAAGCAGGCCCGGAAATGCGCACCAACCATCATCATCGCATTGATTTCAGTTAGGCAGGCGCATGACCAGTTACAGCAGGGAGGGGGAGCTGGAGTGGCGGACTCGACGCGTTCTTTCAGTAGACGGGGTTTTTTTTCGAAATTTCGAATATTAGACAACCCAGCTGTTCCAACTCTGTGGTGCTCGAAGTCTTACCGAGCACAGCTCGCAATTCGAGTATGGCCTCGGTCGTTCGCTTTAGCTCTCACTGCCACCCTTTGCTAGTCAATTTGACGTTCTCGTAGTACCTAAATGCACGTGGGGGTGAAATACTTTGTGAAGCCTGCGAGCAATTCAAGTGCGGCGCAACAGCAAGCAAGATATAGCTCATTCTATGACGGCATTACCACGGAGTGACTGTCATCATGCCTCATACTGCACGCAAGCGCAAAGCCCTCGACCGTGCGGCCGCAACAGAGGGGGACCTTCCGAAACCATCGGTAGCTGTCTTGAAGACGGATGCCGAACCGGTTGAAGACCGGGGGCGACGTTCAAATTCAAAGCGACGGAAGGCTGTCCAAGCGGAGCAGGACTCCAAAATTGGTTCAGAGAAAGACTCAACCTCTGCAAAGATGGGATCGAAAAAGTCGGCAACGGCGCATTCGGTCGCAATAGCAGGGTTCCACACGCTGCTCAAGCGGATCGCGCAGTGCCAAGATCCCAGAGAAAAGGAGCGCTTGCGACAGCAGATGGACGAAACGTACGGTGGCCTCGATGGGTATCAAAAGGAAAGTCTCAAAGGGCGAGATAGGCACAATGCGGGAGAAACTGGCAAGTGGCTCGTGCAGCAGGTCGGACCGATATGGAAGGCAGAGCAAGAAGCATCTGGCAAGAGACGGGTAAGTACGACGGCCTGCTCTTTGAGCAGGTGGGAATGCGATGTTGACCTTCGAGATTTCCTTGCAGATCCGGCTCCTCGACGTAGGATCGCTATCGGGCACGGCGTACCACAAATACAAATGGATAGATCCTGTTAACATTGACCTCAGCCCACAAAGCGAAAGGGTGATCAAAAGCGATTTTTTCGACTGGCCGCTGCCGCAAAACGAGGCTGCTTGCTTTGATTGCGTCGCCCTGAGCCTTGTTATCAACTTTGAAGGAAACCTCTTCCGGCGCGGCAACATGCTCCTGCACGCACACAAGCACCTCACAAAGGCTGGCTTCCTCTTCCTGGTCTTACCTCTCGCCTGCGTCGAGAACTCTCGATACCTCGATCATGCACGTCTACGCGCGATCCTCCACGCATGTGGCTGGAACGTTGTCGAACAGAACGACAGTGCCAAGCTTACGAGGTGGTTGTGTCAACGGAGACAGGACCAAGCACAGGCAGGATGGGACGGAACATCATTCAAAAAGGAGGAGATTCGCAAGGGCCCGTCGTTCAACAACTTTTGCATTCGCGTTGGACAGCAGGGCCGCGAGGAGAAGACGTGAGAGGACCACACGGACAAGGTCAAGTGTCCCAACTGAGCAGAATACCATCTACGCGACTTTCTAGCCACTTGGTGTTCCCCCAGAAGCCCCAGCCCGCCTGGAAGCGCAACCAGTCGACCAACGCGAGCCCCCAATGCTCGACAAAGGTGTCCCAGCTGTAGCTGTCCGACCCTAGCTGCTCGTGATAGTATCTCAACAGCCCCTCTTCACCCTTGCACATGATCCTGTTCGCCTCCGCCAAGCCGTCTTTTTGCACACTAAGCATCGCAGGCGCGACCGAGCAAGTGAAAAGCTTGGCAAGATCGCATACACCTAGCCCCAGCCCAACGTATTGGAAGTCAAAGAAGGCGACCTCGTTGCCATCCTCGGAAGTGAAGAGGTTCTCGCTCTTGACGTCGCCGTGCAGGAGCGTAATATAGTCCCGAAGTTCAGGAGCGGTCGGATCGAGCCTTGCGGCAACATGATCGGCTATGCGCTGCGAACGAAGGCGGGACCAACGTTTGGAAGATTCCAACGCGGCGTATTCGTTCTGGCGCGTGGCAAGGTATCTGTAGTCGCCGGCAGCCGAATCAATCATCGTGTCAGCGGCTCGCTACGAACCCCCGATCACACTTCGGGAACGCACTCACGTATATCCACCATTCAACCAGACACTCGCGCGCCAAGTAACCTCCGGCGACGCGCGTCGGCGACGAGCTTCTGACAGCGGAGGCCGACACAGCGAGTCGTTGCGAAGCATCTCCTTGATTGCGTCATTACCTTTGTGCATCCAAAATGAATGGAAGCGTGCAAGCCATCTTATTGCGGCGTAAGCCTGCGCCTCATCTAGCAGGCCTCGTTTGGATGGCGACCGTGGGAATCGAGGCCGTAGGTCACTTAGCATCAAAGCGATAGGTACCTGTGTTAGACTTTGGCCTGCCTGTTTCTGCAGCGCTGCTATTCGCTGTGGACGAGTGTTCCCGACGCAGTCTGCCACTGCTATATCGGCACCAGTATGTTGAAGCATGTAAGGAACCAGGACGCTGTAAAAGTACTGCTCGACTTCGTAAGAGTAAATCTTGCGCAAATCCCCCTCATTCATCTCGGCCGTGGCATCGGCGACGGGTGCCCCGACATACTTGAGGATGAGCCGGGCGCCCTCGCCCTCTCGGCCATTTGCGGTCTGAAGTCTGCTGCAAGGAATATCTGCGATTACCGAGTACACGTAGCCAAAGCCGGCCCAGAGCGACTGGACCTGCGTGATGGAGTGCACTTTCGAGCCCTCTGGGAGGAGAGAAGCTGCAAGCGGCTCCATTGCCTGCGATGAAATGCCCTTCTGTCCCTGGCGACGTTCCGTTACCATCCAAACTTCAGGACTAGCATTTCAGAGTGTGGTAAAACACCGTATCTGGTGTATATCTAATAATGATGCGTCCGTCGGCCCTTGAGGCCAATCAACCAAGACTCGGAAGACTGGCAGACTGATCACTAGTGATGATGGGAGAGTTTGTACTGAAGTAACCCTACTTTGGTTCAATCGAGTGTCTGTCACCACGGTTCAGGCACGGTACGAAAGAGTGTCAGAAAGGAGCCTTGCTGCATCAGCATCAGCATGAGTTTGCCACTAACTTGCCACCTCGGCCGGCTAAATATCCGGCCAAGATACGGCAGCGCAAAGCTGGCAAGCCGCAATGGAGCTCGAACAGCTCGACAAGATGGTGAAGCCGCTGATCCGTTCACTTTCTGGCTTGGGAAATCCGGGCTCATACCAACGTGTCCTACAAGCCGTCGCCATCGCCGAGAAGACGAATTCCAGCACTGTCGCTCACCAAGGATGGCGCCTAGAGCTACCGCATGAAGATAAAGACGGAAAAGGCGCTTCAGGAGCACCAGAGCCGAGCCAAGCCTCACAGCAAACAGTTGAGGCTTCGGCGGCCATTGCCGCCATGGAGGAGGCAGAGGCGCTAAAAGGACGCAGAGTCGCTCGTCCCAAGATGTCTAGCAATGAGAGCGCGGAATGCGATATGGGCCCTTGGGGTTCACCCGAGGCGGCTGGGCTGGACCTTTGGATGAGCGATTCGAGGCAGCAAAGGCAGAGGGTGCTTTCAAGACCAACAAGTTGAGGGGTAAGCCGCTCGTCCGAGAAGTGGAGGAGAGCACCTCGTTCATCAAGCGCGAGGAGGCGAGCACCCAGGCTATCAGGACGTTGAACTTGGTAGAACGCTGACCCTGAAACATATTCCTTTAGTACTTGCTGAACTGTATTATCCGAATTCAAGGTGCAACGCCGCATTGGGTGGAACTGAATGGCGAGCTGGACAAGGAAGTCTCGTCATTTCGTTCGCGCATGCTAGACAATTGGATTTGCCGTGCCACACAGATGATCACTTCACGTTCTGATCTCCATGAAGGATGCGATCCACTTCCGACGAGCGTCATTGCACAATCATCTGAACAGGCTGCAGCCATCTTCGTCCGGCCAAGGACCCGAGGCAGCCGCACATCGCGTGTCGATTGTACCCCGACACGACGCAGTTGCAGCATTTCCAGGCTTTCGTCGACGACCCGGACGCCCTGTCACGCGATGCTACTAGCAACATGCAAGACTTACCATGATGCAGAGTAGCAGCAACGCGAACACAAATTTCACTCGATAGAGATACAAGACATCAACGCCAATATTAGAGGGTACAACGGCACCACACCGTACCATGCTCGCAAGCTCATGCTCGACCGCAAGGTGAAGCTCAACAGAGCATTCGAGCGAGCGGCAGGGCGGCAGGTGGCCGCTGTCAGCAAAGACCTACACGCTAAGCGCAAAGGGCCTCCTCGGCTAGCGCAACCTGCACGGTAGAACCCACGTTCGATCAAGAGCTTGCTGCGGACTTCAGGTATCTTGGGAAGGGAGCTCCCACTGGTGGCCGACCACACGGACTTTATAGAAACAGACATCGCGCCACGTCAGTCGATACATGGCGCACGCGATGGTCCGAGCACCGGTGCGTGTAGGCATGGCGGTGCTGCAGGCATCGGGAATGACTATGGACGTGCGCTTTCGGACGGCATTGACGTAATGCTACTGCTCCGACGGACCACCGACTGGGTTCGTGCGCGAGGTGGACTGTAGAGTTTCAACTCTAGACCGGTGTGGTAGCGAAATATCGCATTTTAGTAGTCTATGTAGCAGATATGCATTCGAACATCATGCCAAGCTGAGGCCAGCTTGCTGCATTTCTTGGACTAGTTGCGCCGCCAATTCGGAATTTGCTGCTTCTACCGCAGACTTAAGCTAGAAGATAAAAAACAAAGTCAGTTTGAGCTCGTGCCCGAAGACACAGGACTTACGATTCCAATAACTCACCACATTTGGATGCCCCATGCAGGCGGCAGCAAGCTGTCGTAGCAGATACGCCTTTAAATCACCTCCCGCAAAACTAGATGGATCTTTGCGCGGCGGTTGCGATGCTGCGAGCTGCGAGAAAGACGTCTGGAATCCAAACTCTTCCAAGTCGAACGCAGCCATGTCATCCTGTTCATCCTGCTCAACGATCGCGTCCGATGGTCGCAGAATCCCTGGGAGGAGGGTGCGCAGTAGCGATGGACTTCCGGGCGAGCGTGTTCGTGTGTCAGGTCACAGGGTTCCAGGTGCTACAACAGCAATGCGTGCCGGTGACTTACAGGCTAGTGACATTGGGTGCTTGCAGCATTGCGGGCGCCTCCGTGATCAGCCGGGTAATTCCAGCGAACACGACTCTTCGTTGCGTTTGTGGGATCTGCGCGAGCTCTGGTGCGATGATGCCTTGCAGTAGCTGTGAAAACAGACTGCGCGGGTGCAAGTCCAAACCGTGCGTCAGCTATAAGCTATCAGCCACGCAGCATAAAATGCACTCACCCAGGTTGCACCTCGTCAAAGGCAGATACAACTGCCTGCGGGTATTCTTGCTTTTGAATGCAAGCGAGGTAGCTGACAAAGTAGACGAAGCCCTTCACAAACTTATCTGTGCGGCCTGTTTGCATGCGCGTCAGCATGAGTGTGAGCACTGGCTTGCGATACTGAGCAATGGCGGTCCTGCGCAAGCGTACATGCAGTGTTTCTCGTGTCAGCAAGTTCGACAGGATTAAGGCTGCAACGCACGCGACTCACTCAGGGATGTGCTCAAAGACGGACTGGAGTAGCCCAAAGCCATACAGATCGTTGATGCGACTGTTGATGAGCTGCTGGTAGATGCCCATGACGGGAGTGATCTGGCCATTGGCCACCATCTGCTGCGCCCCTCTCGCCAAGAAGCTCTGAAAGAGGCGCACCAGTGCAGGTACGTTGCCGCGCTGCTGCCACAGCGTGGCGGTCAGCAGCGGTGGGAGGAGGTCCACGTACGCCTCGGGTAGGTCCGACGAGGTGTGCTGCTCGAGCATCTGCGCGAGGATCTGGAAGACAAAGGGCACGAACTCGACCACATCGCTTTGCAAGATCGTCGTGAATGGCCCAAAGAGCGACTGCTCGCAGCTGCTCAGCGTTGACGCGTCGGCTGCGACAACGAACCTGGTATGCAAAGCAGCATCATTGTCAGGGTCTTGTAGATGTGCGCCCTGGATGCCCCATGCACAACTCACCGAATGAGGGCAGAAATGCTCTCAAAGACAAACTGGTTGAACTTGGGGTTGCTTGGGTTCTTGGAAATCTCGGCGAGAACGTTGGTGAGCTGCTGAAGAATGGGAGAATGGAAGGGTGCAAGGGTGTGGCGACTAGTCATGATGAGGCGCATGACGCACTTCATCAGGTAGTCATTCTCTGCGATCTTCTCCGGCGTACCGCCGGCCATGATTGTGCGGAAGCACGCCATGAGGATCGTCTCGGAGAATGGCTGGACGTCCGCAGGCGAGAAGAGCGGCTGCGAGGTAGAGCCGGACGTCTTGAGGAAGAGGATGCGCTCGATAGTGATGGCGGCGTACGAGCACGTCACGTAGTTGCCGCTTTCGAGGTGCTGGACAAGCAGCGGGAGGACGCTGAGGAGCTGTTCCTTGGTTAGCTGATTTCGAAACGTGTGGAGGAACTTGATGGCATCGACCTGCAGGATAGGGTTTGCCACGTCGGTCGAGCTGGCTTGCAGGTCTGCAAAGACATTGTCCGAGAAGAACTTGACAACGTCGATCAGCGCATTGACGGACGAAACACCGTGTTGCGCTGTGGAGCCGCCAACGGCGATCGAAGTGAGCAGGTAGATGGCCGTGTCTTTTTGCTTCCAGTTCTGTACCGGGTCGGCGCGGTACTCGGCAAGGAACTGGGCAATGTACTGCTCCATGACGCCCGTGACGGTCTGCCCGAAATGCTGCATCAGCGCGCGCGTAAAGTCCGAGGAGGCTTTGCGGCGCGTGTCATTCTCTGCACTCGTTTCGAGGTCGCGGCGGATGTACTCTATCGGGTTGTCCTCAAACAGTTCTTCGTCCGACTCGCGCAGCTGTGCGTTTGGGAGGATGATGGCAGTGACAAACTGCCGCAGCGTGTCCTCTGCCTCGAACATCACCTTTTGACTGCCCATGCGCACGATTGTGCTGAGCAAGCCCGTCGCCTTGGCCACGAGCACGTCGTAGCGCTCTCCCTGGCCGCAGGTGCCGAGCATCTGCCAAACGGCTTGGACGAACGGCCCGAGGTGCTTGGAGAACTCCTCCGGGTACTTTTGCGCGTACAGCTCACCAACCTCACACACACCGGCGCGTACTTTTTCCAGAGGTCCTGCTTCGGTGCTGTCGTCGTCCGGCGCAAAGGCGAGCTCGGGCCTCGAGAAGCTCAGCCAGCGCATTAGAATGGGGACGATGACTTCGTCAAGGTTGTCTTCAAAGTGCGGTGGCAGATCCTGAACGGAAAGGTCGTAGAAGATTTGTATCTCGACGCTGAGTGCCGATGTGAGAGGAAGGATCGAGGCGGAAGGGGTTTCTGCATCATTCAGTGTCGCATCGGTGCGTTGAAGAAGCTGAAGGAAAGGCTCAGCGTATACGCCGAGAACGAGGTTGATCTGCGTCCAGAGTGCGTCGGTCCGGAATGCAGATCGCCATCTTCGGAATATGCTGTGTGAGGTTTGCAGGACGGTCATTAGTACGCTGTGGTCCTGTTCATTCAGCCGCGACACGAGCTCCTCGATGAGCGAGGGCCATCGCTGTGGAAAGTCGTGCTCTGCGATGTGCGCTACTGCCTCTCTGAGCTGTGTGCGCAGTCCGACGAGGCTCCCCTGCGTTTGCGCCTGTGCTTGTGAGGAAGCGAGGCGAAACAGCAATGGAAGTACCTGCAGCCTGACGGTTTGCTTGTCGGCCTCTGCGATAACGCCTTCGTGGTCGTCCGAGTCTGCCCACCCGTTCTTGCAGAGGTTCTTCAGGTTGATCGCAGCGGCCAGACGCGTTGGCAGGGGGATGCTACTGCTGCTGTTATGCTCAATGAGCGACAGCAGTAGCTGCGGAAAGCCGGGCTGACTTTGTGCGGCGGTGATCTGCGCCTCGGCCGCCTTGCGGGCACCTGGGTCAGGCTGCAGCGTCACCTGGAAGAGCCCAGCAAGGCTGGCGACGTGTGCGTCCATTGTAGCCGTCCGAGTTGCTGTGGTGTTGCACGAGGGTGCAAGGCGAGCTGTTCTTCTTGTTCAGCGCGCGTAGATGCACGCTGCTACTAAACCGAGGGCTGAGATCGAGAAGAGGCTGCGCCAGAGCGTCCCAGGAGCGAGAGTCTATAGCGAGAGGTATGTGAGATGATCCAAAAGTGTTTGGTGTTGGTTGCTCTTCTTCGAAGGTGCGACGCGCTGCTGATGGTTGGTTAGTGTGCAATGGGGAAGTGCATTTTTTCTGAGTTCCGAGTTCCGAACGACTAACGGAGATCGCAAGGACGAAGAGCACACGAGTCACAACCCATCCTCTTCTCCCCCATTCATCCCTGCTGTGTCACACGATGACGACGACGACGATGAGCCAAGGAGCGGGACGGACATCACACATCACTGCAAGCTGGAAGCCAGACTCGTGCAACGCTGATCGCCTGGAGTATGCGACGATAACCCTGCAGCCATGCCGCCTACGACCCACATCCCATCCGGCCCGGACATTGTCTGCCCAGCCTTCGCTGTCGGCTCCGCTTCTGTTGCACACATGAACGGAAACAGTGTGCCCGACCCGCTAGAGAGGCACACGAAATGGATCGTCCAAAAGTATGGAGGAACGTCCGTTGGAAAATTCCTGTCTACCATCGCAAGCGTCATCGCGCCGCACTACCTACAGACACACAAGGTCGCGATCGTCTGCTCCGCGCGTAGCGGTCAGACCAAAGCGCTCGGCACGACTAACCTTCTGCTCAAGGCTGCCAAAGAGGCACTGGAGGGTGGCCAACAGACGCCTGCTGCTTCCACACCAGGCGGTGGTGGATCGGTAGCGCTTCGCTCCGGAGGAGCCGGCGGCTCGCTCTCATCTTCCCTCGCTAGCCTCTCTGCTGACTCAAGCGCTGCGGCTGGGGGAGCGGCGAACAGATTGCCTTCTGCATCCGCATTTTTCCGCACAAGCGGGAGCAACAGCGATTCCTCGCCTTTGCGGGGCACCGAGCAGCAGAGCTCGCTCTCGCGCACCTCCAGCTTCCACAAGTCTCTCAACGGCAAGTTGTCAGCGCTGAGTGTCTCGCATACCCCCGATCGGGGGCGCTCCTCGTCTCCCCCCTCAACAGAGACGCCGCCGTCGCCGCCTGTGACTGGCTTCCACGCTACGGTGGACCGCATCTACTCAGACCACATTGCCGCCGCACGCTCAGTCGTCACAAAGGATCGAGAGTTGCTTGCACTCCTAGAGCAGGAGATCGAGGAGGACTGTGATCGCTTGCGCGACTTTTTGCTCGCCGCCAAGGTGTGTGACTGAGTAGAGGCACCGCGTCATTGAATGACGCTAACATAATAACGCCTTGCTTATTGCAGATCATTGAAGAAATCTCCCCTCGCTCGCAAGACATCATCATGGGCATTGGCGAGCGACTGTCCTGTCGCATTGTCGTCGGTGCACTGCGGGATGCCGGCGTAAACGCTGAGCTTATCGGTCTTGAGAACATTGTCGATCAGCCCTTCTTAGACTCGATCGGCGCATCTCCCGATGTGGCAGGGCGTGGCGCTTCTGCTGGCAGCAGCGGCAGCACTGAAGTCTACCTGGACCAGCGCTTCTATGACGCTCTGGCTGAGAAGCTTGGCGCTGTCTTGCAGCAGTGTGATGGCGTGCCCGTTGTAACGGGCTACTTTGGCAACGTCCCCGGCTCGCTGCTGCAGCAGATCGGACGCGGATACACCGACCTGTGCGCCGCGCTTTGCGCGGTCGGGCTCCGCGCGCAGGAGCTGCAGATCTGGAAAGAGGTTGATGGCGTCTTCACTGCCGATCCGCGCAAAGTGCCCACCGCGCGCCTCATCCCCGCCATTACGCCCGAGGAAGCAGCGGAACTCACGTACTACGGCAGCGAGGTCATCCACCCTTTCACAATGGAGCAGGCCATTAAGAACGCCGTCCCCATCCGTATCAAGAACGTCGAGAACCCCGAGGGCCAAGGCACGGTCATATTCCCGGATCGCGAAGGCGACGTAGGAAGCGAGCACGTGGTCGACGGCAAGATTGAGCAGCCCCGTACGCCTGGTGGCAAAAGCGGCACGAACATACCCTGGGGTGCTGGCTCGGGGCTCCTCACGCCTGGCTTTGCCGCGGACGAGGACTTGGCAGGCAAGCAGCGCAAATTGCCAACAGCTGTCACGATCAAGGACGATATCATCGTGCTCAACGTGCACTCCAACCGCAAGACCATCTCGCACGGCTTCTTTGCGCGCATCTTTACCATTCTCGACCGATACGGCGTCGTCGTCGACTTGATCTCGACGTCGGAGGTGCACGTGTCCATGGCCATGAACGGCTCCTTCCGCCGCGGGCAGCTCGAGCGCATCAAGGATGAGCTCTCCGCAGTCGGATCCGTCTCGATCCTCCACGACATGGTCATCGTCTCGCTCGTTGGCAAGCAGATGCGCAACATGGTTGGCGTCGCCGGCAAGATGTTCACTACCCTCGCAGAGGGTAACGTAAACATTGAGATGATTTCGCAGGGTGCAAACGAGATCAACATTTCCTGTGTCGTGCACAAGAGGAGCGCACTCAAAGCAATCAACCTCATCCATTACTCTGTTCTCGAGGTCAGCCCCAAACCGGTTAATGCGCAGAGCGGCAACTTTGGCTCGTCGTTCTTCTAAGAAAGCGTAACCAGGCTGTATGTACCCGCTGCAGGGGCAGTGTACTGCTCACTGGATTGCGAGCTTTGCAATCTCGATGCCTTTGTAGAGATACATCCCATGCGCGAATTTGATATCTCGTTCAGTGTAAGGGCAGTTTAGCGACTACCTCTCCTTCAGCGTATCCACGTGGATCGTCGCATAACGTGGCCGACGGTGCATCAACATTGATACCATTCCACAACTGCTCCAAAGAACGGATGGCCTCGCCGGGAAGCGGTCCTTGCTCGCAAGGTATCAGTGACATGTCGATATGCACCTTACGAGGCACTGAGGACGACTGCGTCGTGTTCTTTGAGGTCCGAGTGATGTCGAAGCCAACGCAGCGAGGCCTCCATGATGGAGAGCAAGTGCTGCTCGCAGATACGCGTGAGGGACTTCGACTCTGCGATCATCTCGTGTTTTTGAATATTTAACCAAATACTTGCATTTTTCTGTACCGCGTTCCCGCTGCTGGATTCAGAATCGCATCAACATCTTTGGCAAGCGCTACCGGCAGGCGGGCTGTATTTGTGGAAGTCCATGCCGTACTAGTCGAGCAAAAGGCGCAGGCTTTGGAACGAGTTTCTAGCCAGTACGCTGTAGGTACCCTCGTACACGAAGGGCAGAAGATTCCATTCCTTGCTGCAGGTCGTGTGAACCATTTTGACATGCGCAAAGCTGACGTCCGAAACGCCGAAATGCTCGAACTTGCCTACATAGCAGAGTTTGCCGATCACACAGCACGGCTCCTCTATTGGAGGTTTGGATTCAGGGCCGTTTAGGATATAGGTATCGAATTTAGGTTGCTTCAGCACATCAAGCGACTCTTTGCAATTGGCCAAAATGTGGATTCCAGCAAGGGACCTTGGAGAGATATTTCGTGCTTTGGTCGATACTTGACAGTCACGGTGCGCTGCGACCGCACCGAGCACCTCCTATGATTGACCAGCATTTTAAACACATGCCATGTCAAGTTTACAAACAACGCTTCTAGCAAACGTCGAGGAAAGACTACACATGCTCCGGAGTCGCCATGTACGACGAACCCTTCCCCACGCTCAAGCTCTAAGGCCATGGCGATTCGCACGATGGCAGTGATTCAACGATTTGTGTGATTCGCTCAGGGAAAATGTGCTTCATTGCATAGCAAGAAACATCAAAGGATAGGTGTTTTTCTTGAATGAAGGTCCTTGCTTAATCATGGCCAAGGAGTTGAGCATGGAGTATATAGCCCCAGCTACACGGAGTTGATATAGAAAGAAGCGACGATGCTGGCATTGATTTAATTTGCTTGACTCGAGAATCGAGATGAGGACCAGTAGACGATGCTTTAACTATTAAAGTAATTCCGCGTCCTCTGAATCTGTATTCCCTGGATCTTCGTTGTATCTTCCATATTGTCCTGTCCCAGCGCTTATTCGTTGATAAAAAAGACTGGACACCGTAGCTAGCCGTAGAACGTGAACAAACCAAGTATAACCCGTTCCTCTGTGACCACATTCGACTTTGTCGACTTCGACCGGCTATTAGAGCTCACAGATTCGGACCTCGCAAATGAATTCGTCGCCTCGCTGTTCTGCGCGTCCGGCTCGCACCTCATATCTGCACTAGGAATGAATGCGCCTTGAACGCTACGTTGGCTCTCCCCCACGACGTCGCGACTGATTCGAGCATCCCTGCTGCCATTTGCCGCCGCAGCAATGGGCAAGAAAAGTAAAGGCGGCTTCTACGCGGTCAGACAAGGGCGCAACGTTGGCATCTTTACTACGTGGTGAGCAATTTTTCGCCAGCTTTTTGGAGCCGCCCCGTCCCAAGTTTCGGCCTCATTTTCTGACGAGTTTTGGGCTTTTACTCGATATAGGGATGAATGCAGAGCAAGCGTCGACGGCTTCTCCCAAGCACAATTCAAACGCTTTGACACACGCCATCAAGCGGAGGCTTTCATCGGCTCAATTCCAGTTTCCAACAGCGATCAGTGTGATGCGGCACCAGTGGCTTCCACTTCTTATGGCTCCGTATTTCCTCCGCGATCAACCACAGACGGTTCTGGAGTGCCGCCTCCGGAAGCCGCAGGATGTAACAGAGACTGGTACATGCGGGAGGTGGCACCTGATCCAGAGCGAGCTGCAAATGGACCAGCTAGGGCATACCAGATCGTCGCTCTTCCTTCCTCAAAGGCACCAAAGATACCACTGAGAGATGACGAAGGTAGACGTCATCATGCATCCAGCACATTCGCCCCACCGAAAGCTCCAACCGTGCCTTCTCGAACGGCACCTTCACACAGTGCTCTTGGCAAGCGACCTGAGCCCTCTTCAGAGACTTTCGAGCCGCCAGCATCGAAGCGTGAGCACAGAGCGTCACACGGCCCGCGCCGGTCACTAGACGTCTGGTGTGACGGCTCCTCGCTCGGCAACGGCAAAGTCGGATCTCGAGCTGGCTGGGGTGTCTACTTTGGGCCGCCGGGGACAGAATACTCAGACCTGAATGAGAGTTGCAGACTCCCCGGCAAGGTGCAAACAAATAATAGGGCAGAGCTGATGGTGAGTGTACGAACGTTTGAATGGATGAGCGACAATGCGAGCGCGAATTTATGATCGTATCCATTCCCTCTTTCTTAGGCAATCATTCGAGCCTGTGAGCTGTGCCAAGACACTAGTATTAACCTGCAAATTCACACAGACTCACAGTATTCCATGAAAGGTGCGTTCACTCCATTGGTCGAAAAACGGCGGTATTTGCTAGAGCTCGTGTGCCGACAGCGTTCTCTCCTTCTGACGAGACAGCAATCAATGTGTGGCAGCAAAAATGGCGCGAGAAAGGCTGGAAGCTCGCAAGCGGTGGAAACGTTCAGAACCGCGATCTGATAGAGCGGATCGAAGAGCTTTTCAGACAGCGCGACACGCGACCGAAGCTCATCTACGTTCCGGGGCATTCGGGCGATCCAGGTAACGAGGCTGCTGATAAGTGAGTTTCTGTTTCGGTAAGAAGCTCTTTGCCGCTATGAATAACACCGCACGCCTTTTCGCTCAATGCGGCACACAGACTTGCAAAAGCTGGTGCCTTGCGAACCCAGGTCAAAGTGGAGCAGAAATAGCAGAGGCGCGGCTCAGTGTGATCCATCACATACGGCCCAGGTAACGATGCAAACCTTGAAATATTCTTTCGGATTGAATCTGCAGTGCTGTAACCGCATTGTGCGAGCTTTTTGTGCTTTTCCATGTACGAGGTATGCTTTTTCTACAGGTCACATCTCTGAACAGCGGGGGTGTACTGTCAATGCTTGCTAGTCACCCTTTAAATGTTGGTTTGGCCCTGGGTCTGTTCTGCACGATCCGCCCGATCCACTCCATGATCTCTGGTAACAGCTTGGGCAGGACGTCGAGCGCCTTGAGGTTCTTGAAGACCTGCTGCGGATTGGTGGCGGCGAGGATGACGATGCTCACGTTGGGGTATTTTGCACCACCCCCGCAAGGGCGGTGACATGTGCCGAGCTCCTTTGCGAAGTGGATGAGCTGCATGACATTCTCGATCTTCGCCTTACCCTCTCTGTCTATAACATTGCGACGCCATCAATGATGAAGGCTTGGTTGGTGGCGATTCGCAACCCCTCGAAGATGCCGACGTTGTACTTGCCCGTCAGCACGCCCGATGCGATGGGAGACCATAAAGTGAGGCCAAACCTTGTACGGCTCGCGGTGGAGGCACTCGTACTCTTTCTCGACGTGTTCGCGGTACAGCCACGAGTACTGTCGTTGGTCCGTGACGAGCACGATGAGATCCAGGCGCGCGGCGACAGTGTGCGCCTCCTGGATGTGCTATGCAGACCAATCGGGGATGCCCCAGTAGAAGCAGTGGTCCAACTCGATGAGAGAATTCAAGGCGCAACCAATCCCTTCCATCGGCACGCTGGCGTCCGCCTGATGCGCGTGGATGACACTCCAGTATTTCAAGCCGCAGCGCTCAAGTGACTGGTCCGCTGCCTCGATTATGAGCTTCCGGCTCAGGCCGTGACGAGTTGAGGGCGTTACCGTCGATGCCGAAGAAGATCATGGTTGTCAGGACGAGATCCTCGCGCTTGGTGCAGCAGAACTGCAGAGAGGGCGTCAAGGGTGAAACATGATAAGAACGTGAGCGTGATCCTTTAACGATGGTTTCCGACTGCAAATGTCAACCATGTACCTTGATGACCTAACATATGACCTGTCTCCGACTGGCCGGCCGTGTACATCTCGGCAGCGTCGAAGGTGTAGATTCCGTTCTCAGAGGCGGCCTTGATGATCTTCTCGGTCGCCTTGAGGCCAACTTGGTCGCCGTAGCTGTGCTATCCACCGAGGGAGAGGAGGGCGACGCGCAGGCCCGAGATGCTGAAGTTGCGGACCTGTATATTCATGTGGCCGTCCTTCATTTTGGCGACGCCCGGTTGCGGGGCCGGGGTGAGCATCTGGCCTGAGGGCTGGGTGGCGTGGTCCCGAGCGCTGCTTGTGGAGGATGGGTGACTGGTAATCGTCAAGACACACGTGTCAACGGAAGTATCGGATGTTGCTTGGGGGATAGTATTCCACCATTCCACTCAATTTCCAATGTACCCCGCGTCATCGTCATGTTCCCGCAGCCACAACCCTAAGCCTAATCGTTGATCCAATCTTCAAGGGTCCTCGAGTCGACTAACAGAGTAAGACGGCCGCCGTGCGCGGAATGCCCGCCAAGCGGCGCGGCAGTCAAGGAAGCACGAGAATGCAGTCCAGCGAGCAGCAGGGGAGATTGGTCGTTGGTTGGGTGGTAACGAAATGGGTCGGGGTGGGAGCCGTCACAAGGGTGTGGACATGGTAGCATCTCCCTCTCTCTTCGCACACCGCTTGCGGCAAGCAAGGCAACTGAATAGACTCCCAACCACACTGCGCCTGGAATGTACCGATCCCCTTCTGCAGCACCGCCAGGCTTCATTCTCACGCCTGCGCCCGCGCCCGCAGGTGCGCCCGTTCTCCTGCTCGCAGCTCGCTCCATGGCACTGCTCCGAACAACTTGCTACAGCGTCCTCCCGTCGTCTGTCACCACAACCCGCTGCTTCACCAGACTCGTCGTGGTAGCCCCCTTGTGCGCGACAGCAGCGTCGCTCGCAGCTTCGCGGAAGTGCTCGCAGCCCCTGGCACAAGAGCACCCTTTCCACACCTCCCGTTCCATTCGAGTGGCCATCGATAGCGCCTCGACCGCCAAGAAGAGCATGCCGTCTTCACGCCTCGGGTCTCTCTCCGGCGCATCGGTGCCGGTTCCAGCCGCGCCGTTCCCTATATCGGGCCTGCTGCCAAAGGAGACGACGCAGGCGCTGCAGTTCCTCCGCAAGTACCCCAGCTACGACGGTCGGAATGTTCGTGTCGCGATCCTTGACACCGGCGTAGATGTCGCCGCAGCTGGTCTCGATGGCAAGGCCAAGGTCGTCGATGCGATCGACTGCACGGGTGCGTAAGAGCTTCTCGTCGCTCTTTCATCCACGCACGCTTCTGACCCTTTTCATCATTACCACGCACAGGTGCTGGAGACGTGCTGTTGTCCGACGTGACCGCTTCCTTCGTAGCCGGCACCCCCTCCTCTTCCTCCTCGTCCGGCTCAAGCCCCAGCACGCTCGTCTCGCCTTTGACGTCACGAAAGCTCTACCTATCCCCCACGCTCCAAAACCCTTCGGGCAGGTGGTACGCTGGTGGAAAGCGCGCCTTTGACTTTTGGCCCTCGGAGCTCGCCACCCGTCTCGGCAAGGAGAGGAGGAAGGCATTCGAAGTCGAGCATGCAAGACTTGTCGCACAGGCTCAAAAGGAGCTTGCTGCGCTCGAGAAGAGCAAAGGTGCCGCTGCCTCCCCATCCGCTTCCCCGTCAGTCAAGGCGGAGGCAGCCGCCAAGCAGGGCGCGCAAGGTACTGAGTCTGCTACCACGAGCTCTACGCCACCTTCTCCGCACTCACAGCAAAAAGCCGAGCTCAGGTCCCGCTTGGCCGTACTTGACGAGCTGCTGTCGTCCTACTCAGACGTCGGACCGCTCCTCGAGTGCGTCGTTTACCACGACGGCACCTACTGGCGCGCCATCATCGGTGGTGGCGAGGGCGACGCGCATGACCCAAGCTCTGGCCTGCCAGCGTACCGTATGGACGCCGACTTGGCTCATGGCCCTGCTGTTGACCTCACCGCGTTCAAGAAGGGCATGGCGGACTTCCGCCTGGAGCGCGAGTGGCGCTTCTTTGGCGAGATGGATCGGCTCAGCTACTCGGTCAACATTCTCACCGACCGACCAGCGTACACTTCCGAAGCGGCTGCAGGTGCAGAAAAGGCCGCCGAGGAGATCCCCACGACGCTCAGCATCGTCGCCGTCTCTGGCTCGCACGGCACGCACGTCGCAGGCATCGTCGGCGCCTACCACGCCCCTGCATCCGGGTCGGGCGAAGGATTGTCGGATGAAGACGTCGCGCGCAACGGCGTCGCACCCGCCTGCGAGATCGTCTCGCTCAAAATTGGTGACGCGCGCATCGGCACGATGGAACAGGGCCACGCACTTCTGCGCGCTGCACGCGCGCTCATCGACACGCAGTGTGACCTCGCGAACCTGAGCTACGGTGAGGACGGCAGCTTTGGTGTCGAGAACCGCGGCGCGTTCGCTGCTGCGCTGCGCGAGCACGTCATTCGCGAGCGCGACATCATCTTCGTCGCCAGCGCTGGTAACAACGGGCCCGCGCTCACCACCGTCGGCCATCCAGGCGGTACGACGACGGGCGTGCTTAGCGTCGGCGCCTACGTCAACGCTGGCGCTATGGCGCAAGCCGAGTACGCGCCGATTGAGAACGCGCCAGACAACGTCACCACGTGGTCCTCCCGCGGCCCGGCGTCCGATGGGGACAAGGGCGTGTCGATCTACGCGCCCGGTGCCGCCATCACGTCCATCCCGCAGTACTGCCTGCAGGCGACCGCCATGTACAACGGCACGTCCATGTCGAGCCCCAACGCATGCGGGTCCTTAGCGCTGCTCCTCTCCGCGCTCAAGCAAAACAAGATGCCCTACACGCCCGCGCGCGTCATCAAAGCGGTGCGTGAGGCGGGCAAGAGCGTCGACGATCCGCTCGACGTGCCGTTCATCCAGGTCGACAAAGCATGGGAGTATCTCCAGGAGTACGCGGCGCACCCCGCCGCCGACGCTGAAGTCCGCGTCGCCATCACGCCTCCCGGTAAGCCGCTCGGGCGCGTCAACACCGACAAGCGCGGCTGCTATCTGCGCGAGCGCCACGAGTGTTCGCGCGTCAACCAGTTCCAGGCAACCGTCAAGCCGACGTTCAAGACGCACGAGACGGAGCGCTCGTGGGCGCTCCAGCTGCGCTGCGCCCTCGTCGCGACTCAGAGCTGGATCAAGGCGCCGCAGTTCGTCCTGCTTGGCGCTAACGGCCGCACATTCGAGATCCGCGTCGACGCCGCTTCCCTCCCGCCAGGACTGCACCACGGCTGGGTGTACGGGTACGACTCGGAGGTGCAGGGCTACAAGCTCTTCGAGATCCCCATCACCGTGGCCAAGCCCGAAGTGTGCGACGGCGCGACAGTACGTTACGACGGCCTCCGTCTTTCCGCTGGCCAGGTCACGCGGCGCTTCCTCCATGTCCCGGACGGCGCGACGTGGGCGACGGTACGTGTCGTAACCGCAAACCACGCCGCCAGCGGGACGAACGCGCGGCTGTGGATGCACCTCGTCCAGCTTGAGCCGCACCAGCGCTTGCATTCAGTCGAGAAGGCGTGGGTCTTTTCGCTTGCCGAAGGCGAACCCGTAACTAAGCGCATCACGGTCAAGGGCGGCATGACGATGGAAATTGCCACTGCACAGTACTTCATGGCCAGCTCGGCGTTCGAGTTCGACCTCCAGTTCGAGTTCCACGGCGTCCAGATCTCTGCCATTGCCACGGGCCGTGACGAGATGACGCTCATCGGCGGCGAGGGGATCGCACGGCTCGAGTGCATGGCGGCGCTGCGCCCAGAGGAATTCAAGCCTTCAGTCTCTTTTGACACACGTCGCACCTTCCTGCGCCCGACGGCGGCGGACGTGCGGCCGCTGAACACGCCGCGCGATCTGCAGCCGAGCGGCAAGTCGCTGTTCGAGCTTGTGACAACGTACGCGCTCAAGCTGTCCGAGGCGAGCAACAAGATCTCCACGCGCCTGCCAACGTCCGGGAACGTATACGACGCAGCAGTGCCGATGCTGATGCAGATCTTCGACGCGAACAAGAAGGTCCGCCAGTTCTGCGATGTATACCCCAAGGAGGTGACGCTGCCTAAGGGAGACTATACGATTAAGGTCGCCTTTGTGCATGAAGATGCGGCCGTCCTGCAGAAGTTGCGCAGCGCCACACTTACCGTCGACCAGAAGCTCAGCAAGGCAGGCGACGTCAAGCTCGATCTGTACGAGAACCACGTGGATGTATTCGATACCAGCGCGCCGATGGACTTTAAGGGCGGCATCAAGCTCATGCCGGGCGAGCGCAAGATGCTCGTCATGGATACCAACCTCGAAGGCGACCGCATGCCCAAGGAGGCGCAGCCAGGCGACATTCTCATTGGCTCATTCAGCTTTGCGGAGGCCAAGACCCAGCTGCGGTACATTGTACCGCCTGCGCCCAGGAAAGAGAAGGAGGATGACGATGGTAGCAGCAGCGGCAAGGATGGCGAGCCGACGGTGGATCTGCTTGTGAGCGTCTCCAAGAAGATCAAGGACGAGGAGAAGAGTCAGTTCCTCGACAAACTTGTCGCGGAGCATCCGGACCACCTGGGCCTGCTGCGTGCGCGTCTCGAGGCCGTTGCGGGAAAAGATGAGTCGGACAGGAAGGAGAATGCGAACGCGATCATCGGCGCTGCGGACGCCATCCTGGCGCGCGTGGATCAGACGGCGCTGCGCCTGCACCTGGGCACGAAGCAGCTGCCGAGCAACGAGCAGAGTGAACAGGACAAGAAGACGGCCAAGGAGATGGACAAGCGCAAGTCAGCCGTCACGCTCGCGCTCAACCGTAAAGCGAGGGCGCTCCTCGCGCGCGACGGCGAGCAACAGCAGCAGGCGATCACGGCGTTTGACGAAATGTTTTCCGAATACCGCAAGTACTACGCGGCGGATAGCAACGACAAAGAGTTTAGCAACCTTTTCGTCCGGTGGTCCATCCAGCAGGGCAGGTACGTGGTCCTTTCCTTTCCACCTTCGCTGACGTATCTGTGCAGTTCACTGATGGCTTCTCAACCTCCACCCTTTTTGCAGGTACGGCACAGCTCTACAGTCTGTGCGCAAAGCGATCAAGGACATGGGCGCGGGTACATCGGACAACCTGGAGGAGCTGAACAAGGCGCGCGCACTAGAACGCGAGCTGCTCGGGCCCACCAGGCTCGGCTGGAGCGCCTGGGCAGCGAACGCTGCGCGCTGGGCCATTGTCGATCAGCCCAAGGACTATGCGCCGTTCTAATGAGCGACACGAAGGGTGTTTAGGCGTGGATTCGATGTCAAGTATTAAACCACCAAGGGAGAAAGGAGCGGCGCTCATGGTCTGGGAAGCTATGCATACCATACATCATCCAGGGACCATACACCCCGTGTGAGAATTACATATGATGAGAAGCTTGGGGTTGTAATGATGTCTGCCCTTCCTTCTGCATTTGAAAATGAATCTGACAAGAATCAGAAGGGGAGCGTCTTGCACAGTCGAGCGGCTCGCAATATCAAAACGAAGAAGAGGCTGTTGCTTTGGCTGCGCCTGATGTGATGGTTGTCAGATGTGTGTGCATAATTAACATATGCACTTCTGCTTTTTTGCTTTTGCAATTGGCGAGGTCTCTCTGCCTTCATTTGCTCTCCCTCCCCCTTTCATGTTGGCTGGCCTCGCGGAGATGATCGCCATTATCTTCTCTTCGAGAAGATGCCGATTGCCGAGGATGAGATGCAGACGCTGATGGCGGGATGCATGCAGCTTTTGCAAACCCGAGGAAGATGATTTCTGTTGGCGTGATGGGGAGCGACTTCTCCGCGACCACTGCGATGCCCTTCTGGTAGCAACATCAAACGTGTGAACGACCACCCGAATGTTCTACACCTTAGTACATGTGTTTAGCCGCCTCTCCTTGCCGCTACTTATAGCAAAGCCCATTGATAGCCAAGTCTCCAGCATCAGCGTGCCATCGGTCATCGCTGTGCTGAAAGGCTCGCCGATCTCCTCACCCAGACGACCCTCCCCCTGTGCAACCCGCATTCCATTTCCATAGTTGCCCCTTCTACCCTCCTGCAGCTTCGCATCTTCACCTGCTTCGAAAATGCGCTGCCGTTGCTTTTCCAGCCTCGTTATCGCGCTGCTTCTCGGGGTCTACCCTTCGCTCGTCAGCGCAGACACGACGGTGACATTCGATGGGCGTCAGTTCGTCAACAAAGGGCTCATTGCCTTCGGCCGCATAGCCAACGATGCGGTCGACAGCTACGGTGAAACACTCGGCGGCCTCGGCTCCTCCATTGCCTTCCCCAATCCAAAGAGCTTCCAGGTCAATCTCGAAGGGACTAGCAGTGGGATCATCAGACTGAACTCGGACCGTGGCTACAATGTCGTTGGCGTCACTGACTACCGTGCCCGCTCTCATCAATTCCACATGAACTTCACGTGAGCATCTGATCACAATCCACCTGGCAGCTTTGTGCTTTGTTTTCTGTCTGCTGACACTGAAGCCCCGCGTTTTCCATTGCGACAGACCGTACAGCGCATCATCAACGAGTGAAAACCTCGCCCTGACGTATCAGTCATCGACGCTCTACCGCATCCCCAAAACGGTCACGTCCAATGGAGGCTGCCTGCCCGGCAAGGTGGCGAGCTGCCCGGCCGGACCGCTCTTGCAGTACACGACCGGCCTCGATGCTGACTCCTCGTCCGGTGCTTCCGGCAGCGGCATCCAGGGTCCAAATCTGCCCCTTAACAGCTACGGCCGGTACCTCTCCGTCGATCAGGAAGGCTTTGCCGTCCTCCTGGACGGTGCGCTTTGGGCCATCAGCGACGAGTACGGTCCGTACATCCATTTTGTCATCCCTTCGTCCGGGCAGATCGTCGCATCGCTGCGGCCGCTCAACGGTATCGTGCCCAAAGACGCCAACGGCGCCGACAGCTTCACCGCCGAGACGCAGCCGACCAGCGGTCGGGCTGACAACCAGGGATTCGAGGCGCTCACTTTTGACGCCAAGACAAACACGCTGTGGGCCATGCTCCAGAGCGCCACGACGCAAGACAGCAACGGTGGCGACAAGAGCTTGAGCCGCAACACGCGCATGTTTGGCTGGCAGCTCGCCCTGCCTTTGCTGCAGGGCATTGTGAGTGGCAAGTCAGCGCTGCCGCTGCCGCAGGTGCAGGTGCAACTCAAGTATGAGTACGTCGTTCAGCTGCCCGTCTCAGATAACGGAAAGACGTACGCGCAGTCGGAGATGCACGTCGTCGACAGTACCACTTTCCTTGTCCTCGCGCGTGACGGCAACGGCTTAGGAGACACGGACACCAAGAGCAAGTACAAGCAGGCAGACCTCATCAGCACCAAGGGCGCTACCAACATTGCTGGCAGCAAGTATGACAACCCTGCCAACCCTATCGCACCAGGCGGAACGCTTGTCGCCGGCATCACGCCCGTGCAGTACCAGAGCTTCGTCGATCTCATCGACGCGACGCAGCTCGCCAAGTTTGGTCTACACAACGGAGGCGTGATCGACCAGAATCGTAAGCGACGCAAGGGGCTCAGCTATTCGTCTGTCATCGCTTGTACTAAATCTCCGTTACAACGGCTCTGTGCTCCTCGCTTGCAGTGATCGCATCCAAGCTCGAATCGCTCGCGCTGATTTCCGCCAACGATTCGGCGAACCCGGACGACTATCTGCTGGTCGTTGTCAGCGACAACGACTTTATCACTACCAACGGTCACGAGGCCGGCGAGACCGCTCAGGGTACCGGCACGTATCAGGTGCAGGCGTACAGCGACAGCTATGCGCAGCAGTACGGGAGTCAGGACACACAGGTGTTCGTGTACCGCCTCACGTTACCGGGCTGTGCGGTATGATGGATGGGCGTATCCTAAAAATAGGGGAACAACCATTGGGAGCCATCTCGCCAACATTTTGTTTCCCGTCACTGCGCGTACAGATTGTGGAGCTCTGTCGCATTTTGGCGGCATGCAGAGGATTCTGCTTGGCAGTGAGGCGTTTGCGTCGCGCTCATATCAGCATGTCGGTGGAATTAGCAAGATAGGTACAAATGCGGAGAGGCAAAATAGAAATACTGCGAGCGATAACAAGTTGCAAGAACGAGCTAGAGCTTGGTGAGAAGAAGACATCGAAAAGTTCGCCTTTCATGCGCGATGCAATGCAGCAGCGCGCTCTTCCTTATGCAAATTCTCCGCGACCTGCGCGAGCGAAGAGTGGACGTGTTGTGACTGAAAGGCGAGGTGATCGTGCTGGTCGCGTGTTCGTGTCGTTCCAGCCCTTGTATCGTGCGAGCGGCAACCGGTCTCGTCTTCGCCCTGATGATCTCCGCTTTCTATCCACGCGGCGCTAGCACCAGGCGCATCTGTGTTCTCCACGCCGGCGACCTTGAAGACGGCCCTTTCGAGCGTCTCAAGCGGGACGAGGCGTTGCGCCTCGGCGCCGAGCCACGCAGCGCGGTTGATCCAAGCGGGCAGAAGCGGCGGCGGGTGCGTTTCCGGCGACGATGGAGATGTCGATGTTGATAGGGGTGAGTCTGGGCGCAGAAGCAGCTCCAGGAACGTCTCGGTGAAGTGGTTGCAGTTGTTCGTCAGCAAATCGTATGAGAGTCCGTGGAATAACGACGAGGACTTGAGAAACGCGAGGGATTGGTGTACGTGCAACAGCGAGCGTGCTCGGAGGGCGGATCGCCGCGGATGCCGTGGGAGTGGGCGAGGGTGCGTGCTGTCCTGAGGCGGCATGTCTGGCGCGTGTGTGGACACGGACGAGGGAGGCCGCGACGTGCTCGTCGACGTGGGCATCGTGACGTACGACGGGTGTGCAAAAGGCGCCGGAGTATTGCTACGCGATGACGCAGACGAAGCGGACGAGCTGTAGTGCAGATCGAGAAAGCTTGGTAGCCATCCAGAGCGTTTTGCAGCTGATACTGCTGCTGCTGCTTGCGAAGCACGGCGGCGCAGCGTCGGTGGAACAAATATGTCCGGCTCTTTGAACGCGGCTGCACCGCTCGTCGGTGCGACCCACTTGCCATTTTCGCCCATGCCCTCTAGAAGCGTTCCTCGGCCGAATCGGATCTTCTTTGCCGTGTCCTCCGCGGCAGCACTAGAAGCAGAGGAGGGATCCGATGCTCGTTGGAAGGAGGGAGCAGCGGAGTAGCCCATGAAGTACGCGCCGAGATAGCGACACCCAGGAAACGGCGGCGGGCCAGGCGCCGGTACTTCCTTGGGCCGGGCGTAGCGATGGGTCAGACCATCTATCAGCTCGCCCTCTTGTGTTTTTAACGGTTTGCAAGACGAATGCGATATTGCCTGCATTGTCAACCGCTTCTCCTTGTCACCATTGTCATTGACGGCCCCTTCGGCGCGTGGTAATGCATGCGCTTGCTTCGATTCACCTTCACTCCTCAAGCCATACTTGATCCCTCTACAGGGAAGCGCAAATACGCCCGTGACGCCAGGGACGTCGTGGCCGCCGAATGCATACTCGCATTCGAGGTCGGGCAGCCAAACGTTAGTGTGGAACACTCCTACGCCGAGATACGTGCGCGAGAGCGAGGACCAGCGAGACTCAGGGAGGAGGTCCCAGACTGTGATGTACACAGGTGTACCGTGCGCAGATGCGAGGTCGAGCCAGGTATCTTCTTCTCGGACATAGCTGCTCTCCGTGGCTGGTGATGTTGATGAAGAAGCGTGTGAGCAATAAGCGGTGTTGCCCGTGGCGCTTCCGCACGGCTTTGCCTTTGACGACGATGATGGACCATTGCTTTGCGCGCTCGCCATCTTCAGCTCGACAGCTGTTACAGCAGATGCATAGAGCTGTGTACAATGGTTGAAGCTTTGAAGTGACCCAAGTAGACGGCTGCCATTCTGCAGAATGAATGTGAGGTTCCAATCCATTTCATTGGCAAATCGATCCCACGTGCGACAATGACGTGGGACACTGTCATGGTGAAGAATTTCATGCGATTCGAAGCTGATTCCCGGAACCTGTAAGACGGAACAGTGGAGTCCACAGAATCCCCGCAAATATCCCCGGGGAAGCTCGTTCTCTGAAGCAGGTGTGGAGACCGTCCTAGGAAATACATGTGTCTTTCCGAGAATATGGAAATCATTTCGGACGATTCTGCATATCCCTGGTGGAGTATTTGCAGAATGGTCCGGGGCCCCAGAGTGGCTGCAGCGCCGTTCGGCGGGCGAGGATATCGAGGTGTGTGCTTGTTACTTCACACACTAGATAGGTTTGCGTGATGCGCAGGTAACGGCCCTACTTACCACATATTTCCGTCAAAATCTGGTTGCGATCCTCGACTAAGATGTGAAGATAAGCCAACGACTTGGAAGAAGCAGATGCGTTGCTATCCATTTGGTGATATTGCCGAAAGCTGTTGTCGTCAAGTGGCGCAAAGGATCACGCGACCACGCATTCAGCCCTGCCGCCGCCTCGACCCCACCCCTCGTCTGCTGAGAAGCGCTAAAGCATTCTGCTCACATATTGTAGTGAAGTTGACCTGTCTGGGCGTCTGCCAAAACCCACTGCCATTCTGGGCCCCAGAAAGGCCCCCAGATCGGGACTCTGGTGGCGGAAAGTTGGGAGCAGATCTGTTGGATCTGCCAATGTGCACTCTGCCCCTCGACATCACCTGTGTGCCTTGTTTGTGAACTGATCGACTCGAGGCTGCGTTTGCCTCGTCCTCGGGAGAGCAAAGGTCACACACGCTGGCACGCTGTTCTACCCCCGTATCTCGAAGTCTCTGCCGTATGTCGGCCAGGGCGAGGCAGGCGTGTGGCAGCGCGGCATGTCCGAAAGCAGACACATCACAAAATTCCATACCGATGTTCCATCTTAGCTGCTGTGATCGGAGATACCCTCTTTTCATTTCATCTGGGTGCAGTCGAAAACGCGGGGGGAGGAGGGCTGTGTTATCCATTTGCCTTTAGAAAATCATGATGCTTCTATCTCTACTATGATAGGTGAATATGTTGCAGACTGCATGCGTGCCGCACACAGGTCAAGTAACGAGGGCGATTACGACTGCATCTTGCAATTCTCATCCCCTTCATCCTCAGACCCGGCTTCGCCGCCGATCACATATCGCTTGAATCCGTCCCAGATATCTTGCTTGCATGCCATGGCGAGCAGCATGACGGCGGGCAAGTGCCACAGGCTGACAAAGAAGCACTTGCGCGCGCTCGCACTCGCGTCGGAGGCGTGCCCTTGATCCTTGTAGAATCTCCACGCCGCGTGGAAGAGCGCAGCATTGGGGACTGCAGAGAGCAGCGCATACACCGGAAGGACGGTCGTACTGCCGCAGAACGGCAGAGCTGCACAGAGCGGGAAGAGCGCGGCGGCGTAGCGCAGGCCCGTGCGCCGGTTTAGGGCGGGTCGGAGGACGGACATCATGCGGTAGCCGCCCTTGGCATAATCGGCGCGGACAACATGTGCTAGGCTGTTAAAGTGCGGGAACTGCCATGCGAAGAGGATCGCACTAAGGATCCATGCGGGCGCGTCGCTCGCTTCGAACAGCGTGCCGGTCGACGCGACCCAGCCCATCAAGGGCGGGATAGCGCCAACGACGGCGCCGACCCACGTATTAACCATGGACAGGCGCTTCAGCGGCGTATAGATACCAGCGTACAGCACAATGTTGGCAGCGCCCAGCGCGGCCGTCAGCGGGTTGACGGCCGTCGCGAGCAGCGCTGTGCCACCGACGCCTGTGGCGATGGAGAAGGCGAACGCATGCATATGCGACACCTGGCGCGCGGGCAGCGGCCGTGCGCGCGTACGCTGCATCTGCGCATCGTAAGGCGCCTCGAGAAACTGATTCATGGCGTTGGCGCTCGAGGAGCAGAGGCTCGTGCCAGCCGTCAGTGCGAGGAGCGTCGCCACGGATGAGGAACCCACCGCAAGGGAGGCGGGGACCAGCGCGTAGCCTGCCATGGTGGTAAGCACCATGAGGAACGTCAGGCGTGACTTGGCCAGCGCACGCCAGCTGGCGATGAGGCTCGAGACCGTTGTGGCGGGCAGGGGCTTGAAGAGCGCATGCGAGGAGTTCGGCATGGAGGCGGAGGAGCTCGGCGAGAGGAAATTGATACCCGGATCATCGCTCCGTGGAGCATATCGCTTGCGCAAGGAACTGATCCGGTCTGCTTGCGACGCGGTGGCTGAGCTCGATGACGAGGACGAGACAGTCTTGACATCGGAAGGTATCTCGGCTAGTCCGCCCGATGAGTCTGGCGAAGCGACTTCCGTCGGGGTCGCCAGCCATCGTCGTGAGGTAAAGAACGGCTTTGGTAGAAAGGAGGCCGACTTCCCGCTTACGATTGTGCTTGCAGTTGCTGACGACGGTATCGACGAGAAAGGGTGGCGGAGAAGGCCTGGCGTAGATGACGGGCGCGCGATGCTGGCTCCCCTTTGGCGCGATAGGCATTGCTGCCGCCATGACACAGAGGAATAGGGTCGCACATCACGCGCAGACGCTCTTCGGCATTCCGATGCTCGAGAGATGCGAAGAATAGGCGGCCGGAGTGGAGCGGCGGCGCTGGCACTGAAAGACGCGGCCGCCAGGGCGCCGCTGCTGCTGCTGCAACTTCTAATCGCGGGGTTCCTCCACGCGCCGGCTCCGACGAGCAGACTGGATGAGACGATGTGCTCCATTTCCAGGACTGCATGAACTGGCTAGGGGGCTCTGCACGACACGGCCGAGGGAGAAGCCAACCCACGAGATGCTGCCTGTCCCGGTCCCTGGGTTGTTTGTCGAGGACGTCGAAGAATGGATTTCGAAAGCGACAGGATGAAGGGTTATATGCTTCGCAGGCGAAACTGCGCAACGAGGGGAGTCGCCGATCGAAGAAGATGACGTTCCTCGCTTATGTAATATCCTTTCTGGCAGGGGAAGATGAGGGTTGACACCTCACCGTCAGTTAAACGCTGGAGGAGGGGACATGCTCCACCTCATGGCTTCTGCTCGTCGCCATGCATACTAGACAACAGTCTGCATCACCTGCTGCGAAGCTGAACAACACGCTGAACGCACAGCGGGAGGTTGACCAGCAGTGATCGACCCAAAAGAGCTTCGCCCTGCCTCATCTCGACCATGGCCAGGCGACCCCGCCAGGCCTTGCGTTCCCTCGACTTTCCCAGCGGGCACGCAGCGGGCGTGTTGTGAGCGGCACTGTCCAAAGCAGGCTTGACCCCTTTGTCATCATCAGGCAACACGCCCCAATGGCATTTCAAGCTGGTAAGATGACATGGAGATCAGGCGCAGCAGCAGGTGGAAGGGCCACCACAGGAGGCACAGCAGGCCGGAATGGCCACCTCGTCGAGTCGAGCGTGCCGCTCGCTGATGCACAGACCTTCAGGGACCTCCTCATCTTCGAAGAAAGGCTCAAGCAAAGCGCTACAAGGCTGCAGAAGAGGAAAAAGAAGTACGAGAGTGAGCGTTCGGTTGCATCCGGCGACGAGGCTGTTGGACGCAAGCTGCTGGCTGCAGGCTGTGAAGGCTGATGCATCACTCTTCCTCGCTTCTCAAGCTCTGCTCGCACTCAGTTGCGGGGCGATCGCCTTTCTCAGCTATCATGTCGCGATCGACAAGCCAGAGATTCTAATATTCCATCGAATCAACATCGCTTTGCTACTCTTTTTCTGCACCAACGTCTTCCTTTTCTTTGCATCAGGCATGTACGCCGATCGCATTGTTGCTGCCAACAAGTGAGTCATGGATCCTTTTTCCCGCTACTTCCGGTCCCAGAATCCTCACTGAAGGATCTGGACACTGCTTTGTGCTCTTGAAGGTTCGTCCCGCAAGCCAACCGCTCGCTGAGAAATTTCAACATGTACCTCAACACTCGAACGACACCACGGCGAGGCATATTCGCACGCATCTTCCTGCCATTCTTGAAGCCTCCGCTGGCACGACGGTCCAACCCACCTTCGCGCAGTGGCTCGCCGCACACGTCACCCAGCAAGGAGCTGTTTGGGCTTGTGCTAGATGGCAGTAGTAATAATAGCAGCAGTGAAAAGAGGCAACCGCTCGCCCCACAGCAATCTGATAGGCCGGTGACCCACAGCATCACTCCTTCACTGGGCGCAAAGAACGGCAGAAACCTGTCACAGGCGAGCAGCATCGCGCGGCGCAACGCCATCAGCGCGATCCCACCGGCTGCCAACCCGCGCGGCGAGCTCATCTTCAACTCGAAAGTTTCCCCAGCTTTCCGCGAGGGCTACGAGCGCTATCGATCTGCATTCGAGCGTAGGCGCTCCGAAAAGCTCGAAGCGAAGCGCAGGAGTGGATGGCGTTGGTGGTTGTACACCGGCGCCGGATGGGGCTGGTGGGTCAAGGAGATTTGGAAGCCGCCCGAGGCGGAGCCACACTCACATTCGCACCTACATGCGCACGGGCACCACGCGCAAGGACACCACGCGCATGCGCACGGACATGGGCACAGCGACGAGCCGTACCAGCCATCGCGCCGCACGCGTGTGACGAGTGGTGTTCTATCGCACGGCTCTACACAAGGAGGGACGCATGCACGCACCACCAGAGGGCGCAGCGGCACGGCCGGCAGCACGGCGAGCAATGCAAGCTTACCTGAGGGGATCGGCGGCAGTGCGCTGGCCGAATGCAACGGTAACAGAGGCATTGATCAAAGCGGGATTGTCAGTAATAGTAACATTCCACAGATGACACCTTCACGGCGCCGCAGGGCAGGGCCTGATTCGGCGACACGCCACAGCAAGCGCCTGGACTCGCTTTCCAACTCTGGCCCCAGCGCCCAATCTAGCTCCACTTACCCAGAAGGCTCCCGCGCCAGCGCAGCACTGCAGCGATCAACAGGACCTACGCGCCATACCTACGAAACGATGACAAGCGTCATCATTCCTTCCGCGCCGATCGGCACTCGCTCGCGGCGTTCTAAGGAAGCTTCCAGCGCCGCCAGCGGTACTGCCGCCGGCGACCGTAGCGAGCGTGGCAGAGACGCCACGCCTTCACCCGTAGCGGCATCCTATGCGGGAGGCACACCGCTTTCGCTGTCCCCTACACCTTCTATTTCCGAGAGGAGCATCCGCAGAGACGGCGACGGCGTTGGCGAAGGCGGTGGTTGCAGCGATGGTGGCGATGCCGCAGCTGATACGGACGCTGCTGCGGTGGTAGCGATGGCCGAATATCGGTCCGATCTAGTCGGAACACTGCGAGAGCCGGAGCCAGAGCCAGAGGCGCATGCAGCAGATGTAGATGAGTCGCCGCCCATGTCGAATGCTTCCAGTCCCGCAACGTTGCGCTCGCCTGCAGGAGCACCTTCAGCAACGGAAGATGCATCTGTATCACAGGCCACCGAATCGTTTGCGGAACGGGGCTGGGTGAACGTCGTCACGGCGCAGAGACTTGCTTAGTGCGAAGAGGTACTAAGATCCTGCTGTATCATAGCCAACAGAAATAGTCGAATACGTTACTCTCAACAATATAGTTGCAAGCCCAATAAATAGTCTATGTGCAATGCTACATCAATTTGCAACGACAGAGCAAGTCACCATCGCTATCTTTACTGCCTGCAGTTGCTACTCCGGGTCTTGATCGCGAGCAGGGCTCGCGAAAGAGCCGTGACATTTTCCTCTGCGGGATGCTGCGCCGCGACGTACTCGCTCGACTGTGCTGCGCTGTGGATGCTGATTTGGTAGCTATATGCGTGCACCAGCCGCTCGACGACTGTAACGATCTCTGGGATGGGCAAAAGGTACAGAGCGAGGAAGCCACGTCCGGATTTGATCAGGTTCAATCTCTTTAATTTGGGGTTGCGAGCGAATGAGCGGTCAGATGGAAGGAGCACTCACTGCGCGATTCCGAAGCGAGCAAAAAGCGCCACTTCCGCTGCACGAGTAGGAGCAGCAGACCACCAGCATGTCCAATCATCTGACCAAAGTGAGCAAGACAGATCCAGGTCAGTTCCGTTCTAGGTTGAATGCCCCAAGGGAGATGCCGAAAGTAGAACTCACAAAGTGATAGAAAGCAGGCAGATACGCGAGCCTGCTCGTCCATGCGACGATATCGTCCAACAGCAAGTCGCAAGCAACAAGTGCGCTCATCTTTGCATCCGTCAGCAACTTGCTTTGCGCCGTTTCCAATTTTGACGCTCCTACCGCGCCGCTTTGACCAATTAAATGTGGCGAGATTGTGTACTCGAGGGCGAGCGAGCCGAGGAAGGCGCGTGACAGATGGAAGCATATCGTCACATCAGCTGCAATCGCGCTCGAAGAAGATAGGTCTGATCAATAGAGGCGCACTATCAGCCACAAAATCGAAGCAGAAATGAAGCGCGGACAGGTCTTCTGGGTAGCTCACCGTCTAACAAGCCAGCTTCTAAGCGCCAACGCTCCAAGTCGTGGAACCACCCATCCCATTCCGCGACCAACATATCCGCCGAAGCGATCCACCCTTCCAACCGACTAGCGGCATGCACTCGTGGTTCTCCAGACGCGATGCGACTGCGCAGATCCATGCACAAGTCTTGTGCGCGTGTCAGAATGTGCGCCAGCTCCGTGTGCGCCAGCAATTGCCGATCGGCCGGCGGTAGCTCGTATTCGAACACCTTGCCTTCAGCTACTGATTCGGCTTTAGTCCGGGTCTCGTCCAAGCGATCGCCCCCCTCCCTCTCCCTCATCAACGCACGCCGGAGCTCGGACATGTACTCTTTGGCATCCTCACGCTCTAGCAAGCCCTTTCGCTCGTTGATCAAGCAGGAATGCGCCTCGGACACATACGCCATGAGCCATACTCTGAGTCTATCCGCCTCGTCAATGTTGCGAAATGGCGGCAAAATGCTGAGGGCCTCTCCTAGTGTCGCCTCGTTCCTTCTCGAAAAGAGCCGAAGATAAGCCAGCGTCCACCACCTCGCAACGCGCGACATCTGCCATCCTAACTCGCCGCCAATCCAGCTGGCGAACACACAGGCACCCGTGATCTCCTCTACACCGATGCCCATCTCTGGATCGAGCTCCTGGTCGACCGCAAGGGAAGCAGCCTCTTCCGGCTTGACAGCTGAGATCATGTAAGCCTTGAGCCCCTCAAAGTACTTTGCAGCGCTAGAGTTGTGGAGCGAGGCGACGCCGAGAATGCTCGCGATGATCACTGGGGTCATGTTCTCGGAAGCGGGAAAAGTTGGGAAACCGAAACAGTGCGGGAAGTGATGGTTCGCGAAACTATGCGTCAAAGGTAGGCATATGCCATAAGTCTCGCAGTACGGCATCCCTGCAGTCCAGCTTTTCACAGAAAACCCCCACTCACAATATGAACAGTTGCCTGGCCCTTTCCAGCGGCACAAGGCCCATGCTGACGGCATTCAGTCTCGGATCATCCCTCCCAACGTGCTCGGCGGGCCTGGCATAGTTCTCCCATGCCTTCCCGCCAATAATCCAGCGCGTGGACGTGAGCGATGAGACACGCTCAGGTGTCTCGCTCTTTAAAACTTGCGCCAGCGTGTAGGACGGCTCGATGAACACCCTCGGTTCGTGAGCAGCAGCGCCTGCCGCAGACGCTGAGGCAGATGTAGCTGACGCTGAGGAAGGGCGGTGCGCAATTGTATCTGCCCCTGCACCAGCACCAGCACTAGCGTTCTGCTTCGAAGGAGCCGAGTCCGAGCGCTGATGAAGGTGCATGACAGGCCTGACATTGATAGGTACCGCTATCGACGCGCTGCCGCTACTCCTCTCTAGCACTTTCGATTCCACGGCAGAAATACCATCGTGGTGGGAAAGACCATCTGACGAAGCGCCGCCTGCGGAATTCGTCTTTCCATGCGATAAGCCATCGCTAGCAGGTGGCGCGCCCATCTCTCCCGCCCCTCCCGCAACGGGGGGAGCAGTCCCAGAGTGATTGGAACTCGCACCTGGGAGTTGCGTTGCCATGATGCCGGCGCCGACGATGGGGGGCTGTCGCAGCGGCATTGCGGCCGGCAGAGATGCTGCGCCAGAAGCCGCTCCTGGCGGCGGTACTGCACCTGTGTGATTGATTTCCTGACTCAAACTCACGACGCGGTGGTTGGCTGCGTGTATGCCCAGTGCGGAAGAGAGCGTCGTTATTGGCCCAATTTGTGAGAGATGTGTGTAGGGAGGGAGCGGCGCTTCTTCTGCCGCTACACTGAAGTTGAGGGCATGTGGGGAAGCAGAAGATGGGTAACCCATTGCTGCGAGATGATAGGCCCCGGCCGAGCGGCCCGGGTCATGTGAACCCGAGTCTTGAAAGGAATGTCCTGCAGCATTTTGGGGGTGATGAGGCCAATACATACCCGCTTGGTGGCCGATCGGAGCTTGCGCCGCATGGCCCAGATGCACCCCCGGAATAGTATGCGATGGAGCCATGCCGACCACCATGCCCGTACCTTGCTGCTGCGACAGCAAACCCTCGACTGCGTCAGTCAGTCTACCGAGCATGACATCCGTCTTGTCTCTCCAATTCTCATCATCACTTCGCAAGCGGAACTTGCACAATTGCTTCATCACTTTGCAACGCTCGCAGGGAGGCTTCGAGTCGACATTAACGCATCGGGTCTTTGCACGTCGACAATTGACGCAGGCTTTTTGAACTTTGTTCGTCGCGTTGCCAGAGCCAGAGGAAGGGTTGGTTCGAGCAGAGGCAGAGCGCTGCTGCTGCTGTTCGTGCGAACGGGACTGTTTCTTTTGCTGCTGCCGTTGTTGCAGGGAGAGTTCTTCCTCCTCCTCGCTTGCACCACTTTCGTCCTCACTTTCGTAGCTCATGCCCCCCGTCGCACCCATCTGCCCAGATGCGGTAGTAGTACTGTGCGGTAGCAATACCGATTGCTGTGCTGCTATTGCCGAACCATTGTGCCAGTACCTTCCGGCTCCTGTGCTCGGTGCTGAATTTACAGGCGAGCAGCGCCGGAAAATGGCAGATGCTGGGAATTTGTACGACTGCTGTTGCTGCTCTCCTTCACCTCTGGGCGCTGGGTCACCTGCGCTGCCGCCGGCATCGCTGGTATGTCTGCTCCAGCCCCGATCGTCAGACCGATGACGCTTACCGAGCGCGATATGCTGCTGCTCAGGCGACGCCGAAGGCGTAACATAGGCATGCGCAGAGACAGTGGTGGAATGAGAAGCAGTGGAATGCTGGTGGTATAGTGCTTGTGCATCTTGCTGTTGCTGGTATTGCTGCTGCAGATGGTGCACTGGGCGCGGCAGACCGTTCCCGCTGCCATTTCTGGTCGATGCGCCTTTTAATGTTGCAGCGAGAGCTATATCTTCTTCATTGCGGTACGCCATGGTGGTGATTGCAAGGCAGAGCAGGCGAAGCTTTCGGCCAGCGAACGGAGAGATGAAAGATAGGCAGCCGGAACAGAGATCGGGGCACGTTTTGCAGACCCTTGAAGGATCTACACCCGTGAAGCAAGGTTTATATTTGGAGTGAGAGGTGAGTGACGGACCTCATTATGCTGGCGATCTGGCTCGCTTCTTGAGCGATCGACTTTGCAGCTCCGGTGTGCGCGTTAACGTTGACGGGGTTGCACGAACTCGGGGGAGCCGCACTCTGAAAAAGCGGCGCTGCGCCTGTTCAAATGTTGGAAGACCAATGCGGACGGGCGGGTGCGAAAGTCTTCGCCGTCCTGTTTCTCGACTTTCGATGCCCCAAGGCGTGAACATTGGTGTGCACAATTGTAACCTTGGACGGTAGGACGGGAGGTCGGGAGGTCGGGACCTCTAGACGAGTTACGGTCAACAACGGACATACTTGCTGGTTGTTAGTTTACGCACCATGTAGGTTTGCGTGGAGCGAGTCCGATGGTTTTTGGAAAAGGCTTCAGCCCCGTTCCTCTCAAACTCGTTGGTGGCTCCTCAGAATGTGTGCCCCATTTGGTCACTTTCAACTGCCCGGCCTTAACCTTGTACAAGACGTACATCGCTTATTCGGCCTTTGCACATTATCACAACCCTTTTCTGCACGCGTGCTATTTGGACGGCTTGGCAAGATCTTCTCGGACAATATGGCACTGATGCCAGTATTATTGACTATACGTCATGTTCATTGATCGCAATGCTGCACATCTGCCAAGCTCCAGCGTTCAACAGGGATTCAAGGATCGATATTAGCACATGTTTGGGCCGTGGATGCTCATTGAAGTCATGGCAGAGGCTCATAGGCTTTACTGATCAACTTGTTCAGAGGCATCTATTTGGATTCAGATGCATCGAACTGAAGCAGGAGTTGAGCCTCATCTAATTAATACATTTAGCCTCAAGGAAAACTATCGTTACTCACATTGATTATATACTCTCTGAGAGCACAGTTCCTTCATCTTGGCAAGAATAGTGATTCCGCAAGTGTGTCCACCTCTTTGATTGGACAGCCGATATTAGCCATCAGGCTCCAGGACGAAATCCAAACAGTGATCATTTTGGCTTCCTGGCCACACGGTTGATGCAGGATTGCATCTACTCAATCACGGCGAAAGGAGGTGCATGGTGCATCGGATTGAAATAAGCCAAGGTTCATCATTGGATTCGATCATTGAAAGCGCCCAGTACCCCCCGCGGAAAGTCATGTGCATTGACATCAAATCACCTTACGCACTTGCCAAAAAATATTGCTTCTACGGTTCAAACACGGTCACCGAAGGGCCAAAATGTGAACATGGACGCAAAAGTAATGTGATTCAAGGGATCTCACTGCGGTTACAGGCAGCAACTCCTTGTGGCCATCGCTTCTGTCGTGCCTTCCGGTCCTCAGATGTGACTTGTGTCTTTCTCCTTCGAAACTCGTCCCCCAAAACGATCAGGTCTTCACAAAGCCACGCTCCACGACCGCACAGGGTCATGAGCTCTCGTATTCCGATGGAAAATTTGGGACGACGGTGCCACAGACAACCTCGTTCGAGCCCATTGGTTCGAGCTCTTGCCGCGTCTGCTATAGCTCTTGCGCCCATGTGACCGCCTCAGTCCAACTTTCACGGACCTGCCCGAGTGCGCTGGCAAGCGCAGTGTTACGGCATAAGCTGATGGCAAGGCTGTCAGATTGCTTTTTGAAGGAGTGGGAACAGAAGCTGCGCGTTACTGGCGCTAAGGCGCACTCCTGTAGACTACTTCCGTTGTACTATCGCATTCGCCTACAGCTGGTTCCGTCTACGGTTCTCTGGAGCTCTTCATCTTCGTCTCCTTCGTGGTTCCGGCTACCCCCAGAGCCTCAAGCCTTCCACTGCAAAGGCTGGCTACATGATGTGCTGGGGCGGTGTGTGCGAGGATGGGAGAGAGCACTCTATTGAAGACACAATATTACCGTTGCGGAGCAGAAGTTGGATGAGAGCGATGCTGGTGTTGACGCCGCAACAGACGCGCCACGCCTGAAGATTGCGGTTAGCCGTGATGAAAACTATCCTTGTCACCATGTGTCGTCAGAATATACGATTTTATACACCACCTTCGTTTCGCATGATTGTAATGCTTCGTCAGTGGCCGCATTTGCCCAAAGCTGGGTCTTTTCGATTCATATCACGCGCTCGCTCTCGTCGCTGGTGTTTGGGTGCGAGCTACCCGAATTCCGCCGCTCTTTTCGCAGCATATTCCTCCTCCCATGCTCCAACGCTGTGCAGAAATAAAATTGTGGGTTTGGGAGCTGCAAAGTGAGCAGTCATTCCCCACTTCTTCTCTGTAGTGGCACAATTTGTGTGATAATCTTGTAGTATGTCTTCATTGACGCCGAAGCAGCGGCAGCGCGGACGCGCGAGCTAACGAAGTGAAATATGGCAAAGCACATTGAGGCAGCACATTTGATAGACAAATATCGAACGCCATCGAAGGTTCTACAGCAAGGAACAAGCTGCGGGCGCTGCAGGTGAAAGCCAACATCTTGTGGATATATGAAGGAGAGCACTCAGCGCCCAGACTTCGTATAGCTTCGAGATCAACAAGAGGTCAGAGCATCCTATCTTGATCGTCATGAGCCATTCCTTCACAATATATATATCGTTTCTGGCATCACCAATAGCCATACGAAAATGATCGGTGAAGCGGTGAACGGTGAGCAACCAGATCAGGCCAGGCCCGGTCGTCAAGCGCAAGGCGTCACAGCAAGCGAAATTGCAGGAGTTCCTCGCTCCACGCTCGCATCACAGCTTCATGCCGTCATGTCTCATATAGCCTGGCTGAGTCCCGGAGCATGTGAAGTGCGAAGGAAGATCTTTGCTTGGGGGGCCTCAACCGGCCCCATTTAAACAGGGGCGGAGGGTAGACTCTTCGCACGAAGCGCGTCAAGTCTCGCTTCCGACGAGAGAGTACCATACTCCGTGCTCGACACAAGTATTCAAGACGCCACAACCAGCTGCAACATGCCGGGTACATGTCGATGAGCGACACAATGCAGTTAGAGACAATGCTGACTCAGCACTTAAAACATTACACTCTATATCTCCTGTGTTCCCACCCAACATGGACCTACCCGTACCCTCCCCTCGCTGGCCCACATGACGAGTAAAGGGTCAGTCCTTCTCTTCCGACACCTCAGTCCGTGCCTCAGGATTATTTCACAATCTCGGCACGTAGCGCGAGCTTCGTATTGATCGTCCTTTGAATAGCATTACTGCCGACAGAGTTAGAAAAGCCGCCTTTGAAACAGGGACGTCAGGAAGATATATGGGTAGCACAGGGTAATTTACATATTCCACGGCTGAATCGACTTAACAGATTTGCAAAATCGCCTCACTGCGGAAATCTTCGTCCGTAATGTCCTCGAGTCCGCTTTTGAGCAGGAGCTCCACCTGCTCCTCTCTCCCGTCGTCCTCGACCTTTCTAAACTCCGCATCAGAGCATTAACCAGCTGCGTGAGCGGCGCTCGTGTCAAGAACAGACTGTGGAAACAGGAAGGACCTCATGTGTTGGTGCTTGAATGGAGGATTGGAGAGTAGCTTGCTTGGTATCATGCGCGATGCAATCGTCGAGGATGCCACTGTTCTTTTCGCCTCGACTTGTTCGATCACGCAAATGAGTGATCACAAAGAGATGGACCAGGGGAACTCTGGGGAAGTAAGGAAATGATCATAAGCAGCTATCACGAAGGCTCTGCTCTCAGTCCCTACTGCCAGTTGCATAGGGTAAAATGTGAGATGAAGGAACTGGGATATTGAAGATAGGCAGAAGAATACTTCCACATCTTACGGAGGTTAGCTGCTCGAGTGGACCAGAGGCCTAGACGGCTGAAACTCAGCAATCCATCGTGGGTACGCCACCAATTGACTTGTGCGATACAAGCCGTGCAAAAATAATAAGTGTTGCTTGTTGTGCAATGGCTGTTAATGGCCCTATGAAAAATTGGACCGACTTGTCACTTGCCGTTTGTTCCGAAGGGTTTTCGCGGCCGAGGGTTTTGGCTGCCGGCCGAGAGTTTTGGCTGCTGGCCGAGAAGAATGTTTTAGGCACACATTCAATATATGCACACATTTAAATCTCGAATCTCGACCTCGCTCCAGTCCCCCCGTACTTGTCTGCATGAGCACCCGGGGTGCTCAGTTGGCTCCTGTTACCTTCCATGTGAAGCTCATGCGAGGGAGTAGCGTAGTGCCAGGAGTTAGCACGCGTTGGCGTCCCATCGATTGAAATGTTAACTTGGTCAACTGTGTCAAGCGGTTGACTCCGTGCACAGGCTTCCGATACTTTTATTCATCCCTGGGATATACACTGTTCATAGGGACGAGCCCCATCCTCTCTCCCTTTTGGAAGACGATGAGCGCCTTTGAATGCAAAATGTATGCCTTGACATACCCCTGCGCAATCAGGCTTGCCACGATGCTCTCGACATCGACTAGCGTCAGCTCGGGATCCTGCCACGCGGCGCGCGCCAGAATGAGCAGATCGGAGAGCGGCAGCGTGGGGGATGCGGCGGCCGCCGAGTCAGTGCTGCGGGTACGATAAATCAATAACCTGCGTGTTGGTCCACGTTGAAACATCAGCTGTCAGCGTGTTTCTCACATTTAGAGGTTTTAGGGCTAGTGCGCCTTGCCACTCACGCTTGCCGCACCAAGCATCGCCACGTTCCCACCTGCAGCTTTTCGCTCAAGAGCAAAAAGAGGCCGTGTTTCCTGAACCACTCTCGGTTCTGCTCGAGCGCCTGCAGAAGCCCTGCGCCGTTGCCTTTGCGCATTGCTTGCATCAACGGGCCGAAGATGGCCCACAGCCCGAGCTCGATGAGGATGATGGGCGATGGAAAGATGCCCAATACCAGGGCGGTCGCGGTGAGCGAGATGGTGATGCGGCTGGGGTCGTTCGATTGAAGGAAAAGGTCAGATCCAGAAAATGTATGCGACAAGCACAAGCTGATGCTCCACTCACCGCAGATTTTTGAGATGGCGGACGTTGCAGTGGTCGAAAGCCCATCTCAATTCCTTGTATGCCTGCACAAAAGACCAAAGTCAGCGTCTCACGGAGAACGAACTGTTCCCGTGCGTGGATCCTCACAAGTCTTATTCGGTGTTGGCTAAGCCGGAGTCTCCCGACAAAGAAATGATATGTGACGCGCTCAGCGACATCGTATGCCTCTTCCCCAGGCAACCCTTCCGCTGAGCCGCTCTTGACGACTGTCGCCTTCTCCGCCGAATCTGCAAATTGGGCATTCAGTTTGAACGCGTTCTCTACACTGCCAAGAACAGTCGAGCAAAGGCGAATGTTGTTCAGCTTGAAGTAGGCTTTGAAAGATGTATTTGCGAGCCATAGAGCTGCGCGCCGCTTTGTGTGCGCGCACGGTTGTGATGCACGGTCGTTTCCAGCAACTCCAGCAGATTTTGACAGACGACTTGCTGCATCCGTCACCTTGGGAAAGGTTGAGGATAGTGTGTAGGCGTCGACCTGAAGTTCATGAGTCGGTATCACGCATCCGAACATCATCAGCCGCAAGGCTAACGCCGCTATCGGGGAGGTAGGAGGCTTCTACTGACCTCGATTGCAAGATCAAGCAAAAAGATTCCAACCATCTTCAAGGTCTCGGCGAACCAGCAAGCATCAGGCTGCTGAAAGACGAACGCAGCCTTTGCATAGACCTGTGCCCACGCGTCATACGCCTTCTCGCAGTCTTCTGCATCCTGCGGTCTTACCTTGCTTCCATTCGCTGAGCCTTTCCCCCTCCCTGCCTGTCGCGAGGCAGCGGCATTTCTTGCGCGCAGAACTGGAAGAGGGTTGCTGAGGAGGAATGCATGGGTGAGGCGCGCTTGTTGCAGCTCTCCCAGAAAGGACGCAAAGCGATCGTTGAGCCAGTCGGCTGCGTTGTGCTCGATCTCCGTGATTGATGGGAACTGTGGGTATGAACTACAAGTCACACATCAAACGGTCACCTCGATGCTCTCCCCAGTTACGCTCACATTTGTGCCCTGTTTGGAAATAGCCTCCCATTTTGGCCCCACCTGGAACCCAAGGCTATTCGCCAGGTTGCGCGCCGCATGCACATTGCCACGATCGCGCCACGCAGCGTCGCCTAGTTGGCGGATTTGCTTGTACCATGCCAGATGCGTGAGAGCAGTTGGAGAAGCGCTACCAGTCGGCACAGCCATCGCGTCAGCCCTCTTTTCCTGTGTTCTCAACGTTAGTGTGAGCGCCAGCCTCGTTCGTGCAAATCGTGGCCATTAACATGGTTCCATACTTTGCTGGTCTTCGTGTTGGCTTTACTACACATCGCACGATGGAATGGACGCGAGTACTCAAAAGGATCCATTCGTAGTCGACGGGCAGTTATCAGGCTGGGCTGCTTATATATGTGATTACATAAGCGTTTTGTGTATGTTGCTGAGATTGCCGAGAGCTCCTCGTTCACTGGTGTCATAATCTCCAGTAACCCTCTCTATAGAACCTCCAGTTCCGGACTTCAATCGTATCTCTCTTTCGCGACATCCTCCTTTCCCGACCTATTATCTTGCCTTTCACTAGCCTCAAGCTTTTCATATCAGCAACTATGTCGGCGCAGAATTTGAACGGCGGACTGCTCTTCAACATCGGCGGCGCAGTTGCTCTGGTCACCGGTGGTGGTAGGTGCATCTTATGCCGGAGCAACGGTTTCGCATTTTCCCCATGGCCTCTCTCGGTACCTTAAGCTGCAGAGATCCGGGCTGATGCGGCGGATACATTTTGTTCTTTGCCATAGGCACGGGCATCGGACTTATGTGCGCGCGTGCTCTGGCAGCGAACGGCGCGAAAGTTTGTGAGCTCAGCTATGTTCCAGTCGGCGAGATGTCAGCCCGGATCGCAGGCTCATTCACCCCGTGTTCCACGTCCGTGCAGACATTTCAGGACGTCGCCAGGCTGCGCTCGAGTCCGCCGCCGCAGACTGCAATCCAGAACTTGCTCCGCTCGGCGGCTCCCTCGTCCCCGTTCAGGGTGATGTGTCTGACAAGGCGTCCTTGGCCAAGATCGCCGAGACGATCCAAAAGACGGATGGGCGTCTCCACATCCTGGTGAACAACGCGGGTGTGGAAGGTCCATGCACCGAATTGACCTCCCCCGAAGGGTTAAGTGCGAAGGATATTAGCGAGGCGCATTTGAAGAACGAAGAATTCGTCGTGAGTTGGCGTCTACGCACATCCTTGTACTCCGGCACAAAGCGCTGACCCGTGTGCATGTCGGACACAAAAGGCATGGGACAAGCTTTTCTCGATCAACACGCACTCGGTCTTATTCAGCACGATGAGCTTCCTCCCACTCCTTTCGGCAGGCAACGCAGCCCCGCCCTCATCGCGAGCTCAGGAAAAGTACGCCAAGTGGACCGCAGCCGTCATCAACATCACCTCCATCAGCGGCTTTGTTAAGGTCAGCCAGAGTCACTATGCGTACAATGCCAGCAAAGCAGCAGCCAACCACATCACAAAGATGCTTGCACACGAATTGAACTTTAGGAGTAAGCTGGGTGAGTGGAATGCAGCTGGAACGCTTTTGCCGTCGCCTGACAAATGCATTGACTGCTTGCCTTGCGACTGCAAAAGGGATCCGCGTTAATGCCATCGCTCCAGGGCTCTTCATGACGGAGATGACGGCGCCAACGCCGGCCGCGCGCGTCGACCCATCGCAAGTCGGGCCAACGAAGCATGCGAACCCGGCCGGTCGGTTCGGCACAGAGGAGGAGATGGCCAGCCTGTGCCTCTACCTAGCTAGCAACTGCTTCCAGCAAGGCCAGATCGTCGTCCTCGATGGGGGGTTCACCACTGCCGTCGCAAGCACCATGTAGAGTTGGAAAGCGGATTGCTCAGCGCAGTACAAATTCTCGCTCGTCATCGTTCATGAGGTCTATCAGTCAATTAATGCAGTTGCAACTTGAATACAAAATTTGCAATATGCGATACGGGTGCAAAGGAAAATAGTATTACAAGTGTCCGTAGTGTATGCCGATCGTTGAGTGTGCTCATTATGCGCCATGGCGTGGAGAGGAAGGGGGCGCGTCGTGATGCTGCTCAGAGGAAAAATGCAGCAGATACTGAGAGGGTGACTAACAGTGCTGCAGCCGAGGCGCAAGAGCTGCGGCTCGCCGACAGCGCAGCAGTGGACGTGTGGCCTATCTGCACGGAAGTTGGTGCCGGTGCGGCAGAGGCGACAGCCTTGTGGCTACTCGCGCTTGACGCTGCGCTTGTGGAGATGGTGAGGCTGCTGGCAGTCGTACTAGACATTGTTCTCGTTTGGTTACCAGACCCAGCAGACGCGATGATCTCCTGCCGTTGCATGGACAGGATACCCTGCTGCGCGCTGACGGGCGCGGTGTTGTTGAGCGCATTGGCGTACCAGGGCTTGCCGGGCGTGTCGCCAAGCTGCGCAATGTTCCGGGCTTGGAGGTTGAACTGCTGTACCAGCGGCCAGGTGCACCACTCGAACGCGTGGACGCTCTGATCGGTCAGCTCGTGCTCGAGCACGAGGACACCCTTGCCCTGGCTGGTCAAGCTGCCGAACGCTTGGTGGATGTTGGTGCAGACCTGCGCGGGCGAGTCGCCGACGCTGCCACTGCCTTCTCTCAGCTCCCAGTCGTTCGAGTCACCAGACCAGCTGACGAGCGTGAGGCCAAATACGTGCTCGGCGATCGCGCGAATACGGTTGTCAGCGTCGCCTGTGAAAGGGATTCAATGGAGGGGAAGAACAAGTCAGCGCGAATGACCCTGCAATGGAAAGTGAAAGAGGTAACCTCACCTTGTGGAGGTCGCCAGAAGGCTGGGACCTTGCCGGACAGCTGGAAGATGATCTCCATGCACCATCCAATTTCTGCAACGACGTCCTCGTTGGACAAGGCTGTGATGAAAGACGGATGGGACCAAGTGTGGTCGGCGAGGTGATGCAGGGGGGACTTTGCCATTTGTTGGAACGCATCTTGGTTCGTTAGAATATTGCTGCCGATGAGGAAGTGCGTGGCGCTCTGGCTGTTCGTTTGCAAGAAGTTCAACAACTCGTTTGTCCCTTGCGACGGGCCATCGTCAAAGTTAATGGCAACCTGACCTTGCGGAGCAGAAGTGATGTCATTCGGACCTTCGCATTGGCTGTACCTACAAGAGGAGGAGGCGGGTGGTGTGGATGTTGAGCGTCTGCGATACGCGTCTGGGATACACGAAACTCACGACCAGTTGCAGACGGATGGATCGGCGGGGTTCACACCATCGGGGTACTTCAAGGGCCCATTTCTGTCGATGCGTTGCAGTGATGTCAGCAAAACAGGACCGTAGAAATAGAAAACAAGCGGCAGACATGCACTGAATCACATCGGGATGATACATACACATTCTGGGAGCGCGGGATGCTCGGGATCTTGCCGGTGGCGACGGCGGCATTCAGCGCGTCGATCCACGGTTGCGGTGTCATAGACCGGGGCGGCGTGGCAAATGGTGCAGGCCATGTGACGCCCGCTCGCTTGACAAAGCGGACGGGCTGCGCAACGACGGCAGCTGCGAGTGTGCAGCATGCCGCCAGCGGGATTAGAGTGCTTTGAAATCGCATGTTAGACCAAGAATGTGCGATGAGTGAGCAAGGGATGACAATAAGGAAATTGGTGAGGAAGCATCGTGGGGGAAGGTCAACAGAAAGTGCATGTCTTCGTCAGCGGTATTTGTATGAAGGCATGTTCTTGCTGCCTGCAGCTTGCACCAAGCAAACATCTGAGCGCTGCACCTAACCTAGAGAAGCGATTCATGTCCTTTATTCCTCATCAGGCGCTGCACAAGGAGAACGGGTACCTCATGCTCATGTCGCGGGCATGCAGGGTTTCACTGCTGCTGTCATGCATTGTTGACTCGCGTGAAGGCGTTTGCTCCAAACGCGACCGTGCGCCGAGACGGTAGGAAAGCAAATCTCATTGAGGATGGTTCCTCGATAACGCTGGCAATCCGACGGCGCATGTGCTCCCGGCCGCGGTGACATATCTCGTCATTCGTGCTTCGCTGTGAGTGTTCACGAGAAAAGTGCTCGACGTTCGAAGATGCAAGAAGGGACAGGATTCTGTACCACGTACTGCTTGATAAACATGCTGGAGGAAGCATTCGAGCTGTTTGTACCTGGCCGCAAGGCTGCCATCAGCCATGAGCGAGCGCGTAGCGTCGGAACGCCGGTCGTGACCAATGCAGTCAATTTGTTTACAGGAGAGCCGGCGGGCAATGACGCACGGTGCCTGGATTCTGGCTTTGCGTCGCTTTGCTATTAGGAATCCCCTGTGACGGCACTCAAGGAGAGCCAAGGGTGCCTGGAGACAATCAAAATGCAAAAGTGTCGCCGCAGCCGCAACCGCGGAAGCTCCCGGTCATTCGTTTGGTTGGCACAGTTTCCCCGTGCTTCGGAGAGCCCAGATGGGGTGGGCCCACTCTATCATGTCCTGCGCCGACGGGGAAGACTGTGCAGATGGGGACCGGAGTTGCGGCGACACAGACCCAAACTCTCTGAGGAACCGGCGTCATACGCATCTAATCAATCATCAAGTGGCGGAACGGAACACCGGCGTCAATCCGTTTTCCATACATTGCTGATGACTTGCTGGGGAGCGGTTGCGCGTGACGGACACGTGCATATGTAGGTGCGTCCACAGACAGACCATCGCGGTCGAATGGAGGAGCGGGTACACTGTACATTCACACAGCGCTGTGCCTTCCACAAGATTGACGGAACCGACCCCGCGGCCCCTCGCTCGAGACTCGTGCACGGACTACAAATATCTGGCGTGCAGCATACAAGTATGGATTCAACCCGGGCTACACAGTGTCGGCCCCGCGATGAGAGCTTAGAACGATGCATAGCGTTGCACGTGTCCCAGCCTTCGTCTCTTTATTAAGCGCCACTATGCCAGCGAGTAGTGGGGGAAAGCTCTCCTTCGGCACAACTTATTGGTCCTCTACGACTGCCGAGGCTGCGGCTGAGCGACGAGCGGCCGGCGCGAGCAGTTCAGAGGAGCCGATGACAGAAGAACCTCCGCGATCAAACAAGCTGCTGCTTTGAGATGGGTGCTGTGCTCGTCGTGCCTGCGCGATGCAAGCCATGCAGCTGCGATGCGATGGAAGCGGAAAGACGCAGGTCCCGCGACCATCGGCAGCGGATCGCGTCATTCCGGCCTGCTTCCCGCCTCAAACATAGGATATCCTGCCGCTGGGCATGGGCACGTGACGGTCCATTTCTCTGTGAGGCGAGCCTCGCAGCTGGTAGGAGGCAGTCTTTGAAGATGTGATGAGCTCAAGAGAGCCAAGCAACGTTGCCCTGAAGGTTGTGAAGGTGTGACGGAGGATGGTGCCACAAAGTGTATGGTATAAAGCACCTTGCGCCACAACAATGCGGCCCGGAGGTGATGCCGTCGCGCGTCGCAGCGACACTCTTGGCTCACATCAGCTTGGAGGCACTACCCGCCGCATCCATTGCCTCAAGCCGATCGAGCATCTCAGCCATGAGGTCATTTTGCTTCTGCGCCTCGCTTGCATCCGTTCTGCTGCTACCGCCCGGGTCCGCGCAAGCGTCTACGTGCCCCTGCTGCTCACCGCCACCACTAGCGCCGACCCCACCCCCACTAGCGTGTGTGATGGTGCGTGTCTCGCTCCGTTGTGGTATGAGCGCAGGCGCATCTGGCCGCCAGCCAGGTGCGATCATGCGCAGTTGCTCCTCTTCGCGCATCTTCTTGGCCTTCTGCCGCTGCGCGAGGTATACCTCTGCGGCGTGGCGTGCAGACGCCAGCGCGGCACGCTGCGAGGCCGGGTTGGCGGTGGAAGCGGGTGTGTCTGCGCCGGCCGGGGGAGGTACTGGCTGACGGAGGACGTAGTCCTCAAGGTGGAAGTCGTAGACAAAGTACGCCTCCAGCGCCGGCGGGAGCGGATGCAGCTGCGCCACAGGCAGCTGCGGACGCGGTGGAATGCGCAGGGCGGGCGACTTGATCAGCGGAATCCCCCCCGCAAGGCCGTACAGAGCCGATGCGGACGATGCAGCAGCGGCTGCAGGGAAGGAGGCGGGAGAGGCGTGATGGGGACGCCCGCCGCCGCTGGGTGGCGGAGTGACCGACGACGCCATGTTGGGAGAAATAGTATCCACCGTCCGAGGAACATCCACGAGACGAGCCGGGTATCGCGGTGCCCATTAGTGATGGACCTGAGTGGCACCGGTTACGGATGAGGCTGACGTGGAGGATGGGCAGAGGAAATAGATTGTGATGAGCATTCAGTTACGGTGGAGCAGTCCGCGGACACAACCCTACCTTCCTGCAGGCCGCTGGAGCTTTGTGAAAGCCTGGGAAATCCGCCACGAATGCCCCGGGATTCAAGGAGGTTGGAAAACAGAGTGAGGCAGGGGAGTACAAGCTGGGCCGTGGCCAACAGAGGTTGTCGTGGTGCGCTGCCGGGTGCATTTGCAAAAGCAAAGGGAATAGCGATGATCGACGCCACTGCTTCACTGCTAGATCGACAGTCGGCACAGCACCGGACCGAATGTAATGAATGATTACTTTAATCCGGTTGGGCAGCCAACCATCACCACAGATCAACACCACCCATCGAAGTAGCTGATGGGCGCTGCATGCGACTGTCCGCTCGAAACCTCTTTCGAATGCCAAGCGAAAGGAGGAGACAGACGGACAGGCCAAGTAGAGAGAACAATACCAAGCGCCTCACGTTCGGATGACTGCGAGAAGAAACAGCTCCCGCCCCTGCGCGAGAAATGCTCGGCAGTGACTTTTTCAACTTGGAGACTCTCGGCTCACTCTCTGTTCTCCAGTGCCGGTTAGTATTACTTCCATCCCATGACCGAAACATATGTAACCGATGTTTATAGGTGATTCTTTCGGGGTTTCACCATTTTCTTCCGGCTGGTTTCCCAGTTTATGCTGTATTCACCTCTCACTTCTCGCACTAACCCGACGATACTACTCGGTTTCCTTGTTGCATGCCAGCAGGATGGGGCCAAGCTGGCTGCTGGTCATTCGTATTATTATTTTATCGGCCGGAATCAGTATCAGGGAGGGGGGTTCGAATCGCTCTGATGAACTAAAAAAATAAGAAAAAAATAGAAGGCTCCTGGCCGCTCGGAGAGGGACTACCATCGCGAAAAGTCGGGGATCTCCGATCGATGGAAGGGAAGTTCGAAGGGGATTGGTCATGCATGTCCCCTGCTCTCCTCCTCATGTTGCTCTGTTCCGCACCTTTAATACCTGCTGGCATGCCTTCCCGACCCTTCGGTGCCGCTTTATTCGCTCGAACCAAGGTGGCTTGCTTTTTGCATGATATGCCATCCTAGAACGCGTGACCTCGGCGCTCATAGATCTGCATCTTCTCAACGCACGATTGCTTGCACCAAGGGCAAAAAAGGACCAAGTTCGATCCTTCTTCACGCGGGTCTGGCAAGGAGCGATTCGAAATGGTGCACGCCCGGCGTTCCTGCACAAAGCGATACGCTTTCAGCTCCAAGGCAGCCGCAGCAGCGATAGCGCTGCTCTTCGCTAGCGCAGCGACGCACACCGTCCAAGCTGCTTTCACGCATGGCCGGACTTTTGCAACTGGAGGCAAGACGCACCATTTCCCCCGCGCGCATGGCAGCGGCATTACAAGGAATGGGAATGACCTGGCGGGTCAGACGTTCGACTATGTCATCGCCGGTGGCGGCCTGGCCGGCCTGGTCTTAGCTAGCAGACTCAGCGAAGACGCAGATGTCACGGTCGCAGTCATCGAGGCGGGCGTTAGTGGCGTTGGCGATGATTCATTGACGATCCCCATTGCAAATGTGAGCGTGTTTACAAATGCTACATGGGACTAATTTTCGGGCCCTGACTGCTCGCATTTTCCTACCCAATGATACCTTGCAGCTATACGACTCCTCTGTAGGAACCAGCAAAGACTGGCAATACCCGACCACACCTCAAAACAACCTCGACGGCAAGCCCAAAACATGGCCGCGCGGCAAGGTGCTCGGTGGTTCGTCGGCGATCAACGGGCTCTACATGGTGCGCCAGTCGTCGCTCGAGCAGGACCTCTGGGCGAGCCTCGCAGGAAACTCGACCTCCACTCTGGGGCCTAATGCTGACGTAACTGGCAATGCGGCCGCCAAGTGGGGGTGGGACAACATGCTGGCCAACATGAAGCGCAGTGAGACCTTCACTGCGCCCATCTCCTCTGTGAAGGCTACCCTCGGCTCCTCGGTCGCTTGGGCAGACTCTTCGCACGGCATGAGCGGCTCGATCCACCACAGCTGGCCGGGCAAAGAGTACGCCTCCGTCGGCGCGTTCATTCAGTCGGTAACGAGAGTGACGGGCATCCAGATGAATGCAGATCCGTACAATGGTATGAACCTCGGGCCCTTTGTCGCAACGAGCGCAATCAACCCGGCCAACTGGACGCGCAGCTTCAGCAGAACAGGCTACCTCGACCCAGTCCTGGGCAGGTCAAATCTGGTGTGTATGCTCTGAGGTTCAGCGGGCTGACAGACGGACTTACTGAATGCGCCTCTGTTGTAGTACGTTTTGACAGGTCATCTAGTGACCAAGGTGCTCTTCGACAACAGCAGCGCGTCAGCCGTCCGCGCTACAGGCGTGCAGTACGCTGCCTCCCCTGGCGCAAAGGTGCAAACCGTCAAAGCGAACCGTGAAGTAATTCTCTCGGCCGGCGCGGTCGGCTCTCCTACGATCCTGCAGTTGTCGGGTGTAGCCGACCCTGCGTTGCTCTCGTCGCTTGGTATCGACCAGGTCGTCAACCTACCCGGCGTCGGGTACCACCTGCAGGACCATCTCAGCGGGGGCGTGACGTTCGGCATCCGCGGCAGCACCGACAAACCCGGAACGAACATCAGCGGTAACGCAGTGATGGACAGCTACGTGAACAGCGCCATCGCCTATGTCAACCTCGAAAGCCTCTTCGGCGGGTCGGCGGGTGCGAACGCTGTGCGCGCGCAGATCGCGAACGGCGTCGATGATGCCGTCAATAGCTACAATGCGCCGGACGCCGTCAAGGCTGGGTACCGCGCGACGTACAACGCGCAAGCGGGCCATGTCTTTAAGGAAGGCAGCAAGACGGGCCCGATCGAGCTGCTCTTCGCCAATACATTTGGAAACATCCAAGTGCAGACCGCACTGCAGCATCCCCTCTCGCGCGGAAGCGTCAAGATCACCACAACCGACCCCTTCACGTACCCTTCCATCGACGCTGGCTACCTGACCAACTCCATGGACCTGCAGATCATTAGACAGGGCTTCAAGCTGGCGCGGCAAGTCGGTGGCCAGAGCCCTCTGTCCGACTTGCTGAGTGGCGAGATGAGCCCGGGCCCCGGTACGACCAGCGACAGCGACTGGGAGACGTGGCTCAAGGCGAACACGCAGACTGAGTACCACCCTACCGCTTCGTGCTCCATGCTGCCGCGTGAGATGGGTGGCGTAGTGGATGAGAACATGCTCGTGTACGGCACAAGCAACCTGCGCATCATCGACGCGTCCGTGCCGCCGCTCAGCATGGCTATGCACCTCATGACCGCCACTTACGGCCTCGCTGAGATCGGTGCGGATATGATCAAAGCGACGCGCAACAACATTACATATCCTGGTGGGCATCCGCTCAACTCGCAATCCTCTTCTTCCAAGTCCGGATCAGGCTCCGGCTCTGCTTTGGGTGCCCATGGGTCCTCGGGAGGCTCATCAAGCGGAGCTGCGCGAAGCGGCCGCCACACCTCACCCGCATCCTTCGCCGTCGCATGCAGCGTCGTGCCTCTCCTGCTTGCATCGCTGTACACCTTGGCATGAGCCCCTCGGTTCGTTCCTGCAATTGCCAGCATGACACCGCAAACACACCATCTCATTACATCAATCGGCCTCGGACAAGGCATACACTATCTCTAATCGAATACATTTCCACAACTTTCCCTTAGCAACCTTGTCGGTCCCATTGCTGGGCCCATTGCTCTTCGCCAAGAGAGACTCGACAAGCCATACGGACTTTCAGCTTTCACAATTACCTCCAGAAGTGCGCTTTGCCCACCAACCGCTTGTTCAGCAGATGCTAGACTTGCTCGGCTGGCGGCCCGGTAGCCGCTCTGTATTGTGTCATATTACGATAGAGATTGCTGGCCGCTTGCATATTTGTATGACTTTGCTTGAAGCGCGTCCAAGTTGCCAGCATTACCGCTCTGCTTTCCATCTGTCGATCATTCCGCTGTGCCAAGACGCTGTCCGCCTTGCAGATTTCTTCTCCCAGTGCGGAGACAAGACCACTTTGATGCATCATGATGTGACCCCACAAGAACGTGGGCCAATTTTCTTTTAGCACGGGACGAAAGGGCAACGGTAACGTCACACCTTCCCAAGTGGCAAAGTGCTGCCTCCTATGCATCTGCGAGCGCGATGTCGCCGCCACCGAAATCGGTATTTGGCTCCCAGACCAGGGTGCTGAATCCTACCTTGCATTAACCGCTCAGAGCGAACCAGCAAGGCGTAATATAGACATCAAGCACATACGCCGCCTACCTTGCAAAATGCAGGTTGCGCTAGACTATGTAAAATGGTACAGTGAAAAAGGTCAAGGTCTGAGGCAAGGGATCAGCTCTGTCTTCTCATATCAGATCAGATCCGAATGTAAGTTAAAAGATGCGTAAGTAGACTAACACAGGCGGCCAACACGTGAGTAACGTGAGTAACGCTGGGAATACGTCAGCCAGCATCCTAAGCTTGACTTGACTTGAATGCAGATCTCAAATAGAGTAAGAATGTGAGAGCATGCCTCGGCAGAGTTCCTCTTTGCAGTCTACTGCGCATAACCTTGCTGAGGAGGATAGCCCTGCGCATACCCTTGTTGACGGTAATACCTGAAGAAGCGGAACACAATGATCAATTATATTTCCTCAGCAGAACTTGGCAAACAGCCCAACTTACTCTGCCCATTCCTTCGAGTAGTCTGGCTGGCTTCCAGCTGGTGCGGCTCCGGCGGCAGCGTTCGAATCAGCAGTGCCGCCTTGCTGCGCAGCAGCTTGTGCGGCGTAGTAAGCTGCCCACTCTGCCGAATAATCTTGCCCACCCGCTGCCGCACCGGCGGCAGCGACTGGTGGCTGCTGTTGCGAAGGGTCGGCCTGGGCATAGCCTCCATAGCTGTTCCCTTGTTGTTGCCATGGCCCAACGCCAGCCCCGTAGCCCTGCTGTTGCTGATGCTGCTGACCATGGTAACCTCCTCCGCCGCCTTGGAAGCCCATACCTGGGCGCGGAACCCTTCCTCCGCCTGGCTGCATCCACACATCTGGGTTCCTCCAAGGAGGGATCTTTGCCTGCCCCGGCGCGCCTGCCCCAGTTGCCCCTCCTGCGCTGGCTGCAGGGCCAGCTCCAGGGGGGCCAGGTCGACCAGGAGCACTGGCGCTCCCCGGTCCTGACGCGGGTCCACCAGCTCCGCCACCAAGCTCCGCCATGAGACTCGCATACTCCGAGTCGAAGGCGCCGTTTCCGGTGGGCCCACCGCCAGGCGGGCCACCGGGCCGACTGCCGAATCCGCCGGGACCGGCGGTCCCCCCACTCGTGCAATCACGAGCCAAGTGACCCTGCTGACCGCATCGATGACATGTGATGTGTGCAGTCCAGTTGCGCTCCTCTGGGCAATCGTACTTGCGGTGTCCCTTCTTGCCGCAATTTTGACAGACCTGGTTTTCATCGTCTCGCAGCGTTCCGTTGAGTGCAGCAAGCTCTCGCAATTGATTCCTCTTGTGGTCGTTCTCGCCTTCCGGTGTGGATGCGGCCTGTCAAGAATAAGAGAAAGTTACTTGAGACGCTGTTCAGCCCAGGAGATGGGCTGCGAATCTGGACTCACAGTTTCGATGACCTTGTTGATGAGCCTGACACAGTGCTTGACCTTGGCTTCTTCATCGGCCGTCACGACACAGTGCATGTCTTCCTCATCTTGGTCATCATATCCAGGTTTCCCCTTCCCTTCCTTAACACTACCCTTGCCACGAATAGCAATCTTGGCACCGCTCTCGCGTTCCATGGTCTTGATTGTGTTACCACGAGGGCCGACGATCAGACCAAAGAAATTGATCTCTGGGAACTCTTTCAAAGGTAGGTAGACCTTTTCGGTTGGCCTCTGATTCCGCTTGTATTGCTGGTACTCGGCAGGCGGCTTGAAATTAGGATCCATCTTCATCTGCTTTTCGACCAGGCCTGCCCTCTCATCCTCCAGCTTTTTTCTGTATCGAACTTCTCGTGTGTTTGTCCTTCTGCCTTGATTGTCATAGATGGGAGGAGGCGATGGGGATCGCTCGCGGTCGGGAGGAACAAAGTCGCCGGAAGCGAGCTTCCGATTGATCTCCTCCAGGCGAACTTGCGCGGCATACTTATCAAGCTCATGCTGCGAGACATTGGTGGATGTGATGGCGGTTGTGATCCCGGAGAGGTCGACCTTGGAAGACTCGTCGCCCCAGCGTGAACGACGCTTGCGAGTGCCTGGTGTATCGGGAAAGAAACATGCTGTGCGTCAGTATGTGGAACATGGATGCGCAGCGAGAAGGCTTGCCCAACAACTCGCCTGAATCCGCTGCACTGTCCTCTCGATCTCTCTTGATGCCGCCGTCAGACAAAGGTGAGCCTTGAATGCCACCAGATACACCTTCGCCCTCACCCCATCGCCGCGGCGCTCCCAGAGGCTGAGCGTTCATACCCGTCTTTTGCGCATTGCTTCGCCACGACATCCTTCACGATTACCTTCGTCGCTGAGTCCGGCTGTCAACTTTCTCATACAGATTTGTAATGTGTCGTATGGCCTTCCTGATCACTCGTAGCACATGCTTGCACGAATTGTGAGTGTGCTTCGAACTCTGAAGTACCTGCCTAATGTCCTGTGTTGATGGATTGGAGGAAGACGAAGGAAAAAGCTGAGCTGACGCAAAGAATAAATAAGCGCAAGCGTCTCTTTTCGGTGGGGCCGACTTTCACCGCCCACGGAGGCAAGAAAGAATGGAGGTCACAACCCGAACGTACCAAGCACACTCAGATCAACGGTACCAATTAGGCTTCACAGGCATGGTCGTCAAAGTGAAAGCATCACGGCTCGCCTGAGCAACACGATGCACTTGCTACAGCTCTTGATCGTCTCATCACCAACATCCTCGTGTTAAAAGTGCGAACACAATATGAGTGTTCCAGTCGGAGCAAGCACTTCACCATGGGCGCTTGATGCTGACCACCGCGGCTCTATCGACTCTTGGTCAATACGCAACTTCGAAGCACCCCACGAGAATGACCGCTTCACCTCACGTCAGAGCAAGTTACGTCGTGATGGGTGGCGGCCGGATGAAGAAATCAAGGAAGGTTGGCACGTCGGCGGCGGCGTCCCCGCTGGCCAAGGCGTCAAGACCGCCAATCTGACGAACATGAAAGGTGAAAGCATTTCGAAGCTGCCAATCGAGGATGCCAAATGGGACAAAAAGAGCCGTTTGAAACAATGGGAAGAATGGCGAAAGAAACACCCCTGGATCACCCCGCCACCCAGCATCGCTGGCCTGCGTGAAGGGCAAGGGAAGACACAAAACAAAAGTCTGCCACCGTCGAATGTCTCCCCTGGGCAGTGGGCCTGCAAGGTTATAGGAAACTGTCAACCATGTCCAGAGGACTCGGTAAGCACCTGACCTGGTCTGTACATCTCACTGAATATTCGAGCCCATTGCGATGACCCCCATCTCTTGCTCCAGCTACACTTTCCGTATTGTCAGCCTTATGCCAACCGTCTTCCAGTCTCATGCGCTCCACTGTCAAGCAGCACGAACTCTGCAAGTCCTCAAAGCACTGAATACATTAAAGGCTGGCAGCAGTGCGGCAAATCCGTCTCGCAAGAGCGCTGGGACTACTTTGAGTTCACCGTGAGCGCTGGCGTGGCTCCCTCTTCTCAAGAAACCCCTCTGACTACGCTTTTCCTCACGCACCTGCCTCCCAGGTCTTCACCGCTTTCATTGCAGTCATCGGTCTCATAGTGTTTATCCGTCGACAAAAGATATTGTCCGAACGGCATTATAGTGTACTAAATCAGCGAATCAACAGTTGAAAGAAAGCTGCCTGCGCCGTGTGCGTGTGCTGGCCTTCGAGTGCATGGCGTTCATGCCTCACCTGGACGTCGTATCCGTCAGTCTTGCTATCGCCTATAACTTCATTGCCTCGGCCAGCAGGCACGTGCTGCACATATTTGTATATACATCGCACGGCATATACATCACTTGTCCAGGCTCAAGGCATGCCAAACCACAACGGACCTCGTATTCGTATCTAGTTAAGCGTTCCATGGACCCGCGTTCAGCGTTCCGCTGATGCTCCGCACTCTCTCAGCGCGATGCAATCATCATGGGCTCTTCGCAGCCACTTCATAACACCTGCCTACAAATTGCAGCATGCCATGCTGGTACCCCAACTCAGGCAACTCGCATGCAAGCGCAAGCGAACGAGGGAAGCGGGTCTGTAAGCGCTCATCGCTGCCGTGGCCTGACCAGGTGAGGTAGGCGGCCAGGACTTGCCTGCGAACCCGTGCCCACTCCTTTTAGACGCCAGACCCGAAAAGAATAGAGATGGAGTACGACGATCCAGCAGCGGTCGCGTGGGCCAAGGAGCGACTGAGACTCGACCGGTCGTCAGCTCCGAAGCAGAAACAGCAACAGCAACAGCAACAGCAACAGCAACAGCAACAGCAACAGCAACAACGTGGTGCGTGCCAGCAGGTGGGCCAGGATGAATGGGATGAGCCGGACGGTGCAGCGACTGGAGGTGGCGCTGCTCCGGCGCCGCTGGTCGTGAATCTCAGGGAGAAAGACCCATTCGACTGGGAGAGCTACATTGCACCATATACAGGGCATACACGTCTAGCGAGGCTGCTCTTTCTCGCAGAGCATTGCCCCAGCTTACGGATCCCATGCGCGGACCAAGCGCTGAGCACCATCCAACAGACCACCACCAATGCACCACTCTACCTTCGGGCGCTGCAGCTGCGCAATACTGATCCGGCTACCGATGCACCATGGACAGATCGGAGCAAGATTGCAAGCCAGGATGATGCTTGGATCAAACAAACTAATGCCAGGATCAGCAGTGAGGAGGAGAAGCTTGAGCTTGAGCTACGAAATTACCAAAACAACATGATCCGCGAGAGCATTCGAGTATGTACAGATTTCCACAGCAGCGCTTGAGGTTGAATGCTGATGCAAGCCCGCCTTGTTAAATGTCACAGATGGCCAACCGTGATCTGGGAGACTTTTACCGCTCGGCAGGGCATCCATCACAGGCGCTGAAATATTATCAGCAGACGCGCGAGTACACCTCCACTGGGGAACATGTCCTCGAAATGTCCTTGAACGTGATCGAGGTGGCATTGGACCAACATGCTTACCAGCTCGTTGCGTCCAATGTCGCCAAGGCCGAAGGGGTGCTGAAGAACATCATATCTGGAGGCGAGAGCGCAGCGCTTGCAGCAGGCTCGATCCACACAGGCGGGGGAAGCCGGATCGGCTTTGGCAGCGGAGCTGGCACAGGGTCATCTGGGGGCGCAGGAGCAGGCGCGAGCGGCAGCAGGAGCAAGGTCGCTCCTGTCAGCAAGGGAGGTAACTCGGCCGGTGGTGATGCGATCGGTGCGCTCTTCAGCGCAGGAGGCTCTGCAGGCGTAGCGCCCGGAGGAGCGAATGCAACTGGTGGTGGCGCTCGTGCAGGAGGGTTAGCAGGTGCTGGTGGTAGCAATGGCGGTAGCAGAGAAGCCAAAGCGAAGAAATTGGTACGCGAGATTCAAGACAAGCTCAATGTCGCAGGAGGGATTGCCGCGATGGGTCTGCGAAGGTACGAAATGGCATTGAGAAGTCTATCCAAGGTGGACATCAATTCGTCCAACGCATGGAGCAATGTGAGTCCTCGGCGCCGTGTCTGCACACGCATGCAGCGCTCAGACCTCACACTGCCTTCATGTGTGCGAGCAGATGGCATCCCCTGCAGACATTGCCCTGTACACTTCGTTCTGTGCAGCTGTGACCCTGGATCGTTCCGAACTGCGCCGCCGTCTGGTTGGCCGCGGGGGTCCGCAATCGTCTGCGTCCGAAGAGGCCAGCGCGGCGGCGAGCAACAATGCCGAGGGTGGAACAGTGACAGGCGGCGGAATCACTGGCACACTCGACGTCGATCCGGCAGCACGCGAGCTGATCTGGAAGTTCCACGAGTGCGATTTCAAGAAGGTCTTCCGAAATCTAGACATCTGGCGCAGCAGGCATCTGCTCGACTTCCACCTCAGTCCGCACGTCGAGCAGCTCAGCAAGACCATCAGGACGCGCAGTGTGCAGGATTTTCTCAAGCCATATAAATCACTTGTCCTTGCGGACATGGCGGAGGCTTTCGGGTTTGACGAGCAGACTCTGTTGCAAAGCTTGATCAGCCTGCTGGAAGAGGACAAAATAGACGTCCGGATTAACATGCAGAACAGGGTGCGTTAGCCCGTGGTGCGTGATTTTCTAGTGCAGCTTTGAGACTGACTTGCCCCCTGATCCTCCACGCAGACCCTCTCCGCGGCTCCACGCAAGGATGAACGCGCCGAGCTGTATGACCGCGCTTTCAAAGTCAGCGCACAAAGAGTCAAAGATTGCAAGAACATTCTGTTCCTTCAAGAGCTCGTCCGCGAGAAGTGAGTGACCTTTGCTCTTCAGTCGCACGGTATCTCCGCTGAATGAGGTGTCCATCCAGGTTGATCGTCAAAGGCAAGCAGCAAGCGTGGTGAAGCAAGGGACACCCGAGCACAGATGTGCCCGCATGGGTTCGATTCGAAGCATTTGTAGCATTTGTACCATCACCAAACAAGCATATTCTCTGAGCTGCCTTTAGCGTATATCCGCCACAAATCCAAGCCCCCCAACCAAGGTGGCTGGACTGCCCATGATCTACTTTTTCTTCTCCGCCTTTTTCGGTGGAAGCTCCTGTTTGTAGATCAAGATGGATAGCGAGATTAGTGACGGGACGGAAATCAGGCTGCTTCCAGCGCGGGCTCACCCTCGTGTAGGGAATGAAGTCCCGCCCTTGCAGGTACTTTTGCAGCGGGGGTGGGATCTTGAGGCCTTCTGGTGTTTGCCAGTTCTCCACGAGGCAGCAGAGTGCACGCTCGGTGGCGCACAGGGTGCCGCTGCACAGTAAAAGACGAAAGTAGTCAGCAATTGTCCTTGCGACTAGGGTAAGATCGAAAATGAATAACGCACTTGAGCATGTGGCAGTAGATCTTCTTCTGCCCATCCGCCTTCTTGGTCCCGCATCGGACCTCGAGCTCGCGCGCCTGGTAATCCGTGCAGTTGCTGCAGCTGACGAGTTCCTTATGCTCACCCTGGAAGGGGAACCAGGCTTCCAAGTCGTACTTCATTGCCGCGGCATTGTTCAGCGCGCCACTGACGATTGCGACGACCCGGTAGCCTAGGCCAAGGCTCTGGTAGAACTCCTCCGAATTGGCCAACATCATGTCAAGCGTGTCCCATGAAGAGTCCGGGTCGGTCAAGCAGAACTTTCGGGGCGAATGTGGCGTGTTAGCACTGTGGCTGAACGCCCAGCAAGACATTGATGGCCGAATGCTCACCTGCTCAATTTTTTCGAATTGGTGCACCCGGAAGATACCCCACATATCCTTTCCGTGAGACCCGGCCTCTTTTCGGAAGCAGGTTGAGTAGCCAGCGTACTTGATGGGCAGTTGCTCGGAGGGCTGGTCGAACCACTCATCACAGTGGAACGCGCTGATGGGCTGCTCGCTCGTCGCGATGAGGTACTTTTCTTCAGAAGGCTCTGCCCCTTCCTCGGCTCGTAACCCGTAGAGCGCCTCGTCGAACTCTTCTAGTTGTGCTGTCTTGCCCATCAGATCCTTGCGCATGAAGAAGGGCGTCATCATCTTTTTGTAGCCCTTGGTTCGCAAAAAGTCGAGGCCGTAGTTGATAAGAGCTTGGTTCAGGTCGACACCTTCGCCGGTGAGGAAGAAACCACGATGCCCAGCGACCTTTACGCCGCGCTCAGGGTCGAACATCTCCAACCGGTACATGACCTCGTGATGCGGTAGGATATCGCTACAGAACAAGCACACAGCGAATGAGACTCTGGACTCAAACGCATTTAGTGACCGGTATGCTGACTCACGTCTTCTTTTCGAATTGAGAATTGGGACCATCGGGGTGCCAAGTCTTGAGCACCGCATTGTCGTCTTCAGTCTGGCTGACTGGCACCTTTGGCCCGACGATGTTGCCGATCATCCGTGCTTTTGCTTTCATCTTGTTCTCTGCCTCGACGACCTTTGGCCTCAGGTCGAGCACCTGCTGGTCTAGCTCCTTCTTTTTCTTCATCTCCTCGTCTGCGCTCTCTTTTGCCTTGCGCTTAACAGTGATCTCCTTTTGGGTTGCATTGACGTCCTTCTGCAGGTTGTTCAGCTGGAAGCCGAGCTGCGTCCACTCCTTATAGAGGGCGAGCACATCGTCGACGAGCTCCACGCTGGCCCCTCGCTTCTTTTGCGATTCCTTGACGAGCTCAGGGTTGCCGCCCTTTTCGGGCTGGAGCACTGCAGTCACCAACGAAGCGGTCAGGCAGGCTAGCTTGGACCTGCTTCGCAGCATACTCACTGATGAGATCAATCATTTTCGTGTGGATATTTGGCGTTCTGATTCGTACACTTGCTTCTTTCGTGTGTGCCGTATCTGTGTTGACTGGCGTCTGCGATATGCCGTGCTCTCTTGGTTTATCTTGAGAGGACCTCTGGAACTGGGCCCATCAAGGTGTGTATGTAAAGTGACTCGAGGATGCTCCAGAAGAAAAGGTACCACAAGCCCAAAATCGCACACACCGCGCCATGAGGCACACCACCAGTCACCACACTCCCCAGCTCACGCGGCGGAAAGGGGGAGGGGTTGAATAGAATGACAAGAACAAACATCTTCAGCGTTGCCCGTACTCGTACTGTTCAAAATACCTACCGGTTTGCAGACCAGGTAATTCATACGCCGAGGGACCGCAGCAATGACTCCGACCATGCCAGCAATAGAGGTCTTGCAGAGCGCTTTGCCACTCCCGCTCATCGCCAGGGGCAAGGTCCGTGACGTGTACGATGCGGAGATTATCGCTCCTGCCGACACGTCCGCACCGGGCGCAGCAGAGGAGACAGCAGCGGCAGGGTCGATTTTGTTCGTAGCGTCAGACAGGATCAGTGCCTTCGACATCATCCTCGCAAACGGCATACCCGGCAAAGGCCAGCTGCTTAATCGCCTGTCGGCTTTCTGGTTCCGTCTGCTCACGTCGGAGGCAGATGGGGTCATTCCGTCACATGTACTTTTCACGTCCTCATCCAAATTTCCCCCCTCTCTTGTCCAGCGACTTTCGCAAGCATCCACGATGCCGTCCAAGCCTGCTCTCCCTGCGCTGGAGCAGGTACGAGGTCGGTCGATGCTTGTGCGCCGTGCACGCATCCTCCCCATCGAGGCGATCGTTCGAGGCTACTTGACCGGCAGCGGCTGGGCAGAATACCAAAAGCACGGAACCGTGCACGGCCTGGCGATGCCGAAAAGCATGCAAGAAAGCCAGGAGATCCCTGGTGGGCCTATCTTTACGCCCAGCACCAAGGCCGAGCAAGGGGAGCACGACGAAAACATCCATCCGGACAAGGGTAAGCGCGTGAACCATATGCTGTTGTGAGGGTCACATGCTAAATATTTCAGCGATACGCTTTCCGATTATCCCCTCAGTGGCAGACATTATCGGCCCAGAACTGGCGCAACATATGGCAAAAGTGGCTGTGGATCTCTACAAAACAGCCGCCGAGCACGCCCGCACTCGAGGCATCATCTTGGCGGACACCAAGTTTGAGTTTGGCATGGTTCCAACTGCGTCTTTACCGGCCGCATCAGCTCTCGTCAAGCGGCAGCCGACATTCAAGAACAAGGAGACAGGCGAGGAGGAGACGATGATCCTTGTCGACGAGGTCCTCACGCCCGATTCCTCGCGCTTCTGGGGTGCAGCCGAGTATCAGGTGGGCAAAAGTCAGGCGAGCTTCGACAAGCAATTTGTTCGAGATTGGCTCAAAAAGGAGGGGCTTGTCGGCCCGAATAAGGAAGTGCAAGAAGGAAAGGAGATTCGCTTACCCGAAGACGTAGTCAAGGCCACTCTGGAGCGCTATGAGCAAGCCTATGATATGATCACCGGTGAACGCTTCGTGGTTGGCGAGGATTGAACAGCGGCCGGCAAGTGTAGCATAGATATGCACTCATGACTGGTGAATGGGCCTTCGCCAGTCAAGACTGGGTTGAGAGCTTACGCCGCCACGCACGAGCTGAATGCAGGCCTTCTGCTATTGCGCTGCTGGTGCTGTGTTCCAATCTCGAGATTCTGGGCCCATATGCACCATGGTCCGCTCACATCTCGCACGCTGCACTGCATGCGCTTTGCGAGAACAGCTCTGTATAGATGTGCTTTTAGTACCCTAGCTTGCATGGAGGTCAAAATACAAGTGTGCGATCATGGAGAGCTGTGGCAGCAGCGATGAAGCGGCGTAAAGAAGGCAAGCGTGGCACATGCCTGTCTATCGATTAGACCGAAACCTTCTTGGCGGCGGCACCGAGCATCCTTCGCCTCTGCTTCTTGAGCAGCATGATCTCGAAGCGCTGGAAGTCGTTCGCCTCCTTGCGTGCCTTGGACGCCTGGCGCTTCTTGGCCCATGACGATTGCGCCCACTTGGCAGCAATGTCCGCCTTCTCAAAGTACTTCTTGACAGTCGGTGTGCCTGCCGCCCGGGGAAGCTCCTTGACGACGAGAGGGGTAAGGATCATGTACTTGTACGCCAACGGTTGACGGGCAACACCAGTGACTGGGCCGTCAATGATGGCCTGTGAGGATGAAAGGAATGTAAGTCACTGACCCTAGCTTACGTGGAAGAGAGCGACAACCCCAACCCTTGGAGCATGTCGAGGCACACATGAACCTGACGTCTAGTTGCCAACCGCTGCGAAGTACGACTTGCAATGCCTTCACACGCAGAACATTTCCCTCTTTCGCACTCTCAGGACCGTTTGTCGCTTTGCCTACTGGTCGCGAGCAGATAGGTTTGCACGCTGAAACGGGAGCTCGGCCAATGCAAAGCCAGTTCCTGAAAATGCAATGGATCTTTTGTCCTTGGCGAACGCTCTGCACCCAACGCTAGGTGTGGGTACGACGCTGACGAACACCCTCGAAGCTCGCCTTCAGTGACCCTGCCTCTGCATCCTTCAAACCCATCTCCTAAGCCACGTGGAGTGGCCATGCCTCAATTGACGTGCCAGCATCTGAATTCACAAGACTCACCCGGTTGGCATCAATGATCTCTGTGATGACGGCGAGCTTGCCATCATCCTCCGAGTCTTTCTTGGAGACGAGGACGACCCGGCCGACCTCGACGAATCGCTTGAATGTGCTAGGAGCCTTCGACATCTGCAAATGATGGGAATTCATGCGTGGTCAGTACGAGTTGGTGCCGGCCTGCTGGTCAAATGCCCGGACTGCGCCTGCGGTTAGAAGCCTTTCAAGGCGACTGCTAGCTGCTCCGGTCTGCGCAGATTGCTTGCACCAATCCCTTGTGCAGAAGTTGCCGAGGGAACGACCATTGCATGCCTCTGCCAATAAGCTCCACTGGTGTTCGCATTTACGTTTTCGTTCCCCATCTCTACTCTGCGAGCCTTGTTTGAACCCAAACAAGCTCAAGATCGAGCTTGACCCCTTGTAGAATGTCCGCAGCTTTGGAATGCTGGCCTGAAGACTCTGACCATGCAAGCAGACACCAAGAACCTTGTTTGCGGATGGCCTACCCCTCGCTGCCCCCGCTATTCTAACCTTGCATCCTCCCCAGCTATCTCTAGTTCCTACGCATGAGCATTGCAGGTGATTCTGCCCTTTGTTGATGAGCCCAGAACAACGCCTCAGGCCGCAGCATCAACCTAACCGGAAGGCAGCAATTTGTTCGCCGGTAGCAGCGCCTGTAGCAGCAACAACAGCTGCATTTACGGCGGAGTCGGTCACGAGTATCCCATGATTCTCACCTTGAATGATCCTTCCTTGACCCCTTACGTGCTGGACTGATGGCGTGTGAAGGCTAAGGTGTATACTTACAGACAGACCTTGAAATCTCCAAGCCGCGAGCAGCATGGGGTGCGCTGTGCCCCCGCGTGGTGGGTGGAAGGAAGTGGTAGGTGAATGGGAATTATTGCGCCCACTTCTCCACCTGGTGTGCCGCAGCAGCCTGTTTCCGCCCAGTCTTGCATCTTTTGTCGACACGGCACCCTGCTGTAGTGCCGCAGTGCGTCCCACAGCGCGGCGCCGCCCCTTGTCGTCAGTGCACTTTTTGACGTCACTTATCAAATGCGCAGACTTCCAAACCCGTTGCCCTCTTGGTCGAGCATCGGTCCAAGCCAGTATTAATCCTCTCGAAACGATGGCGGCAGTTGGGCTAGCGCAAGCACACGCTCCTGCGAACATCCAGGTTTGCTCAACGAGAGGTGGTTAGGCGTATCAGCGACGGAGCAGCGGGCAGGCTGTGATCGCACGAGCGCTGTTGTTGATGTCATCTCAAAGCTACAGGAATCACATATTTTACAAATACGAATACATGACAGGCGTGTCACTCGTCACTTGCAGGCCGCTCTTGCGATGCGTAGACTTGCTATCCACAAGCTGGAAGCTGGCGCCGTCATCAAATAGAACGCGGACTTTGCTCTGCCCGTCACCTTGTGCGGCAGTTACGGGAGGAACCACGGCTGGCCGCTTCTTGCGACGTTGGGACCTTTCGCAGAGCTGCTGATGATTCTCGTGTCGTTTGACAGCTTTGGCTAGTAGCTGCTGGGCGATCTTGATGTCGGTCTGCTGCGCTAACGTGACTACTTGGACGTCAGGTGCGGGATGCAACGCCTGCGTTGTGTCCACAGCATCTTGGTCCTTCTTGGAGGGGTCCCTCGCCTCACTTGCACTGCGGTACTCCAAGCCAACACCGCGTCCGATCCGCCTCTTTGGATTATCAGGACGCTCCCTCACTTGGGCTTTGGTTTCGTTGCTCTTCGCGCTCTTGACGACTTGCAAGCTGCGTCGAGCTTTCGCACTGGCCTCACGTGCTTGACGCCTGGCCTCGTGCGCTGCTGCCCGCCACTGCTCCACCAAGCCAGGTGAGCGCTCAGCCAGCGAAGGCGTAAGCAGAGTGCAGTCCACACCCTGGCTCTTTGGCGACAACAAGTCAAGGCTTGCAGGAGCATGGCGGAAAGAATGGCGTCCTCTGTAGCCAGGCAAAGATGCGAGACGCAAAGCTTGAGATTGTCGGCGAGTCGATGAGGCTCGTCTGCGAAGGCCGCCCTCGTCTTCATGCTGGCTTTTGGTCGAAGCCAACGTTTTCTTGGGAGGATCGGGCTGTGCCTCGAACGGATTGATTAAGCGGAAGAGCGAAGTGCCAGGCTCTTGACGCGAGTCTGTCACGACGACTGGCGTTTGCGTGGGCATCTGGTGGGAAGAAGTATGGATGGGAGTCTCTGATGTTCTTCGGTGGCGGAAAGCATCTTTCGCTTGCTCGTATTTCCAGTGAGAATGATCATGAAACTGATGATGAAATTGCGGAGCTTCTGGCTGTTTGGCGATGTTTAAGATATGACGAGATAGCCTGGTGAACGCACCGCCCTGGTGAACAAGCGCAACGAAACGAGACTTGTCCTTTCGCTTCTTCGGACTGACATTCCTACTGTCATCAAAGATTGCGGGCTTTGGCAAGTCCTGCTGCTTTCCAGTAGAAGTGACGAATTGGTGCCTTCTGAACAAGTAGCCTTCGTCTACGGCAGCTGGGCCTTGATCGAATTTCTCGGGGTGCCCATAGCGCTTCACTTTCTCCTTCACAGCCAAACCAGATGACGAGGCGGCCGTAGCTAAAGCAGCCTTTCGCACGTCTAGTGATCGCAGGTGCTTCATGTTGCACTTTCGAAAAACCAAGCCCTGCGTGCGTTGGCAATCAATGTCAACATCTGAGCGTCATGACGATCAAGTCGTCTTGTGCTCACCACTACAGCGTTAAAGAATCCGGCTGCTAACAGCAACCAGCCACCAACCCTGTCGATGCTCTGAACGCTCCTGCTGTTCACATCGGCCGCCAGGGCCATCATACCTAGTCCAAGCATGGTGGTGCTCGTCCATTTGTGACTCAACTGCGGCATGCAGCGTTCGAGGACGTCTTGAATGCGCACGGTCCGGTGGGTGAGCAAATAAGGTAGCGGGAATTCAGAGATGACCATGGACGCAAGTAGGACGATTAGAAAGATTGCGTGCAGGAAATTGAAAAAAGGGCCAGTAGGACGTAAAGGCACGTCGCTGCCCGGATAAAGTGTGCAAATAGGACCCTGCAGCATTGCCGTAGTCTCGTTCTCGGCTAACACTGCCGGGAGGGCCGGTGCAGCAGACTGCGAGGACGACGCGGAGGCCACATCGATGCGCAGTTGGATGATTGAAGTGACCAGCGTAAAGATAAGGCCTGTAAGTGTAGCTACTCGAAGCGGCAAGAGAATAAGCCAGCGGAGCAAAGTTGGTGACATCGTGCCAGTCGTGCAAAGTTCTTGCAGACCGGTAGCGTGGCCTGGACCGAAGGCAAACCCAGAAGATGGGGACAATCGGAAAGGAGATGAGCGCTCCAAATGAACAGATGAAGGCTATATAGCTTGCGCATTGATGTCAGCTTCGAAATGGCGAAGTGAAGGTCAGATCGAACGGCGTCAGCGTGGTCAACACCGAGCCATATACCTCAAGCCAGAGTCTGGAACGAAAGGTGCAAGCCTTTGTCGGGCACAAGATTGGCTTCCCCATGCAGCACTTTTCATCGGTGCCCCATGAGCACAAGCGGTAATTGAGTGAGACGGCCATCGCGGGAGGCTGCGCAAAGATTGAGAGCCTTTGTGGTTGGAGGGTAGAAGCGATGGCACCAATGACAAAGGGATGGTTTTCGTCGCCGAGAATTGCAGCATTGCAGCATTGGACATCCGTCAGACACCATTATAGACGCATGAGCCTTCGCCCATTCGCAGGAGCTTGACTCTTGGAGTTTGTAGGTTCACTCAGCACAAGTCGCACCTGCACTTTGTTGTCATGCTCCGAGACTCAGCTCAATGGCAAAGGAAGCAGGGTTCACGGTTCTTGTTAATCAGGTGGCACGGCGTGCCCTGCTGCCAGAGTGGCACATACATAAACACTCCAGTCTATACACCCAGCTAGAAAAAATGACCACTGTCAAATCGCGTCAAAAAAGACATGTGACCTCTCGGCTTGATTTAAACCTGGAGTATCAGAATCGCTGGCTGTTTTTGCTCATTCGCAATCGTAGTCGAATGGCAATGCACCTTTGATGGATTGCAACGGGATGAGGATAGGAGAATATATGAAAGAGGCGAGGAGAACCACCTGCAAATTTCCCAGCGGCGGCGCACATTGATGAATCGCGACGGGATAAGGACACGAGGTAGTCTGAAAGAGGCTGTGAAGAGAGGTCGACGATGACCGTGGGTGGGATGGACGATGAGGTGGAAGAGAGGAGGAGCTACGGATAAGAAGGGCATTATAGGATGTGGTTGAAAGGGGCGATGACGGTGATGTGGACAGTCATAAAAAAGGTGGAAAAGCGAGCGTGGTAAAGTTGAGGCATGAGAGGATATGAGTTCGACACGGTGAATGCGGCTGCCTCCATTGGGTTCCCACGCGCGCAAAATGCCGTCGACCCCGCAACTACATCCGACTTTGCAGTTTAGGTGCGTTGCCGCTGTCTCAGCCCACCAGATGCCTGCAAGACGAGCGTCATATTCCGATGGAACACGCAAGCAATTGCAGCCAGCGTCAAGATTTGAGAGACGCTGCTTTCCCACACAATCATATATCATAATTTATTCTAGTCTCCAACGGTCTTATGGCCCAATGGTCAAGGCATCTGACTACGATTCAATCAACTAAGGTTGTTCGGATCTGTTATCAGGGGATTGCAGGTTCGAATCCTGCTAAGATCGTATCTTTTTTTTGCTGTGGTTGAGTTGCTAATCACTGCAATAGCCATGGGATTCATTTTTTTCAGCCGCCCTCAGCCAATCGCAGCATGCCTGATGACCTTCACACATGTGGGCATCACTTTTTTTATGTGCGATTAAGCATATCACACGCACGAGTTGGATCGGTGTCCAAAGATGACGAAGCATGCGGAGCAGCTTACAGATGGTGAGAATGCAATTGAACAAGGGTGGTGCTGTTGACAGAGCGTCGTGTCCGGAAAGCAGCCGATCCCGCCCTCGTCCGGTCTCTAGACAGTCAAGGCTCGGGACAGGCATCGCTCCCTAGGGAGTAGGGGAGCAAACTGCGTACTAGCAGATATACTGGATCCTACTATCAAGAAACCAAGCCAGTATGATTTCTCCATTCAACGTTTCTGGGTCTAAATGTGAAAGTGGCTTGAATGCTGCAGCATTCTGAGCAAGCATGTTGGTTCTGTCAAATACATCCATGCCACCACGTGAGCACGCTCGCATGCCCCCAAAGCAAGCCACCTTGAAAGCCCCAGGGCCCCCTTAGCGTTCAGATCGTCGGATCGTACGCGCCTGCGACCATGCAGAGGTTGCGCGGAGTGAACTTAATGTTGACGAGCGGTGTCTGCTTGGTATAAAATGTGGCGACACAATCCGCACTGGACTGTTGCAGCCAATTATATGAATTCTCCGTGCCAGTGCTGCCTGTCGCTTTGGCGCTTGTGCTGACGCCGGCGCTGGCGGTTTCCTTGGTAGCATCTGCAGAGCCGCTCATAGCGCCCATCTGCTGAGCTTCAACGCTGCCATCTGCCGGCACGCGCCGCCGCCCTCCTGGCCCTTTCACGTCCCAACAGCGAACCGTGCAATCTGCTCCGCCACTGACGAGGAGATTTCCGTCGCTGCTAAAGTCAAGGTCGTGCACTGTCGCTGTATGTCCCCACATCTTCTTGATCCGCCTACCTGATGCGAGGTCCCACAAGCTGATTCCTGTGTCATCACCCGCTGGACCAGTCTTGGGGGACATCGCGGTCGATGGCGTCCAGAACCCATCGCCTGTCCCTGCCGACGCGAGATAGCGCCCATCAGGACTGATTTTGACGCAAGACACGCTCGAGGTATGCCCGACGAAGAGCCGTAAGCATGTCCCTCGTTGCACATCCCAGAGCCGGCAGGTCCGATCTGAAGAGCCGGTCGCAAGGTAGAGCGAGTTGGGATGAAAGTCAAGGCACTGTAGAAAGGGGAACGAGGGGATCAGCAAGGGCTATCGAAGGGCAACAGCCTGGAAACTTGCAGCTTACATCAACATCGCTCAGGTGGCCTGCGTAGATCCGTAATGGATTGATGCGCTCCGTGCTCCAAAGTCGCGCCGTCTTGTCCGCGCTAGCAGTCGCAAAGTAGATTCCCTGTGGGCCCCACTTCACATTCCACACTGGCAGGTTGTGGCCCCTGTAAGCGACGAGCGCAGAGAATGTCTCCAAACTCCACAGGCGCGTCGTGCCGTCGGCGGACGAGGAGAGAAGATGCTTCGGCGCACTGGCGCTGCCACCTATCGGATCAAAGTCGACGCTGTACACCGGTCCGCTGTGTCCAATAAGTTTGCGAGTAGAGCGGCCCTCCCTTTCGCGCACCTTTTTCAGCGTTTTTGCTGGTGCACCCGGTGTGAAACATGCGGTCTTTGTCAGTCTCAACGCTACCAAATGCCCCACACGGGGTTGCGCCTTACCATCTCGAACCTCGCTTAAGTCGAAGTCACTCCGCAGCCCACGTAGCGTTTCACCCTTCAAGCTCCACACCTGCACGTAACTCTCCTCGAATCCGGCCGCCATCATGGACGTGTCGTGCGAGAACACCGAGCACGTCAACCTGTTCCCCGGAAAGTCAAAGTAATTGTGTTAATCACGAGAGGTGTGAAATGCCTATGCGAGACGCGCATGGGGCATGGCCATGTCAACAGAGAGATACGTACCCATCATCCGCATCATGGTACGTGTACGCGCACACGCTCGGCATGGCTGCCGCTCTGGCCGCCTTAGCACCTTCCTCGCCGCGGCCGTTGAACGTAGGGTCCCTTACGCCGCTAAGGAACCCTTGCCCAACAACGCCACTCTCGAGCGCGAGATCGAAGCGCAGCGCTTTGCGTGCATCCAGGATGCGCGCCACTTCACGGTTCACATCCACTGTTCGATACGTGGGCGGCTGCGGCGCGAGGTCCGCCAGCACAGGCGCGAGCAAACCTGCAGAGCTGGCTGGTGCTGTCGATGGGAGCGTCAGTTCTCCTTGCACTGAGCCCGCCGCTGCAGCAGCGCCAGTGGAAGGGCTCTTTGTTGCGTCTGTCATCAAAACGTCCGCATTCGCTTCCGCGGCCCCATCTGTGGACGTCTGTCCATCCTTGTCCTCCGCGCCCGCCGCGCTGGTACCCTCTGCCTCATGTTTGGCCTTGAGGAGCCTCTGCTTTTGCGCCTGCTTCTCACTCCACTCTTGTAGCTCCAGCTCTTTCGCTACATCCACCTGTAGACGATCGCTCATCGGCATGCGCGGGTGCAGCTTTAGCTGCGGGCCCGCTGCAGACGCATTGTAGTCTGCCACCGCATCCTTCCCCGTCACCGCATCGGACCCCAAGCGCGAGGGGTGGGATGAGGAGGACGAGTGATGCACAGAGGTGAGCGGAGACGGAGCGTAGGATGGCCCGATGCCCGTGAGCCCGACACCTTCCTCCAAAACCGCCGGGTCGAGCTCGTATGGCTTGGCTTGTAGGACTTTGAAGGGACACGAAGATGTCAGCGACTTTTCTTCCATTTAGAGATGCACGAAAGGGAGTACAGCTGCACATGCTTACCCTGTATTCTACACCTCTCGTTGAGGATGCGCAACGCAACATCGCGTGCGCGCCTAGCCCGCCCTTCGCCCTCATCAAGTGCGAGTCCATCGGCGGCGCCGGCGCCCGAGACGGGCCCTAGGCCATCTGTCAGCCAGCCGAGCAGAAGCGAGAAGGTCGTCTGCGTGACCTTGATTATGTATCGCTCTGTTCTAAACCGGACGGCTAGTGAATCAGACGCGAGGTGGTGCGGTAGAGCAACGGCGCGGATCTGCGAGATGAGAACCGTGTGCGTCGGCATGAATGCGTGGCTAAAAGCTGAGAAGAAGGCGCCGGCTGCATCGCCGTAGCCGCCATCGACGAGATTGAGGTAAGAGTGAACAAAGAGGGGCAGAAGTAAAGGCCGAAGCTCAACCTGCAAGCACACAGAACCCAGCTCTGGCCATATCAGCAATTTCGTTCCTTGTGTCTCTGACAGGATCGGCAGCACGCACCTGGTAGACCTCCAAGCTGCCCTCGCACCAGTTCTTGATGGCTGAAAATCCCCGCGTCGTATCTGTTGGGTCCCTTGCAAGTGCTTCGGCTGCATCGACCTCGCCTGGTGCGGGCCCACCTGTGCCGGGTGTGCCAGTGTCCGCTGCAGAGGAAGCTCCTCCAAGGCCTTTGCTAGCGGCCTGCATGTCCCGCGGAGCATTCTTGTGGGCCAGTTCTTTCAGCGCAATAGGCTGCAGACTAGGTAGTCCACCCGTCTCAGCTGCTGCTGCTGCCGTAGCTGCCGCTATTTCTGCTGCTGATGCGGGCCCAGTCTGCCCTGGCCGGGTACCTTGCACACGAGACACAGCCTCAAGCTCTGCTTTAAACGCTTGTTCGATCCGGTTGAAGCCTTTCCTCCGGAGATATGCGAGAACAGCGGTATCTTCGTCCATGTCGCCTCCAGCAAACCCGCTGCTGCTAGCGGTGCCATTGTTTACGCCAGCCTTAGAAGGAGATGCCGAAAGACCTGCAGCAGTAACCGCACCTAGCACTGGCATTATCCGACCGGCGAATGAACCGCTTACACCTAATGCACCTGCGCCTGATCCTGAGCCCCCCGCTACCGAAGCACTCGAGGACGACATTGCTACGCCATTCTTGGGTGCGTCATGGCCGTCCTCCGCGGTGTTCCCGCGACTAGGTGACGCTGCGGCGGACGTCGGCATGTTGGCTGAGTTAAATTCCGGCTCACCCAGCTCGTCAAGGGTATTCAAGACATCAACCAGCGTCGCGGCACTTCAAATAGCGAGCATCGGTGACATGGAGCGCTCGCTATGCGTGTCTCAACGGCAAGGTCGCTCAGTGAGCTTGTGGCATGTAAGACAGCAAATTGATGGAATTGACTTTGGAGTGCAACTGCACCCGCCGCGTTGAGTTTGGCGAATCTGAGATTCACCTGCGTCCGGCGTCATCAACTCATCTGACGCGTCTAGCATTCGGCCGATCACCTCGCAGCAACACATGTCTTTCCAACATGCCTGCTGCCACTTCTTCAACAAACACAATTGTCTCTTTGGCGGCTCTCGCAGCTTGTATACAGCATCCACCCCATACCGCTTGCACTCGTCGCGCCCATCATACTATAGGTGGTGCTGCTCAGCCGATTCTCAAGGTACGGGGCCTGTGCCTGGCCATACCAAGCGAAGACGAGCAGCGCCGACGACATGCATAGGACAACACCGCGAGCATCGAGGAACCTTACAATTATCCATATCATTACAGGATCCGATGGAAATGATCAATCTAGAAAGTGAGAAACACGCTGAATATGAGCGGAGTGCACCGAAGCCCACGCATGGTGAGAGCAAGACAAATGGCCCTGCCGTGTCGAGTCGAATGAGCGGCCGCAACCGGAAGAGAAGCTAAAGGGTCCAGCCCCGCGCTTTGGCCAAGCCTGCGACCTCCTCTCTACCCCCACAGGTGGGAATTGGTTCACCGATATTCGTCTTTCTCCCAGCCCTGGTCGTAGTTACTTTGGAACAGCAAGGGTAGAAAAAAGAAAGCGAGGATGGTGACGCCTATGCTGCCTCCGAGCAGGCTTCGCGCCATGATCTCGTGTACGGGCGTAGCGAATGCGTGCTGGCCCGTCGAGGGCGCCTTGGCAGGCTTGTCGCCCGGGTTGGTCACGTTGGTCAGGTCAGGATTGCGAGTGTTCAGCTCGTCGCCAAAGAGACGCTGCAGCGAGATGCTGGCGCTGTACATGGAGTAATCTTGGTGCGTACTGATAAATGCAAAGTAGGGCAGCTCAGCAGTCGGGTTTTAAGCGCAAAAGCTGCTTGCTGCTGATCTGCACTCACACGTTGGCAATAAAGTCGGCAGTATGCGTCTTGGGGAACCCGCCTGGGAAATCGTTGCCCATTGACATAACAAAGTTGGAACCGCGGTCCAAACTGCATCGCAAGGGACATCAAGCAGAGCGAACGAATCAGTCAGCTCCGTATAGACAGATTAAGGAAGCTACCGAACGCGCCCTGACTCACTGATTGGAGCCTTGCCAGGCCGCTTGGCAATGCGTGTCACCGCTGCCGACGTCGAATAGACCAAACGCGTAGTTGACAGTGCGACTTTGGTACCTCGCGACGATATCTGCACCGTTATTGACGACCGCATCGTCTCGCGCATACTTGGTGATCTTGGATGTGTTTCCATGGATTCCGTATGGCCAATCGTCAAACGTTGGCGCGCATGTGGCGTTGGCGTTAGGGTACGGCCGGTTGGAACTGAGCCAGGCCCATGAACCAGGGTTGGCGATCCAGTATCGCACATTGCTGTCGTACGCCTTTGTCTTCTTCATCACCGCGTATCGTTGCACACCCTGCCCACCGAGCGAGTGGCCAGCGACAACGACCTGATTCAGGGACGGGTAGATACTCTTGTCGAAGAGCTGGTCGAGGATGGCGTCCATGGCGTCGAAAGAGGTGAGCTCATGCTGCATCTTGGGATTCTTATTCGTCCCGCCTTCCTGCCACAGCGACGCAGCAAAGCAGAGATATTGCGGCTTGCATGCTCCAGCGCTCAGATCTTGCATGTTCAGGAAGGCCGGCGCGACGATGCCGACCGAGGCATTGTTGCCTGTCAAGCCCATGGTGTTGAAGGGAGCGAACTGTTGCTCTACGACAATGTTTCGTGCGTTCAGCATGTAGTTTGCGTACCTGCGCCAAAGGGAGAGCCGCGCCCGTAAGTGAGCGCACCGTAGAGCATCTGACCTGTCTCACGCTTCACTCACTTCCAGGTGTCACGCGGCTTTCCAGGAAGGACGACGATGAATCGCTTGACAGTAGCGGGGTCATCTACGCTGATGTAAAAAGGCATGATGCCGCTCTCGTTGCGGAATTTGTTGAAGACCTTCATCGAGTCGTTGAGGACAAAGCCAGGCACGTCGGGCAAGGATTCCCATCCTATCTCTTCGCTGCCATTGACATTGGCACCGGGGGTCACGGGGCCAAGGTTGCTATTCCAGGTGTACTGCGTGCCGTCGGTCTGAATGAGTTGACCAGGCACGCTTGCCAGATTCCCATTGGCGGTGCCTTTGACGCCCGTCATGTTGTCGGCGAGCTGAGCAGCTTGGACGTACATGCCTTGCACGGCGTCGGAGACGATAGGGGATTGCTCGGCGTCAGAGGGCGCAAAAGTCGTTGACTGACGGCGTTCAAGCCAAGTGCGGGATCGTGTTGGACGCATTCGTTTCCCGTTGTGAACCGTCCGGGACGGCCCGGCCTCGTTTCCAACATGTAGCGCCCGACGTTCGTGATGCAGCGACGGCCACGGTTGCGCCGCCGCCACCGCTGCTGCATCGTGTGTTAAGCCCTGGGTTGAGTCCAACAGATGTTGATATGAACCAGTGTTTCCGCTATTGCTTGCCGAAGCGACACTAGCAGCTGCTACTAGCAGGACAAAAGAAACGGCCCAAACCGCCCTCCGCATCCTGTTCGCCGGGCGTCTCATGTTCTCAAGCAGGCGCTACGAATCTTGAGGTTCGAGCAGGTCGCGGGAAGAGTGCAGGGATTTTGTTCAGATGTCGAGATCTTGATGGTGGAACCACCTCATGAAAAAGGGATCATGGTAGCCTTTGTTGATGACCAGCGTATGTACACACATATGCAATCAGTGCACGGAGAGGATTCGTGGTTCGTGCTACATGTGTATATAGGAGCACTATGGCAGGGGGGCACTGCGACCATCATGGTCGGGACCGAAGCAAGCAGGACGCTGGCGACACGGCACAGGGAATGCGGGGCCAGCCGCCACAGCAGGGCAGACTGGAGTGGAGTGGAGACAGTCAGATAGGGCTTGCACAAGCAAGCACTGCAGGGGAGACTGCAGGGGTTTCCTTCCAAATGGTAATTTACACCAGAACACTCATCATTCCACAGCGGCAGAACCTCTGTCTGAAAAGGGTGAACATGAGGATCATGGATGCTGTGGTGGTGCGGCCTGAGGGCGGCCGGCAGTGTGCATGTCGCCGCCCGCCGGCATTCAGCAGGATACCGTACAATGCCCCCCTTGGCCCCTGCTAGAGTAGCGGGAGAGGCGGTGGCAGGCGGCGACGCGCAAGTCCGTCGGCGCGCTGGTGTCTGGCAGTTCCTGGGTACAGTGGGCCAGTGGCACAGCCTGGAAGTTTGATGAATTGATCAAACTGCCCTCGTGGGCTCGCTTATACTTGCACCGGCGGAAGCTGGGAGTGAGTGCACAACCGGCGGCCAGACGTGAAAATAGATGCCGAGATGTGCGCAGCACGAGAACGCACGATTTCCTAGACATTGCCCACTATAGCACTGGGCCAGAGTTTGGCAAAGGTTCGGCATCTCGGCTGTCGGTAAGAGTGCGAGACCTTCTGCCACTGTGGCTGCTCTCCTCCTGGACCATTAATCATTGGGACAGTGTCATCCCTTCTCCAACGTGCATTGAGCATTCGCGCTCTGGAAATACCTAGAGCTTGGTGCTACCCTACGAGCATGTCAGGAAGGAGCTATCGCAGGAAGCATCCGTGGGAAAGGCGGCGGAGAAGCCGCGTTACTCCACGCAACCCGCTCGCCAACAAGAGAGGAGCGATTGCAAAGAGCGACAAAGGGAGCTGGCCCAGCTGCAAGAGAAGCCTGCCCTTCCGTGAGCATGAGATGAGATCACCGCTACATGTTGCCCGAGAAGAAGAAAGAAGCGAGCGCTCTGCCCTCAAGGGTTGCCAAGGCAAGCGCCGTCCATTTGACTGGACACGAATAGCTTGAGCACTCCAACGCGGAGGACTAGCGGCGTGGTTGCGCGACGAGGTCGATGAGTTGCTGAGCCAGCTGACTGCCAGCTAGGAAATGCTATCCATCATGATACAGAGCAGCGCAGTCTGCAACGTCGATATTCACTGCTGGTGTGAGGGGAGGAGAAGCCTGACAAAGGGCACCTCTTGCCAGACTTTCAATTGGTTCGCCAGGGCTCTATCCTTCGGTGTCACGACGGACGGGGGGCTTACCTGCACGTCGCCCCATGAGACGCTCCTGGAGCCGTTCACCCTCCTAGAATGAACTGCTACGCTCAAAGTCTTTACCTATGCAGCGCAGGGCAAGAAGTACATCGGATGAGGGTGCGCTCCACACCACACAGACACTTTGTATACAAAAACCAGCAAAAGTTGCCTGGTCTGTGATCAGGAGCTTCCAGGAACCCCATCTATATGGGTGGTAGCAGTCGCATCCCGCAAAACACGACCCAGAAATTCCTGCGGCAACCCGATCGGCGGCACGTTTTGGAGGGAGTGGGGTGTTTGTAACAGGCGGAGAGGTGACAATGATGGGTCATATATACTTGATGATGAGATCGAGGCAAGGTTGCAAAAAGGACCGAGGCTCAGTGAATAACGGTGTCAGTGTTGATGGTAGCAATCATGAATCCTGACGATGGCAGGGTGATGATGCACGAGGCATATGGTATGTATGAGGGACCAGGTGAAGGTTTGTGACTTTAGGCTGCTGAAAGCCCCGCAAGGTCGTCGACGCCTCGAGACCGAAGCAGCCCGACATCGTTTGAGCACGTGAAACCACGGTGACACAGTAGCCCTCACTCCTCCCTGCGCGCTGGATCGATCCCAAAATCGTTGAGGAGCATCGATCAAAATACCGTGCTGCCCGTCGAGTGGCCGTGCTAGAGTCCAGGCCCTGTTCGAAGATCCCCAGTTCAGGCTCAATAGTTAAAAGGTTGCGTTGATGGCCAAAGTGGAAAAGGTTGAAAAAAGAAGCGGTCGCACAAAAAGAAAGAATCCGGAATGGTCGGTTTCGCTTCCGAGAGCGCAGGTCCCCCACAAGTAGAGAGATGCTGAAATGGATCCTAACGTCATGTCTGGGGTGCACTAAGGTGTGAAGCAAAGAGGTTCCTTTCAAGCACCATTCGCCCCCTCCAGATGACCGGCTAGCGTCTGCCTTACCTGCACCCGTGCTGCTGCCACTGCTGGTTAGCATGATGGGCGACGCGCTCGCAACTGCGGGCCGAGCGCCGGACGATTGCAGGGACGCGACCGATGAAAGCACCCTCGATGGTCTCATCGCTTCCTTGCGCATCGCCGAGCTGCCGTCATTGTACGGCAACAGCAGTTCGTCAGCGTCTCCGCTGGGGGAGCCAGCTAGCTATCAACAAATTCAGGAGCATCAGCAGCAACTCTATCTCGACTCGGCCGGCATGCCTCCCTCACCCATTTCCGCCACCCGCCTGTTTGAAGCGGACATGGCGCACAATTTCTTCGCCAACCCGCACTCACACAGCCCTGCAGCTGTGAGAACGGTGGAGATGATCGAGGTGACCCGGGATATGATCTTGCAAGAGCTCTTCTGCCTACCCAAGTCTTCAATGCGCAAGTATGGCGGCAAGGGCAAAGCCAAGGAGGATCCCCGTGCAATCGACGGCTGCGGCTGGGAACTCGTCTTCACCTCGGGCGCAACTGCCTCTCTAAAGCTTGTGGCAGAGAGCTTCGATTTCGGCCCCAGCAATACTGCTGACGACGAGCGAGGCCAGTTGCTGCATCTCCTCGAGTCACACACCTCTGTCGTCGGTTTGCGTGGCATCGCCAAAGAGCGAGGGGTACGCAGCGCCGCCTGCGACGAAGACGAGATGCCTTCGCTTGTCGCGTCTCTCGATAGCGAGAGAAGCCTTGCAGTGGCCCCACTACAGTGCAACGCGACAGGTCGACGCTTCCATGTCCTCCTCGAGAAGCTTGGCGGCCACCGCACGAAAGTGCTCGTCGACGCAGCATCGTACCTTTCCTCATCTACGCGCCTGCCTCTTCCCGCTCCCTCCGACGAAGCTGCATATGAGCGCGCACCCGACTTTATCGCCTTCTCCTTCTACAAAATATTTGGCATGCCGACGGGCTTGGGCGGCCTGCTCGTCAAGCGCACCTCCGCTTTGTCGCTCTCCTGCAAGCCCTATTATGGTGGCGGTACGCTCTCGTTGCTCTTGCCACGCTCTGGTCGGGGTGTCCCACGCGCTGGGCTTGCGGATCGGATGGAAGATGGAACTATCAATTTCCATGGTGTACTGGCGCTCAAGCATGCGCTACAGGCGCACGAAACGATGCTAGGCAACTGGGCTGCTAGGCAGAGACATATTTGCCACCTGACCAGAGAGCTGTATGCAGGCCTCTCACGCTTGCGACATTACAACGGGCAAAGATTGGTGCATCTTCTCAGCAGAAGCGATGCCTCACGCGCCTTCCTGCAGCAAGCACACTGCTCCATGCATGCGGCGGATCAAGGGCCTATAGCTGCTTTCCTACTGTTGCTGCCCAACGGTCAACGCGTGGCAACATCAGAGATATCGCGTATCGCTTCTCTGCGCAATGTCCATCTCCGTGTCGGTCGCCATTGCAATGCTGGTGTTGCGCTCACACACACCCTTGCTGCAGACGTAGCTGCGATTGCCGATCAAGAGACAGGCAACCGAGAGCGAATGTGCGACGAGCAAGGATTATGGGACATTTGGCAACGCGGGACAGGCTGTGACAATGCTGAGGGCGTCGATGATGAGGCGAGCTCCGTGCGCGTCAGCCTCAGTGTCTGGAACACCCTCGCGGATGTCGATGCCCTTGTTTCCTTCCTCAAAACTTACTTTCTCATCGAAGCGCCACCTATGCAAACACTCTGCGACACCGACGCCACCACAACCACCCGCTGGCCATCGAGATCCAGCGCAATTGGCGAACGCGAGCTGAAATGTATCACATTGTACCCCATCAAATCGTGCGCGGGCCAAGAGGTGCAGGCGGGCCAGTCATGGCCGTTGACGCCGCACGGCCTCCTGCATGACCGAGAATGGTGCATCGTCGATGCCGGCACCGGAAAAGCGCTGAGCCAGAAGCGAGTGCCAAAGATGGCGACGATCCGCGCACGTGTCGACAGGGAGAGGGAGCTGCTTCATGTCACTTTGCCGTATGTTGACGGCGCAGACGGAGACGGAGACGCGACAGAGCTGACAATCGACATGAAGGACAGCGGTGCGGAGGACGAAGAAGGAGAGGAAGTCCGAGTTTGTGCCGACGTTGTCCGCCCTAGACTCTACACCAATTCGCACGTCGTGCATGCATTCTCGAGCTTTTTGCAGCGCGACTGCACCCTCGCTCGTCTACCGCCGCAATCCGCCTCGCGTCACGGACATTTCGACGTGAGCTTGATCGAGGCCGGCAGCAGCCTAGCACATCCATCCGCACACGGTCTGGACGGCCCAGTGCCGCGCCACGTTCCGATCCTGCTCTCGAACGAGAGCCCGTTCTTGCTGATCAACGAGGAGAGCGTGAGGCAGGTGATGGGCTGGATGGCACAAGACGGATTCGACGTGCAGGGGACGGCGCTGCAGATTGCACGACGCTTCAGAGCCAATTTTGTCGTTGGAATAAGGGCAATTGCGAGTGCTGGCGCCGATGCACCGCTGCCAGAGTACCTGCCCTTGCCATCTGCTTCCTGTGGAGAGGGCTCGGAGGACACGAGCGAGGACAGTCACACGGTCTCCTCGCCGGCCACGTCACCGCCAGTCTCACGTCCGTCATCGCAAGCCGGACACGATGGAACGAGCAAGGCGGGCTGCTTCCAGTTCTTCGCCGAAGACTCAATGAAGCGCGTGGAGATTGGCGAGCACGCCTTTGCGTCTCTCGGCGCGTGCCGTCGCTGCGAGATGGTCGCTGTGGATCAAGTGACGGGCGAGAGGAGGCCCGAAACGCTGCTCAGCTTGGCCAGGCGGCGCAGGAGCGAACAAGGCAGGGTCGAATTCGGCATGCATCTTTGCTGGCTCCCCGTGGTTCACGATATAGCGGCGCGAGTTCCAAGCGTGCACATCGGCATGGCTGCAAACTTCAAGTGAGAAACACTCTTTGCTCATTCGCGTTGTACTGTACATAAATCCACGGGATATTCCCACTTGCAGCTTGAGCTCTTCCAGTCATATTACATCACGGGCTTCACTTCCGTTTAGGCTGTGCCTTTGTTCTCAGCTCTGATCCACGTGTGTCCTTGGACCCTTGGCCTGCGATTGCGCTTGCGTCGGTTCTGCTGCTGCGGGTGCTGGGCTCTGAGAAACCTGCGCAACTCTGGATCCGGATCGCTCGACAGTGCGCCCGCGGCTGCGCAGCAGGTCCTCACTGACGATCGCAGCGCCAAGCGGACCAGAGGGAACGTGTTGCGTCTTGACGGCGACGGGACGAGAGGAGGGAGCGGCGCCGGTGGTGGCTTCGGCAGCGGCAGTGGCAATGACAGCGGTGCCCTGCGCAGACGCCGTCATGCTGGGTTCGAGGGCCGACCCGCCCATGTGACCCTGCTGCGCAATCGCGGCGCTCGTCGCAATACCGGGCGTGGGCGGACGCGAGGTGGAGGAGCAGTGCAGGACAGTGATCTTGGGCGAGCGCAGCTGGCGCTGCTCCTCGCCGCCGCCGCTGTTGGCGCGCAATTGCGACTCGGAGCGCTGCTTGGTGCCGCTGGCCACCGCCGAAAAGGGGAGCGCGAGCGTGAGGTCGGCGAGGCCGAGCGGGCCTGGTGCCGCGTGACGTGTGCTTGCGGCGCCTGCGGCGGTCTTTATCGAAGACGGCCGCGATGAGCCGCGCCTGGTGGTGGTAGCAGTCGTCGTTGCGGCCTTTTCAGCATCCATGCCCTTGTCCTTCTGGACCGCCTCTGCCGACACGATGCACTCCGGTTCGTCGGTGAGCGGCGCATGAAGCAAACCCAACGCCGTGCTGTCGCTCGCGAAGGCGGAAGAAGCGGGCACGAGGGGGTTGCTGAAGTCAGCAACAGCTGCAGAGGCATGGGCGTCCTTGTCACCCTTCTTGCTAGCTTCACCGTCCGGACCATGAGCGCTGCTCTTCTTCCTGTTGATGCCCAGACGCTGCAGAACGGTCGTCCTCTGCTGCGACTGTGGCTGCGGCGCGTTGGCGGCTTCATTGTGCTGCTCGCCGGGAGCGACAGCCCCAGCGGAATGAGCGGCGGTGGCGCTGCTGGCGTCCAAGGCGAGCTTCTCATCGCACGGTGCAAACGGCGCCCTTCTCAGCACCTGGTGCTTGGGGCTCGGCGGGGGGCTGAGGCTGGCAAAATTGACGTGGTGTCCGCCGTCAGCGTCGTACTCGTCGTAAATCTCGCTCTGCAGCAGCTCCTCGAGGACGTCTTCGAGCGTGATGATGCCGACGGGCGTGCCCGTGTCGAACGCACCGTCTGCGTCTGCATCGGAATCCACGTCGGCGCACGCGCCTGCGTGAAACTGTTGCTGTTCCGCGCTGCCGGTACCTGTGTTGGTCGACTGGTGCGAGGTCAGCTCGAGCGAAATGGACGTCTCGTGCTTGGACAGACGCTTGCTGAAGAGGCCCTTTGTCTTGCGGCGCCAGCCGTCATGCGGATGCAATTGGTGATGCGCGTGCGGGTGGTGGCTGGGCGACACGCGGTTTGACGATGACGCCGAGGGAGAGGTGCTGGTGGTGCTGCTGACGTCGCTATCACCCGAGACAATCCTACTGAGTTTGTCCGACTCGGAGGAAACGGTGCCGACGTCGGTGGCAGAGTTTTGCCTTGGGAAACTGTTGTTACTGGCGTCCTTCTCCGTGCTGTCCTCCTCCTTGATGCCGTCGAGTGCGCCGCCAGTGCCGGTACCTTTGCCAGCTGCCGCCTTGCCGCTCACGCCGAGCACAGCGTGGCGCGTGCGGCTGCTGACAATGGCCATGTGGCTGCGGCCCTCCTGGAAGGCGTTGAGGACGTTAAGCAGCGGTTCGTCCTGCGGTATGGTCGGCATGGCATTGATGACCATGTCCGAAACAGGGACCGCGTCCTCGGGGTCGAGCAGGACACACGATTTGACGAGCAGCGTGCCGATGATCTTGCGTCGCGTGACCGTCGCCGGTGCCAGGTAGCCGAAGCTGGCCGTCTCGGCGAGCGCCGCGGTCGACGAGGTGGGCGAGCCGGGAGGGGGGCTCTGCGGGCTGCCGCTGTCGCTGGCGGCAGCGTCCGCCTGCGAGGCGGAGACCTTGCGTGCGAACGTCGACAGCAGAGAAGGCTTCTTGCTGGGCGTCGCGGAGCCGCTGTTCGCCAGCGCCTTGCCGCCGCCGAGGGAGATGTCGATGTCCTGGTAGATGGGGATGCGCGAGTGTCCGCTACGGACGACCTTCTCGAGCGTGGCATAGTCAAGCTTGGCCTCGAATGGGAGCATGAACACGCGCTCGATCGGCGTCATGGCGTCCTGGACGACCTTCTCTTGCAGATCGAGCGCGCCACCTACGATCATGACCGTGTCGCCGTTTAGGTCGCCGCCGCGGCCGCCGGCGGCGGCGTGGATGTTGACCAACTCCTTGAGCTCGCCGCGGCGGTAGATGATGCCGTGATGCGGGCCGAGGGCGGCGTGCAGGATGCGCGACACGGGCCACGCGACGGGCCAGAGAACAAGGATGATGATGCGCGTCGGCAGCGCCATGTACGCGCCGACAACCAGCCCGTATCGCGAGCAGACCGATTGCGGGATCAGCTCGGCAAAGATGACGATCACAACGATCGAGAAAATCACCGCGCGGAAGCCGCCGCCAAGCAGCGGGTCTGCGACAATCGGCAGGGTCTGCGGGCAGCGCAAAAGAGCCAAAAGAAGTCATGAGCAGACGCACAAAGCTATCTGTGCCTTTTTCCATTTGTCCTCAAACGTGGAACTCACCTCGTTGGTGATCATGTTGGCGATGAGCAGCGTGGTGAGCAGCAGATGGCCGTCCTTGCGCACGGGCATAATCTTGCGCGCATACATCTTCTGCTTGTCGGTCCCCTGCGCGGCGAGCACCTGGAGCTGCGTCTCGTCAAGCGACATGTAGCCGAGCGTCAGACCGGCAAAGAGGCCCGAGAGGAGGATGAGCACAGGGACGACGATGGCGTAGGCGGCCTTCTGGACGGACGAGATACCCGGCGGGGAGGTGGAGGACTCGCATGCATTCGCGGCGCTGGTGCCAGAGTCCTCCTGGCGCTTTGCATGGTACTGGGTGTGGTCATGCATGGAGCTGTGGGGCGGGGCCACCGCGCTGCGTGCCAGGTTGTGGCCATGACTGCAGTTGCGGTCCTTGGGATCAGTGCAAGATGGACGATCGAGACGATGCGCGAAGGATGGGGTTATTTGACGACCGCTTTCCACAGCATCTTGGTTTTCGTGCCGCGCACGCGCGTCTCCGATAGCGTAGACGGGCTCACTGTGCTGTTGCTGTTGCTGAAGGTGGCTGCCGTATGCGCCATCTCGTGCAATATCCGGCGCGGCCCAGCGGGCAGGGTGGAGCGGCAAGAGGTGGGAGTGCTCATCGTGCTGCTGTGCATCGGCCGCGCGAGGAGCGATTTGCTGAATCGGGCTGGCCTGGGCAGTGAGGACGATGCTAGTGGCGGCAAAGAGAGCGAGGGCAAAGAGCCAAACGAAGGAAGCAACAGAACTGCTACGTCGAAGTGTGCTCGGTGTCGTTAGGGCTGCTGTGCCGGGAGTGGTGTCGTCGCCGCCGGAGCAAGGAGAGGGGCAGTCATGGATCGCTGCAGCGTCGTTTTGGTACTCGTGCTGATGCGCTACAGCAGCGAGAGAGCGCGGTGCGCTGTCGTTGTTGTCGGGGCGATGGCTAGGGTGAGGGCAAAGGCGAAGGGCGCCTATATCGGGATCGAGGTCGAGGGTCTGGGCGGAGAGGTCGACCATTTATCGTTGCGTTTCTCCGGTATGATGGTGTCGAATGCTTGCGATAGGAGCTGGGCGTGCGTGTATTCTTCCCCGAGGAGCAGCGGCGGTGGGCGATGCTTCTTGAGTCTGGGGGGTTGGGGTTGGGATTGCGTGTGTGTAGTGTAGATAGGGGATACAGGTGGTTGGTTATATAGTCTGTTAATACCGCGTGATGCGATACTCGCGTGATGGGAATGACGGGATGCTCCTTTCGACTCTATAATGCAGACTGACGCAGTGCCAGCACTGGACACTCAATCGTTCATGCAGAGTTGACTCGACTCACTGCCGCAGTGCCGGCGGTATCACCTACCGCCACTCACCGGCGGGCTCCTGCTAACTGAGCGGCCTTCATAGCACAGCATTGCATTGCATAGCATAGCATTGCCATGCATCAACTCAATGTACATCCAGCTCGCGTCGCATCCGCCATCATGTGTGCAATTGCAATCGTTATACCGATCCCGTCCCGCGAATGCTTGCCCCCCACACACACTCGCAGGAGCGATTCACACAGAAACAAACCCCGTTCCGGGGCAAATGGAGCCTCCAGCTGCTTCTGCCGCGTCAGCGACGTGATGGGACTGGTAGCTGGCGTGTGCTGGTGACGCGCTCCATGCTGCCACGATACAGCGGATCTCAAAGTTGGCCGGAGCAGATATGCACGTGCGATCCGATCCGATCCCGCCACGCCAGCCAGCAAGCGCACCACTGGGCTGGCTCTGGTCCGAGCTGCCAAGGGGGGGGGGCGAGGACACACCGCCCTCTCCTGTACACATTGCCATTCACCTCGTGTCCTGGTTGATTGGTGAGCGCAGTAGCAGACGAATGAGCATGTAAAGCCAACTAGAGGGGTCCCGGAAGAAGAAGCCATGTACAAAAAGAGTGGTGTGCTCATATGCTTCCCGCCCGGAGTTCACGGCGCTGCTGCTGTGCGTCATGTCGTCACCACGGCCTTTCTTACTCTCACACGCCTTGCAAATGGGCCAGCTGTCGATAGAGTGGGCTTGGGGTCACCAACCAGCTTCCTCCCCCGGGCTTGAAAGCGATCGAGATGCTTCCAGAAGTGCACCATTTGTAGTATCTCTCTCTCTATTACAAAATACAAGGGGGTGTGTGCGTGTGAAGCAGAGGGGCGATTCGGGACCGCTGGATGGCGGATGGACGAGCGAGAACTGCTGAGGACGTGTTTGGTTGTGGTCTGCTTGTTTGATCAACAGTACGTACCATCCATTCATATTCATGCCACCAGCTGTCGCTTTTGACCGTGACCATACCACAGAAACACCCTGCCAACTTAGTATTTCATACGCGCACATTGCGCAATCGACCCAACGCAAAGATGGCAGCACCCCCGCGTCCTGCCGCCGTCGGTCTCGAGTTGTTCAAGACGCTCCTGACGCCGACGGTTCCCTCGGGGCACGTGCTTGCATTCGGCCTCTTGCTCGGCACGCAGGCCTGGCATGGCTTCATTGGCGGGTGAGCTTGTGCGCAGCTGACAAGCTTCACTGTAAAGCGCAATATCGATGCGGGTCGATACTGAAGGTTGCAGCTGACGTCCGAATCCTCTCTCTTTGCGTAACGGCGGATGCACACACAGGCCCATTGCTTACAAGAATCTCCCGCGACAGACGTTCGGCAATCTGCAGAATCACCTCTTCAGGGTGGGCCTGGTTGCCTGCTGCCGCCTCTTCTTGCGCCTCCCACTGACCCATCCCTCTCTCCCTGTGCATGTTCGACAGGTCTATTTTCCGCTGACCACGGGTCTGAGCGCGGTGCTGCTGGCGACGTACACACTCGCAAACCCGTATGTGCGCTCGCACGCGTCGGACCTCGCGCACCCGGTCGTCTACCAGGCATTCACGCTGCTGACCAGCACGCTCGCGCACGCCGCCAACTGGCTCTATGTCGGCCCCAGGACGACCGACGTCATGTACCGCCGCCACCGCCTCGAGCGCACAGAGGGAAAAAGCTACGACAACGTCACCGCAAGCGACGAGATGAAGGACCTCAATAAGCAGTTTTCCATCCTCCACGGCATCAGCAACCTCCTCAATTTCGTCGCGTTCGGCGGTGTCGTCTTCCACGGCCTCTGGCTTGCACACTACGGCCTGCATAGCTGAAAGTAGGCTTGATAAAGATACACGCGCAATGATAAAGATGAACAATGCCCCGCTCTTACTAGTTCTCAGGATGCTTCTCCTGCCCCTCGTCCAGGTAGCCGTATACGCGCGCCACGCGTGTGCAGCTCTCGAACAGCTGCTGGTTGAGCTCGGCGAGGAAGCACGGTATGCTCTGCAATGTCGCGCCCTGCCCGAGCCACTTGTCTCGCAAGCCCTGCACGTCTGCAAGCCCCTCCTTGGTCGCCTCGCCCATCAGGCGCATGCTTCCCGCGTCGCCCTCGCCGCTCTGGAACACGAGTGTCGTCGTACTTGCCGCGCTCGCGCTCCGGCTGAACGCAGACGTCAACTTGACCTTGCCGCTCTCCATGAACTTGAGCTTCCAGCCGAATAAGGACGTCACCACATCCCGGAACTCGGCTGCTTTGAAGGCGTACACCTGCCGAAGGCGCAGGAACATCTTGTCCTTATCCGCGAACTGCTTCTGGGCCGACTCGAGCTCCATTTTGAGACTCTCCACCACCGCTCGCGGTACCAGCTCGGCCCCAGCCCCGGCGCCTGTAGCAGCAGACGATGATGATACTGGGAGGGATGGCAACTGCGCAGCGCCGTTCGCAGCGGCGGCGGCGAGCGCGGCGGAAAGTTCATCGATCTTGGCGAGCAGCGCCTCGTTCTCCTCTTTGAGCGCGTTCAGCCTCTGCGCGCGTAAGTTGCGCGCCTGGTCCAACGGGTTGTTTGCCAGGGTCAGGACCTGGAACTTGCTCTGATCAAACTCGCCGCGCCCGATTCGCGCCCACAGCTTCTCGTTCTCCTCGCCGAGAGATTGTAGCTCCTTCTCCAGCGCGGCGATTGTCGAGGTGGCTTCAGCGCTCGCAGCTGAATGCGCCTCGGCCTCAGCGAGTGTTTGCTGTGCTTGTGCCGCTTGTAGCTGGCTAGGCGCGCCTCGTAGTTGTTGCTCGAACGCCGAGGCCTGCTGCTGCGCTTGCTTGATCTCCTCCTCTAGACGCGCGTTCACCACTCGATACTCTCCCAGCTGCGCTTCGAGCACATCAATGCGCTGCAGATTCGCTTCGTCGAAAGAGCTTTTCTTGATCTTTTGCTCCATTTGAAATGAGTCCTGGAACATGAAAGGGAAGAAGATAGGAATGAGTTCGCGACAAGCAACGACAAAGATATCTCTGAGGAAGGGGCAGCTGTGGCAACTCACAAGCAGAGCTTTGTAGCGATCCGTCTCGTCCTTTGCGCGCTGCTCCGCCAGTTCCGCACGCTCGGCAGCGACCCTGCTCTTGCTCCACTTCATTTCCGTCTCGAGGTTCCGCTTCTCGCCCGCCTCGACCTCCTCTTCGAGCCGCTTCTTGTCCGCGCTGGCACGCTGCAGCAGCTCCAGCAGGCCGCGGAGCTTCGACAGCGAGGCGAAAAGTGAGGATTCCAGCGTAGTGAGGTACGAAGGCAGAGTGTACCGGTTGAAAGGCGTAGGGCGCGCTGGTGCGACAAATGCATTCGCCGCCGCGTCGCTCGTCGCCTCTGCAATCCGAAGCGCAGCCCGGATGTCCCCGTCTGCATCTGCCCCTTGCCTTGCACCTACAGCGGGGTTGTTTAGGCCGTGCAAGCATGCTTCCCACTTTTCTACCTCTTCCTTTGCTTTTCTTGCGTCCTCTTCCAAGCCGAGCAACTCCATGTTGCGCATCTCGAGCTGGCGGATCTTGCTTTCGAGCCCGCGCTTCTCCTCTCGCACCAACTCAATTGACTCGAGCTGGCTTTTGAGCCGCATGTTCTCGCTGGTCAATGATACTTGAGACGCCTCGAGCTTCTTGAGATGCGTGACTTGGCGATGCAGCTCTTGCCGCAGCGCTTCTTGTCCTCCATCTTGGTCCGCTCTGCGACCCATGGTCATGGTAGGGTCCCGTTTACCCGCGATATCTCGCAGCTCTTTGACTTCTGATGTGACATCCTCCAGTTGCTTTTGGAAGCGCTGCCGTTCGGCATCGGACGCGTCCCGCGCTGTCCGCGCCGCGATCAACTCCATCTCTAACCGCGTTATCTCTTGTCTCGTGCTTTGCTTGTATTGATCGAGTTCCGTAGTCTTTTGCTCCAAGTCCGCCTCCGAAACGCCAAGCATTTCTCTGTACTCTTTGAGCTCTTTCCGAAGTCCTTCAATCTCGGTCATGTGCTCCTCCTCCCGTGTGCGCTTTTGCATCTGCAAAGATTCCCATTCCTGCAGCATTTCGAGTCGTTCGCGTTGAAATCGTTCGATCTGCCGTGTCTTCTCGATGATCTCGCGCTCCAATTCTCCATTGCGCGACTCGACGTGCACTAGGCGCACCTGATAATCGTGCCGCACGGCGCTAATGTCGGCTATCGAGGTGAGAGACTCGCGCGCTGCAGTGGAGGCCTGCTGAGCCTTGGCTGCCAAGCTGGGAATGGCAGCGGCATCACCGATGGACGACGCGTTCGAAAGGCGCGAGGAGGGTCTGAACAGGCGTTTGGCCGAGGGAGGAGCACCGTCATCGTGTAGAGGTTGCTCAAATACATCGCTCTGTGCATCCGCTTCATCGGCTCGTACGCCTTGTGCAGACGCTGGCCTTCTGGAGCTGGGTGGCGCGATGTAGCTTTGCGAAGCTCGCCGCTTCTGGCCTGCTTGCGACCCGATCATGTCAACACCCCCGGCGGTGGTGCAATTGCTGTTACCGGCTGTACCTGATACGAATGATCGAGGTGCTGCGCCCGGAGCTGGTAAGCCGGACGCATACGTCCTTCTCTCCGGCATAGCACTGCGCGTTCCATTGCGCAGGTGATCCGCCCCAGCAATACCACCGGACGGTATTCGTAACGCCGTCGAAGCTGAGAGACGGGGTAGGGCCGACGTAGCGCGGGGAATACCAGACGACCCACCGGCGCCGCCGCTGTGTCCCGGATTCTGCGATTTTCTGCGTTGCTCCATGGTGAAACGCAAGCGGACACCGATGTTCCAAGCGAAACTGCCTTTATCCGAACCGCACAGACGAGGACATAGATGCAGATTGCCCAGAACACTGACCGATTATGTCAAGTGCTATGTCTGCTTTGATGTTTGTTGTTCTCACTTCCACCAAAAGGCGGGGGGTTAGACTGAAGGCTGAGGACTGCAACCCTATTTCAGAAGGACCCGCCCACATGAGTCTAGTGGAGTCTACCTACGGACAAGACAACTGCCTGTGAGAGCGCCACCAACCACATCCTTCTCTGTTGAGCTGGTTCCCTTTCTCGAATACAGACACACCCGCTACTCTCTTGTTGAGCACTTGAGTGGCTACCACCTGCAACCTGCATTCCAAAGCAACCTTATTGCTGAGATTTGGTAAAGTGGGCTCTGTGCCCCGAAAAGACCACTTTCTGTATCAAGAACAGAAGCGACGATGCCGCCTAACGTAGCCTCCGCGTCGGTCGCAGACTTTGACGATGACACCGATGTGGGTAGTCGGCCCTGCCTCGTGGAGATCCTTGCTGCGAGAAGATTCGAGCTAGTCCGATGTCGCTGATGCTAACCCACATGGATGCGCATGCCCCGCTCTGCTCTTTCGCAGTTCGCTCTCCCGGAGCCACCACCTCAAGCTCGCGGTGGACCGGACCAGATGGCAGCGTTGCAGCAGATGATGGGGCAGTTGGGCGCTGGCGACGCTGGTGTGCCTGGTGGAGGAATGGGCGCTTCGGGATCCAAAGCGACAGGGGCAATAGATGACCTGAATGCTGAACACAAGGAGTGGATCGCCATCTACCCGATCTATCTCGACGCCAAGCGACCTTTTGGCAAGGGGTGCCGCCGGGTTTCGTACACCAAGAGCAGCCTGTTCCCACAGAGCCTGCACATCGCCAAAGCGCTCAGCCGCCTCAACATCTCCGCTGTGCACGAGGTCCGCAAGACGCATCCCAAAGATTGGGAGAATCCAGGCCGAGTCAAGGCGAAGCTGTTCAACGAAGACTGGCTGTCCCTGCACCCAACCATTAAGACGAAGAAACAACTTATCGAGGCAATCGCAGAGATCGTGCAGCCATGGGCAGGCGGCCCTCCGCCTCCGCTGCCTGATCTGAAAGTGAAAGCGGAGAAGCTGCGCATGCGACGAGAAGCAAAAGCAACTGCATCAGCCGCAGCCTCCGTTGCGCCGGCCGGTAAGAAGACCAGCGCAGGCACCGCCGCCCAACCCAGCAAGAAAGCCACAGACGGCACGACGGCAGCCTCGCCTTCTCGTCGATCGCGTAAGATTGCACCACCGGCTGTGAATCCCATCAAAGCTCGACTGCAGCAGATCCGCTTCCCGCCTCTCGAGGACCGGCTGCCGCCGCACTCTCCGGCCATCGAGCAGGGCATCCTCAACATGGACCTTGCGGGCGCGATGGGCGGCGGCATGCCGCCTGGCTTGGAAGGTATGAATCCGATTGCTTCCATGCTCGGCGGCTTCATGGGCGGTGATGACGATGAGGACGAAGAGGCCAAGGAGGTGCAAAAGAAGGATGAAAAGCCCATGCCCGGTTTGAGTAGAAGGCAGAGGAAAAAAGTCGTCCGTATCGGTCGTTGAGGGTCTGCTCAGCAATGAGCAGTAAAGCAGTCGGACAATGTAGCGATTCACCGATCCTCCCCTCGGTCCAATGACAGAAGCGTGCAACTGGATGCCAGTTCCTGGCTATTTGAAAGGCTGCGGCTATCCGGTGTGTGATATACTACATTCGTCATGACAAGTGTCAGGCCTGTTGCGGAATCGTTGTATACATCATACCTCACGGTAGCGCGCCCCCTCGCTTAATCGGACTAGCGCTGCCCAGTACGGGTCTCGGGCCAGCATCAGCACCAGGTGGAGCCAATCCGCTTTGCGTGCCCGAGCGGCCCATGGCTCCGCCCGTGCCGGATTTGCTGGGTGACGTGCCCATCATCGCGGCGCCAGGCCCGCTGTGGGCACCATCGCCACCATCAGATGGCGCAACGATCTTTGGGTTCCTGGCGAAAGGGTTGTCCGACCCGGCGCGTCTCAGCATGCTCGTGCCTTGACCCGAAAGCGCGCCGCTGCCTGCGCCGCCCATGGGCGTGCCAGCGCCAAATACGCTTCGGCCCGGTGCGCCAGGCCCAGAAGGCGGGCTGAAGACGCCCGCGTTGCTGCCACGCGGCTGCTGTGCCGGTGAGCCAGGCCCGAACCCGCCGAGCGCATGCTGCCGGCCGCTCGGCGTACCTGGGTACGGGCCAGCAGTATGGCCTGGCTGGCCCTGGTACGAGTGCGGGTGCTGCGTGGGAAGATTGTAGAATGTCCAGAATCCGTTTGGTTGCGGCAGGGATTGGCCCGTGTTGTAGCTGAACTCGAGACCAACGCCTGGTTCTTTTTCGAGGTCGAGGATGCTGACGAAGCGTCGTGCGAGGTCGTTGAGCTTGTTCACGTCATCCTTCGAGCGCGTCCAGATGGAAAGCCTGTCACCCTTTGCCCGCACACTGACCACTGCACCGGTGATCATGTCGTGTGGATCGAGCTCCTCGCCGATGAGCGCTAGCACGAGCCACATCCAGCTCCTGTCCAGCAGCGCCGGGTTGTTCGTCGCCTTGAGTGTCAGCGTCCACTTGCCGCCTTTGGCGTTGCGCCGATCTTCCCACATCGGTTTGATGCCGTCCTTGAACAAGTGGTAGTTGGACGACTTTTCCAGCTGCGATGGCCGGCGCAGCGTGGAGAACGTGGCGAAGAACGACTCTACATCATTGTATGCACCGAGCATCCGCAGTGCCGCTTCCCACGTGCTAGGCGCTTGTGCACCTGGAGCTGGCGTTGTAGGTGATATAGGCGATGGCGGCACATGCTGAGAGGCACCTGCTGCCGGTGAGGATGCAGCTAGGTTGGTTGGGTACGGGAGATTTGCCGAAGGGCTGCTTCCGCCTAGTTGCGGAGTATTCGCCGGCGTTGACTGCTGGCTCGTCGACGCAGCATTGGATGGGTTCCAGGACTTGGAGTCAAAGTACAGAGTCCTGTATCAATGTATAGGAGGCAAAAAAATCAGCAAGAGATGTGGGTAGCGGTCCAGTCATCATATCGCACACTCACCACTTGTGCTGCAGCGGGTGCACCGTCTTACCATCGGGGCCGATGACCGGCGTGCGTGAGGACAGAGAAGGGGTCGAGCCTGAAGAAACATTCGGCTTGACTGGCGGAGGTCCAGGCGGTTTGGCGGGAGCAAGGACGGGAACAGAAGCGCTGGCCGCCAAGGCGGTGTTCTCTGCAGCGGGGGTCGAACTCGTTGCCTTGGGCTCTCCTGCTTCTGGCGTTCTGCTCGCTGCAGGTGTGTTGGCACCATCACTGTTAGCCGCCGAATTCTCCGCAGCTGCCGAATCATTCTCTTTTGGCTCAGTGGTTGCAGTCTTTGCGCCCGGGGCGTCCATCTGACTCTTGCTCTTGCTGTGCGTCAAGCCTTTCCTGCTCAGTCTCTCTCGAATCCCGTCAAGCGAAGGAAAAGGGGTGGATCCTTCGGCCTTCTTGGGTGAGCTCGGCGCCTCATCTCCTACCTTGGTCGAACCAGTCGCTGCATCTAAGGCAGGTGCCGTCTCACCGGGAATGAGTCTCCCGGCGAGGCCGAGCCTACCGCGCAAGCCCGTTCCTCCTTGGCTGGGGCTCAATGCGCCTGCCGCTTCGCCATCGCCGGCCGACTTGTCTGCGGGATCTGCGTTCGTCTGAGCAATATTGTACTTGGATGCAATGTCGGACAGAGTAGGAGCACGCTTGGAAGTTGAGGAGCTGCGCGCAGCAGGGGATCCAGCTGGTTGTCCTTGTTTGGCGGTGGTGTCCTCTCGACTGATGCCAGAGGGCACAGTCCCCGTAGCTTCCCCTTGATACGACATTCTGATATCAATGACAGTCGAAGCGTATTTTACTGACGTCTGTACGTTCTCGCGTTGACTGGATGCTACAACAGTCTGTACACAGCTGGTGAAACACCGGGAGAGCTGGCTCGAGACTCTGGGTTTGGAAGCTGGGATGTGCGGCAGATGAAGGCGTGCGGGACGTACAATTAGACCTACGTCCTGGATATCGGCAAACGTCTCTACGACTTGCAGGCAGTGCTTCCTTGGCGCCAGTCTTGTAGACCTCGAGAGCAGCACTAGGGGATGGCAAGGGCAGAGGGCTAGAAGAGGGGGAATATTTCTCTGCGCAAGG